TTGTCGGAACGGTGTCGGACTAGAGAAGGATTCTTGTGAGTCGAAGGATAGGCTAAGGCATAATAGTTCTTCGTTGGTATCAAACGCTTATACTGTGGATCTAGCTTGTGATATCCACGGAAACTGGAAGCCCAGTGGAATGGTAGCTTATACTATGTGTGGATAACAACTGGGGAAAGGGTTGCCTTGCGGCCTTGGTGGATAAATGAACACTCATCGGTTTTCTATTGGGACTAGTCGAGTAGTGGATTGCGAATTAAATAATTGTGTGGCACGGTTCGGATGCAAGGAAACGATTCGAGAACTTTGTAGTGGGACAACTTCGAATAGTACGAGCTCAAACCAAGATCTTTTCCGTTCGCCTTCTTTTCCCCCTTTTAAAAATTTACCTTGAGAGGAGATTAGTGTGTCAAATATGGTTCTAGTCTCGTGTACCGTTAGGACTTCTAAGAAGTGGATCACACATCGGCTAGCCAGTTCGTGTGATGGCAGTAACCCTATTCTTAGGTGGTGATAGGGTCTAATTTGCACTTGATTTCATTACAATGATCTTCAGCTATATACTTAGGTAATTATACGACCCAAACCTTTAGTACTCAGGGATTACTCCGGCCATCTAGGCGGCCCAGTGGGTCAAATGTTAAAGAGATCACCAGCGAATTCCGCGAGTACCTAGGTAGATATGCTACACGAGAAGGTCAATATAGTATAAATACTCGTGTTGCTTCGTGCTGTCCCGGATATCTCGCTGCCCGTGTGCTCTCTAGCTAGCCGCAAGAGTTGATCACAGCACTGATGTTGTATGCCCCTGACTTGTTGGACTAGGACAAAACTCGACCGACGGGACTAACCGAAGTTACTACTACATCCAGCACGTTTCTAGGTCTACATGAATCAATATTGCAGGATGATATCACCATGCCACGTTGTGTCGGAGCGTAACACGATTCTTACATTGGCTCACCGGCGACGAAGCTTTGAGCCATACCAATAGGTAGGTACATGGTGCTGACACGTTGGGCACACTTGCAGTCATCAGCCGCCGATAAATTTATCAGGATTCATCCGAACCCGCTATTCTATCGACGTAATGATATACGCTGGACCATCTATACGTGGGTCCGTAGCCAGCCCGCTAGAGGGGCGTAAGGAAGCCTCGTCGGGCTTTGCCTGGCTGAAAACCAAAATGAAGCATCCCATCACCGAGCTGTCCTACCGAGACAGACTTGCTGCTAGGCTGTCTATTAGATAGTCTTATAATAGATTCCGCCCGGTGAGCTTCTGTTTGGATATTCCAAGCGATGTTATGCCACCCCATAATGCAAGGCTAGACTAAAACAATGTCAGTGCAGGCTAGGCACGGCATCCTTGCGTAGACCGGATGGTTGGGCTCATTACCACGTCCTAAAACATACTGTGTACTGTATACAAGATGCTGATAACTACAGACTCTCTTGGTAGCATGGTTGATTATATTATAGGTTAGGTGATGGGTAAAACGGTACCTAGGCAAGCTGGAGGCGATGTTAAGGTTGCTTGAGCCCAACCTAACCATTTTGTGGTGGTCCTCAGCCTGAAGGGTTGACTGCTCCCTTGCTACCTAACTCTACGTTTAAGTCTGCTTACATACCTAGGTATGTAAAAATGCTACGAAAAATCGCTTGGGGAGCTTTAGTAGTTTCGAATAGCTTCAAATTAATACTTGGATAACTTTCAATAGGGCCAGCCCCACCAATGATAGTCTAGTTAATTACAATACTAGGGTTGTGGTAGCCATTCCACGAGGTAGGCCCCCGGATAACTCTAGAGGATGTAATAATACAACAATTATAATTCGGCTGTTACCTCTGATAGCTGCCGACTTAAGCAAAACTCTTGTCACGGGTTGTGGAAAATGCATGTTGAAGTTGTAGTATAACTTAAATCAAACCCCGACCATCTTTAACCGTTGAGGCTGAATTAACTATCGATTGGCCCTACGGTTTTGCCTCGGCGTTGCCTTCTCGTTTCTTGCAGAATTTCCACTTAGAATGGCCATGGACGAGTATGTGTGAAGACAGGGCGACTAATAACGATACAGCATCGTCGCGATCCAGAGGCCGTGTGTTACAACTGTGGTCTATAGTAGTATACCGTAGTCGTAAAAGACACTTACCTACCTATTAAAGGGTAAATGAATATGTGATAGTGTTACCCATTATACAAGTAGCACATTACGAGTATCATCATTCACGCAGTGGGCCCAATTTAGAGTCAGATGATGTCGAGAGCATGTGGGGGATGGAATCGGGAGCGATAGATAGCCCGTTCTAGAATCTAGCCGACAGCAAGGCTTACACTATTTATCTAACTATATTCACCAATACGAGAACAACGCCCTCATGTTTTTAGATGTATGTGGTATTCGATCTCGATATAGCCCGGCCCATTGGAGCTGAGCCGAGCGGTAGGCAATATAGGGCTCGCGGGCACGGCGACGGAAGCGCTCGATGCTGCCGTCCATAGCGGCTGAGGTCGGGAGTCTAATTCGCTGCGTTACTTCATCGGCCGTGGGGGTTAATTAATGAGGGAGGCTCTTCTCGTGTCTAGAATCGGTAGGGGTAAGTAGGCTGCCGGGATGATTACTGACTGTACGACAACACGATACTACACAGGGTAACCTCCACAACTAAAAGGACCCGTCGCGTCTGCGCTAGTATCACGCGGGCTGAACAGCGTATGGTCGATACGAGGTGTGTCGTTGCTGAGATCGAGTCAGGGATATATCGTCTCTTTCGGGTCAAAGTGCGCTTATATAAGACGCTTGAGTTGCTGAAAGAAGTCATACATGCATACATAGACGCAACTAACCGATTAAGGAAGTCTTGAAACCGGCGAGGGCCTCATCAGACACTTCAACCTATTCCACTCCCTCGTGCATGTGGCGTGTCGAGAGGTTGCTTCCACTACTGGCTCCCAGTCCCTGATCCCGGCTGCCGGCTATGTTGTGTTACTCTTCGACTCGGAGTTGGATGTATCGCTGGCTTGACGACGTGAGATCCACTCCGGATGGCATTTAGGCACGTGGCCAATATAACCGACGTTGTCATAAAAATGTCGCATCTTTCATTGAGGGCTGGCAATGTTGTCACTGCTACCCGGAGACTCCTACGAACCTTGTCCGGATGAGCAACTTGCTCTCCTGATTTAGATTATCATGAATTCGTATCCGGATCTCCTCCGATGGTTGTCCTTTGGAAAATGGGGACCATATAGTTCCTTCGTGGAATAGCCGGTAAAGTTATCGGCATACGGCGCGGAAGCGAGGGCGCGGGGTGTAAACGGCTTTGGAGCAGTCGGATGTGGGGTTTATAGCATCGCTAAGGTACGGTAGCGCATGCGTCGCGGAGAAACGACACCGCGAGAATGGCACTACGAAGAACATCTATCAGCATGGCGATATTCATATGAATAAGGTCCGATCAGGACCCTACTCTAAAAGATGAGATGGTCCCTCACCAATTGTCCTTTCGAAACATGGCCTCTTCAAGGGCATGGAACGCAGCGTTGAATATCAGTGCAAATGGTATATTCCCGGGGGATTGACTTGCAAGAGGGAGTATGTTAAGTGCGATTCGACAAGCTTTTCGGAAGTCCGGCCAACGCTTACTACTAACAAAAGCCGCGTCATCAATGTATGAATGACGGGTACATATTGGATACCTACTGAAACACTGATGGTGACTTAGCCAACAGGTTTCTATGAGTGTATGCTCATAGATGGCACAGTTTGTCACCGGAGATATTGGAGGCACTGCCTCTTCATAATTGCGGTTTCTCCTCTTTAGACGACCGTCTCAATTCTCAGCATGCTTCTAATTGGCTGCGACCAGCCAATTCTTAGCGATCTACCATTTGGGTGATCGACTTATGAATCCATTAGTGGTGGGATTTGGCGGGGTCCAAATCTGGGCGAATCCATGATAGTCGACATCAATTTCTGGGAGGAAGTGATATGTGCCTGTGGGATTAGATTCCCGGAATCGGAGTTGGACACAGTAACTAGAACTTTGTGTCTTTTGACAAAGGAGTATCTATAAGCGCCGGACCCGGGGTATCTAATATATTCCGCTCGATATTGATGTCTAAGTACTTAGGCATATCACAAATGATTCGCGCTTCATCCAAGAGCGACGTGCGGGATTCATGCATAGGGAGCGTATATGTAGGGGATAAAGTTGCCTAAAAGTAATTGTCAGATAATGCGCACAGGGTACCTTCAAGATGCCTTACCGTGAGGTTGTACGTTGACTGGCTGGGGTGTATTCCCCTGAAGCTGCCATCTCGATGGCGAGATGGAAAGAAATGGGTGCATAGAGCCAGTCGGAGGGATCTAGGGGGGCATTGCGACTGATCTAAAAGCAAAAAAAAAAAGATTTTTTTTTTTTTCGACAGCCATGATCGAAGCGGGGATCAACGAAAAGTATCGATTGAACAAGCCACAGAGTAAGATCTTAGAGAACAAGCATTCGGGACCGACCATTGTGTCTCTACCTCTACCTAGGTATCTAGGTAAATGATCCATCCCTTTTGACGATATTAGCAGGAGCTAATGGGTGAATAGTATCTCGGCCAATACATAAGTGACTTGACCCGTTAAAATTAGAAGTTTGGTCCCCTAAAAATGAAAACCATACTATGCGTCCCACCCTATATTTCAAACGACGTAACGTTGAATGCCATCGAGGCGTGCCGAATTTGCGACAATGATCATATGATAACAAGCATCCTAGGCACAAGAAATATCATAGCGACTCCGATAACGAATTCGGAGAACAGGGCTGTCTCTATTGACCATGTTTGTCATTGTTAGCTTATTACCTAGATAGGTAGAGTGGGGATCCTTCACCTAGGCTGCCAGGTAGGTATATTCCAGGGAGACGCGATCCACTGAGACAGCTAGGATATTTTCAAGGCGAAAGCCTAGCAAGCTTGGAAACTTGCTATTTCATTTCACGGCAGTACCTGGACCCCTGAGCTAATACTTGCTTGACAGATAATCCAACGTAGCATGTATCCATGCCCAGTAACGCACGTTTACCTATAGAAAAAAGACTGCTCACTTCTCTCCTACATTTCTAGATACGCCACCCCCAAACTCGATGCCTCTTGCAGAAACGTATATATCGACCAGATGAAGTAATTCTCGAGGAATAAGCATAGCAATAGAAGGAAATCAGATGGAAATAATGAGTATTAGTCATCACAACTTATGTAAATCTAGCTGCGACTTCCCGAATGACTCATTTTCTTGAAAACAGACGGGTATATAAGATGTGCTTTAGTTATGCAGGGCAATAGCACCTGCAAAAAGCAATCGGCAAGGCCTCTATATCAATATAATAACACACTTCGCGGTTGCTTGCAGTTTGCGTTACACGAAAAGCGGGAAACAACATGAAATCCAACAAGCCTGTTCAATTCGACGGGAGGACCGGTGAAGGGGGCGGTCAATTAGTCAGGATCGCATGCGCATTATCGGCGGTAACATTGCAGCCTATTCGTGTATACCATGTGCGAGGAAACCGGGAAGGACATCGTGGCGGCGGTTAGATTTCTATCCGGACTTCTGTTTTGATGATCCGTCGTGCCTAATCAAGTTATTGTTGCATATAGGTCTGAAAGCGCAGCACGTAGCCGCCATCCAGTGGCTTGCAGACGCTACCCAAGCAGAAGTTGAGGGCCTATCAGTGGGCAGCCACACCGTGGAATTCAAGCCAACATTGCCTCCTACAGCCCTTAAATCTCGGAAATACGAAATTGTGGCGGGAAGTAGCGCCTCGAGCACCCTGCTCATCTTCCAAGCCATATTCCCCTACCTCCTATACGCCGGAAACGAAGCCGGTGATCCGGTAGAGCTAGAGATCCATGGAGGAACAAACACGTCTTTCTCGCCATCCTTCGAATATCTCGACCAAGTCTTGCTTCCAACCCTGCACGATAGATTCGGTATCAATGTCGAGAGACAAGTGAAGAAACGCTCTTGGGCGAGTGGGCCCCGTAGCCAGGGGTCCATCTGGCTAAGAATCCAAACCCTTCTGCTGGGACACTCACTAAAGCTGCAGGAACCATGGAATAAGCCAATCACAGTCGAGGATTTCAAGATCAAGCGAATCGATGTGAGCATATTGGTGCCACCCACCCTCCGAGAGCCTCTTCAAAATGCCCTTACGAACGACATTGGTCAACTATTTCCCGAGGTGGATATTCGCTTCGTGGTCGACGAAGATAGCGGACATGACGCACGGATGTATACTTTACTCGTAGCTCATTCACAGACTGGTCTACGGTGGGGCCAGGATTACCTCTACGATCGACCGAGGAGGAAAAAAACACCAGAAGCTCTGAGTGCTGAGATATCGCGGAAGGTTTGCAAAGATCTTTACAAGGAAATATCGATTCGAGGAGTCGTCGACGAATACCTACAAGATCAAATGGTCGTATTCCAAGCTTTAGCAGAGGGCCGAACCAGTTTCCCTCGAGGCATCGAGTTGATACACCCCAGCACAGAAAGCAAAAGTCCTGGTGAGGTAGGGGATTTGGAGGCATCTCTTAAGGATTTGAAGCTAGGGGATAGGATGAGGAAGGACAAGACCGACGATCCCTTTGGTGAAGGATCTACACACACCACGACAGTCAGATGGGCGGCAGCTCGCTTACTGCCTGGCGCGCAGTGGTTTAATAAGGGTACTATCTGCGATGGCGCTGGCATATCCTTTCCTTAATGGAGTGTCGTCGACACCTATATTCTATTCCCGCGGCCTTGTGCTCTCAGTCATGTGACACTACTGATATTGATAGGTAGTGCCTAAATAGTAACGAGAGATTTGCCCATTTCCATCGAGTATTCGAATCACTACCTAAGTAGGGTGCGAGCCAACTTCTAAGCAAGGGCAATTTGATTCCATCCGCGTGTGCGATGGCTGACAGGAATTACTACCGGTCTATTGTTCGGCATGATGCATGATAGGGGAAACCCTAAGTCTCATCGTTGAACGGCCAGGGACCGATACTCAGCGATGTTGACGCGTCATCTCGCATTACTTCTACAAGGTGTCTAAGTTAATGTCGACAACGATTGTGGAAGAAACATGACGACGGAGATACCCACTCAACGCCATCCTAGGTCCTTCGTGGAAAACATCTGCATTCATTATGAATAACGCCAACCGAAATAAGTCCCAGTTTCATTACACATGCACTATTTCCAATTGTGTACAGATTAGGACCGACATGGTTATCATAGCCCACCCAGTCATCACCTGGAAACCCTATTGGAATTGTGTTCTGATAAGTCTGCTACGGTTTGACAATTTAGCTTGATGGTCAGTGCAAAACTCTGATCATTTGGTTGCCTAGGAAAATACCTAGGCAGGAAGGTTTATAATGTCGAATACTGGTAAGTATCAGCACCAACACAGAATCCGAGCGCATTGGGAGTAAAAACCGTATCCCGGTGGCCCAGTTGTCTGAGCTCCCGAGTCGACAAGCCAGTCAATCGACCACCGGTGGCGGTTTTTCGCGAAAAGCTTTCAAATAATGATTCTCTTCTCCCATTTTTCTTTCCCTGCTAGCCCCCCTTTCCAACCCCGACACAACAAAGCTATCCAACTATATATACTAAATCAAGACTTGGATCAGCACGTACGACCATATGACCTGGAAAACTCGGGATCCCGTCCGCTCTCCCATAGATAAGCCGGGTACAGCCGGATCAGTAGTTGGGTCGGTGACGACCAGCGAATCCCCGGTGTTGTACGTTTTCTTTTTGGGTTTTCACTTTTTATTCTATCGATACTCTTGGTTCATTTTTCTCCTTTTTGGGGAGCCTTGTCGTTACTATATTGGTCCTCGTCAATTTTTCTCCCTTGTGTAGACCCAGAGGCATCTACGGGTTATACATCTTCATCGTGCCAAGTCTCTTATATCTTTCCCCATAAATTGGCAGTGAACTTCCCTAGTACGAGAAGAAAAAGGCCATCAATATGAGTACTAGCTATTACACGTTTGCCTGGTTTAATGATACCCCGTTTAGCTCTTTCAAGACGAGCTGCTTACATGTTCAGCTATAGCTACAAGTGATAATCAGGCACAATTTCTACCCCTGGCATCGATCTATCAATATAACATCATTAGATAGATTGAACCATGAGATAGGGCAATATTGTTAACCAACAAGCACTGATGAAATATTGACTACAATTTGCCTAAACGAACGGAGACCGGCTAACCGGATTTCACATTAATTATAGAGATCCCTATATATCAAATCCCCCGCATCGCATGGGTAGATCTAGGCGAAGTTGGAGAAGCGGAGCCATTAATAGGGATCATAACGACTTTAGCCTTCGCTATATTCTCCACAGCTCGGGGTATTGTTTACCTCGAAGTTTTTTGACTCCGGTTGCGTGCCCGGCTCAAAATGGATACGATACCCGTACCTCAAAACAGGCGGTATCGCCCTCGAGATGTCAGCATACGCTTCCACAGGCTTACATCCGCCGGCTTCATCGTACCTTAGCGGGAGAGCCCCATCACATTGGGAACAATGTTGTTTCAAGCCTTATTCGTCTCCTTGCTCTGCCTATTATGGCATGGGCAAGGATTAAAGATACCCCCGCGGGATTTGAACTCGGCTGTTGAACCAAGGGATTCGTTGGAGGGATTGGTGAGCTGGTTGCCAAACTACGGTCTTTTGCATTTGCTGATATTCCACTAGGTAACATGGGATAAATATTCCATGACTATTCGAGGAGAACGCTTGTTCATATTCTCTGGAGAGTTCCATCCCTGGCGTCTGCCCAGTCCAGGCCTATGGCTCGACATTTTCCAAAAGATCAAGGCCCTAGGATTCAACGCGGTATCATTCTATACATATTGGGGTCTTGTGGAAGGCACACAAGGAAAAGTACGCTTCGATGGTGTCTTCGCCCTCGACGAATTCTTCAAGGCTGCTGCGGAAGCCGGCATTTACCTGATCGCCCGACCCGGGCCCTACATCAATGCAGAAACAGCCTTTGGTGGTTATCCGGGCTGGACCGCCCGGATCAAAGCGCCTCTTCGTGGAGATGACCCGGAATTCGTTAACACGACCGAGCTCTACGCCTCTGTGGTGGGAAAATTGATTGCCGACGCTCAAATCACGAAGGGTGGGCCAGTGATAATGCTACAACCTGAGAACGAATATGATACATGGCCAGACATTATTAATTCTAATTTCCCGGCCCAAGTAAATGGCAACTATATGGAGCATGTTAAACAGCAGTTTAAAAACGCCGGTATCGTAGTACCACAAATGGTGAACGATCATCTATATCAAGGAAATTGGGCGCCTGGGAGCGGGTTGGGCGAGACGGAAAGTGAGTATTGGATTTGAAGAAAATTCTTACCTTAAGAGCTAATTGTGGGTTTAGTTTACGGAATTGATGCCTACCCCCTGAGATACGATTGCGCACATCCAGACGTTTGGCCCAAGATTAGATGGCCCGAAAACTGGCAGAATCTACATGAGCAGTATAGTCCCAACACTCCCTTTTTCGTGGCCGAATTTCAAGGAGGATCTGGTACTGGATTCGGTAGCGTCAACGCAGACGCTTGTAACGCGCTCGTAAATGAGGAATCAGTGCGTGTCCTATGGAAGAACAATTACGGCTTTGGTATTAAGCTCTTCAATGTTTATATGGTGTGTATCCACACGACGCCAGGCACCTTGATATACTGAACTAAATCTTCGATAGACATATGGCGGGACAAATTGGGGAAATTTGGGGTATAAAGGTGGTGATACTTCGTACGACTATGGCGCAGCGATCAAGGAAAACCGACACATTTGGAGGGAGAAATATTCGGAAGAAAAGCTTCAGGCTAATTTCTTCAAAGTGTCTCCTGCCTACCTAACTGCTGTCGCAGGAAATTCTTCGAATGGATCATATGTCTCGACAGATCAAATCGCTACCACACCAGTATTCGGGACTAAATCACGAACCAACTTCTATATCGTTCGCCACGCAGATTGGACCTCAACAGATACAACTAAGTATAAGTTGATTGTTCCCACGAGCGCTGGAAACTTATCGATACCACAGCTTGGTGGAGATCTAGTACTATCACGTAGAGATTCTAAGGTCCATGTTACTGATTATGATGTGGGTGGAATCAATTTGGTTTACAGCACCGCAGAGATATTTACGTGGGCTAAAGACGCATCGGGAAAGAAGACGCTGATACTCTATGGCGGTGCTGCAGAAGTTCATGAATTCGCCTTTGACCTCAAAAACTCGACAGCATCTGCCCAGATAAGTCCAGATGACACTAAGGTGAAAACCAAGAAGATACGCTCAAACATTTTGGTTACCCAATGGGAGGTGTCACCGGATAGGAAGATCCTAAAACTTGGGGATGACCTCGAGGTCATTTTATTATGGCGCAACGATGCGTATAATTATTGGGTAACAGAACTACCAGCAGCGGCGCCAATTGGGAATTATTCCTCTCCATCGAAATCCACCGTCATCGTAAAAGGTCCTTATCTAGTCCGCACAGCAGCTATAGACGGGGAAATACTCCGGCTCACCGGCGACATTAACAGCACGACGGACATCGAGCTCATCTACGAACCTACTGGTAAAGTTCACACCTTGGTTTTCAATGGAAAAGCCTTGGATGCGGAGCAAAATAAAGACGGCAAACTTGCGGCACGATTGGACTTCCAACCCCCCGAGATAGCATACCCCGACTTTGCCTCCTTGGAATTTGGATATATCGATTCTCTTCCCGAGCTTCAAAGCGATTACGACGACTCGGCGTGGCCCGTAGGCGCTAACCCCACGACCAATAACCCTCAAGCACTACTCACGCCCACCTCCCTTTATGCAAGTGACTACGGCTTCCACAGCGGATCCTTGATATATCGCGGGCACTTTACGGCGAATGGCAACGAATCGATACTCTTCCTAAACCTTACAGGCGGCAATGGCTTCGGCTATTCGCTTTGGGTCAACGACACATACATCTCCTCGTGGGATGGAACGGGCGGCGGATCCACGCATAACGACACCATCTCATTGACGTCGCATACTTTCGAAGCCGGACAGCCCTACGTCCTGACATTGCTGATGGACCATATGGGACAAGATGAGGAAGCGCCGGGAACGGATCTGATCAAGGCGCCAATGGGAATCATCAACTTCGATCTCGCAGGACATGCGCAATCGGACGTAACGTGGAAGTTGACCGGTAATCTCGGCGGCGAAGCGTATCGCGACCTTGCGCGTGGCCCACGCAATGAAGGCGCGCTCTTTGCTGAGCGCCAGGGCTACCACCAGCCGTCGCCTCCGGATCAGGAATGGACGATTATGAATCCGATTTCAATTGACATACATGGTCCGGGGGTGAGCTTCCTAACGACGAAATTCACGCTCGACGTTCCGCCGGGATACGATGTGCCTATGAGCTTCGTGTTCAAGAATACTACGGCGGGCGCGAACCATCGGGTCCAGCTATTCGTTAATGGATGGCAATTCGGCAAGTACGTCGCAAATCTAGGACCGCAGACGGTGTTCCCGGTACCCGAGGGTATCCTTAATCATAACGGTGAGAATACGTTCGCGCTTACAATCTGGTCGCTCGATAAGAAGAGATTTCGATTCGATGGCTTGACGCTCGAGGCTGAGATGCCGCTATGGTCGGGGTACAGGAAGCCATGGCAAGCTCCGCAACCAGCGTGGCAGGAGCGCGAGGGGGCGTATTAGGGGGGCGTTCGTTTAGGGGCTCGCGAGCGTTGCGTATACGAAAAGGCGGATCGTTGGAAAATTCGGTATATTGATCATTGGCTCGAGATCGCGGGGAAAACTAGGCAGCAGCTCGAAACCCGATCGTATTCGATTTTGTACCTAGATAAATCTACATACTGTAGAGATTTCTTCACCGCGATGTAAGTTTGCCTCCTGAAAAGTGATAGATCGTATGCGTAAGGACAGATCATCTATATTCAACCCTGGGCCATATGCATCTCCGTCTGCCACAATCCGCTATTTCCATTTCACATATTTAAAAAGATGACACTGTTTTGATTGTGAATTTCTTAACAGATATATGTTAACAGGCACGTTAACCCTGTAAGTTACCACACTGCCACATCACTAATATCAGATGCTAGGGCTGCTAGGGGTGCTGTGCTTAACCTAAGCCAGCTTTGCTTGCTATCTGTAACGTGATTCTCTAGCAGTCCCCTGCCAGAAACTCAACTGGCCCCCAAGCATCATCCTAACATCATCCATTCCGCTCTTTCCGTGCACCCAAGCTTGAGCTTAGGCGCTCAGAGCTGTTAGGCAAGTATGTATTTGCAGTTACGATCTTCCTACGCAATGATCAAGCATTACAGACGTAACACATCCGGCCTAGTAATACAAGACAGACCTAACGCTATGCTTGTTAAGCCTAGTAGCTCCAAGGATGGCCTGTGTTAACCCTGCGATCCGCCCATAATCAGTTGGTCTGCTCGCACAGACGGAAAGCATAGGAAAAACAAAAAAAAAAAACAAAAAAACAAGGCGAACTATTATTTACTCCAACCAAGGCGCTGGGCAGCGGAGCGATTCCCGAACCACAACTTCTCTCGCGCGCCTTATAAAAACGCCCTCGGGCCGATGCTTTGACGTTTCTCAGATCCGCAACCATTGAAGCTTGAACTCTGGGGAGATATATCAAAGGGGGTTACGGTGAGTTGACCCGGGAGGTTGGCTCGATGGGTCCTACCAAGAGCTTTTGGACACGCTCCCTTGACCAAACAATCAGCAACCATGTGATCCTGGGCTTTGTTTTATATGATGTGATAAACATTATGTTGTGTTGGAAGTGTGAATATCTTCATGTTTTACAAACATGGGTTCCTGTCGTACTCAGTTAGATAGGTTTATGCTGCTTATAAACACTCCACCCATTCAACTTCTACTATACATACGATATACATATAATATAATGTTTGTATTTTCTACACCGGTCTGCTGTTTAATTTATTCAATACTTTGTCAGATCTATATATAAATCAAAACGGCGTATCAAAAACGGCGCACTATGCGGGCATGTGGCTTCACTAGAAGGGATGGCCCGCAACATCCAATTTCATTACGACGCGGTGACCCCTGAGGATGAATGTATCAGCCCTGGAAGAACCAAGATTTGATTTATGAAGTGACTACTTAGCTTGGTAGTCCAAGTATCTTGTTTTCGTGGTTGGATATATCCTTGTTATCGTGCCAAGTTATTGAAACTTGGTATATCCTCAACGCCAATATGTTTGTGTATGATCGTATTCCGTGATGTTTGAGTTGCATTTTGCGTTGTTTGTACTCCTTCCTCTACTAAGACCAACTATGCTTTTTCTTAGGACCGTTTTCGGGTTCCTTAGGGGCGTAGTCTGTGCCATCGTTGCCCCTAGCTGAGATTTTAATACGATGCATGACCATTCCCGAAGGCAGATTTGAGGCAAATTTGCATCGTATGATCCTAGTTGCCTTGTCCCTTCGCAAATCGATGCCTTTTTGACTAGACCAGCGCCAACGTACTGTATAGCTAGTTGGTGATAGGCGTCTTGGGGTCCGAATGTTTCGATGGGCCGTGCTACACTACTTTACAACGCGCTATTTTCTATCCACAAGGAACGCCGCGCGGCTTCAAGGATGATACTCAGCTCGGAAAGATCGGGCAAATATTGGTTTTCATAGCTGACCGTGTCTCCATATTCACGTTTAGGTGAATATAGTTTGGATGTTTGCCAGTCTCACCTTAGGCTACCGAAATCCTCAAACCCTCGTATGAGTCGGTCACCTGTTGACGAGATACAGTAAGGACTATGTGCAAATTCCTATTAGCCTTTAGTCAACTTTATTGTACCTTCTTTCGTCCATGTGCTGCTTGTTATCTGTGCTGCCATGGCTGCCTTACGTAGTGAAGGAAGGATAGTAATCTGTCTCGGATGAGAGGGAATGACAAGAATTAAGCCGATTGTAACGAAGCTGTTTCAGTCAGACTCGATACACCGAGGACATCTAGGGGATGCTTACCTTGGTACAGATCCCCTAGTATCGTTGATTTCGGTAACGCAGACGAATACCCCTATCTTCCCGCAGATTCTCAATCTCAACACCGCCAACCATGTCAGACGCAATGACCGCGAGTCCACAAAATCGTCATGGCTGATAGAAAACACATCATGTACTTTTGACAAGGCGAAAGAGAAATAATTCCGAGGCAATCCAATGTTATGTCCTAGCTAGCTGGCTGGATGGGAACATAAACCGAGTCCTGGACCATATTGAGAGATGATCAACCCATAAAATTCATTGTAATTTTTCCTCTCATTTTTTCTGTCTTTGAAGCCCTGTTCCGATATTTCATAATTGCTATTTCAAGCTTTAGCAAATTTGTTAAGAGTAATAATAGGAAGGGGATAACCAGATTTTAATTACGCAAGCTGCTACTATGAAAGGAACGGTTACATTGTCGAAAAAAGTGGTTATGAGTGAGATATAATCATGAGGAAAAATTTTTCTTCTCCCTTTCCTCGAACTATACATAGCCATGAAAATTTTGAACAACTTTCCGTTAACCCCTTTTACAAGGCGTTACAAGCGGTAATATGATGCTGGCCTCTAGGAGAATACATCGTTCTTTTTTGATAAATTTCAAATCTTAGAAACATCCTTACGTTGGATGTTACTTACATTGTAGGCTGAATGTGCTACATTGTGTCTCGTGATTGTCAATTACATATTCTCAGCATTCTTATTCGACGAGAAAGTTACGCCCGTATATTCGGGACCATCTGATCAATGAACTTGGATCCATATCCCAAGGTTCTAGCCGGCGGGTAGAAGCTTCTTGCACTAGCTGTCTCGTTTTAGGATATTTCCTCCGAGACATCTTTACCAGCAATAGGGAACGTATGGGGCGCCGCGTGGCGTCTCGTGGGAAGTAAGAATGGCGGAATCACACTCTCGCGCCAATCTCGGCTTTGCTTGAGGTATGACTACGTGTAGAGATGACCACTTGGTGATACCCAATTGCTGACTAAGCGGGGATTATAATAGCTACTCAAGCCTCTAGCCCCAAAAGAAAATTCTCCTTTCTCTTCTATGAGTCAAGGACAAACTTTAGGAAATAGTAATATAATGTCTCTTGGTAAGCCAACCTAGCAGGTTTCCTGTGTTGCTTAGACGTCGTCAGGATGGTTCTATAGGTTGACTAGAATGATAAATGTAGGGTTTGTACTATGACTATATTATCGCGATTTACATCACGTAATTGTCATTGGTGAGGTTAGAGGGCGGTTAATCGGTACCGGCTTGTAGTTGATGATAAGAATGGTGATGCTATTGCAACCCTCCCGCAGCAGATGACTGCCTTTTCGTGTAACGACCGAATGTAACTGTAACGAAAAATCAGCCTTGCTATTCACAGGTTGAAATGAGACGAGCTATTTAGACAAGGCTGTATATGTCAAAGAATAATCTGGACCGGAAACGGAAACGTAGAAGTGCCAGTGACATCAGGGTTACAGTTACATCTCCCTAAAGGGGGGATGATAAGAACAGCATGCTATAATCAGCACCGGGCCGCTGCGGTACATCCGAAAGGATTGTGTGATCAGTCAAGTCACAAAAGCGATGCTCTGACCGACATCCCGCTCACCGGTGAATTGGATGTGTGTGAATCTGGAAGAGATTGGCCTGCTGAGTAGACGCGCATAGGTTCCTGCAGGTCGACCGGAGACAGTCTCAATATACGGCAATTAATGGCGCGGGCGAAGACCCAGGCAGACTGGCGCTATTGACGCAGCTTATGAGCGCCAGAATAAACGCCAAGTTAACTTTTAACGCCTTATAATGACAGGTTGTTGGAAGCTGAATTAAATATATGTTTCATAACGCGATAGTTATATGCGCGAAAAGATGAAAATTGTGCGTATGCGAAGGGGATTATGTGATCACCGAGCCTCGTGGCCGGGCTCCGATTCACTTGAACCAATCGGGAGAACAACGAGAACGGCGGTTTCCTAAAGAGGAAGCCCTGTAGGAACAGTTTTCAGTCTAAGGACAACTGGGAGAATGAACCGAGCGTGGTCTGCCCACATGAATTCTCGAATATACGAATGAAATAAATTCGGGAGCAATAGGCGAAAAGAAAATGGCATTGCCTGTTCCAATAAGGCGTCATTGTAGACTAGGTACGCAACTGGGTGGCTAGCTGGAGCCGGGGAAAATCGTATAGCGGTTGAGTCGTCTCGGTTGTAAATCAATTTTCAACCCCGAGAGGGAAGGAAATCCTCTTTTCTGTTTGGTGGCCTTGAACTCGCAAATAGATTCTCACGTATCACATGATTAGTTCAGCTCCTTCGAGGTAGATAGAGGGAGGCCCAGTCGGTGTGAGTACCCGTGCATATCGCACATGGGCTCTGCCGAAAAAGGTGGAGTTACTCCGCGATGGCTGTAATCATTGTGAGTTGTCTCGTTTTGAGCCTTGCAGCGTTCTGTAGATCCGGTGAAGACTTCGCGTCAGAAGGCGGGGAATAAAGAGCTATTATCCTTCAGCCGGATGTGACCTGAATTCAACCCCGGCTTGGGAAGTGCGATAGCTCCCTCTCACTCGACAGCGCAGAAACCGTTATTGTCGCTAAGACTCCCTCTCCGCTAGAAGGTCATGGGGGATTGCTTTCGTGATGCTTGTGCGTTGCATGCTGGCCAATGGATGGCGCTTAGGTTTAAGAGAAGCGCCGTAGTTGAGCAGGTCACACGACCTTCAAGGTCCCCCGCAAGGGAAGCAGATCTCGAGGCCGGACGTCAGGAACAACCTAGAAAAGGAAATAGAAGAGATATCGATGGTGCAATTAGGACTGAGAATTTTCGACTACGCGCGGAGAGAAAACGGAAGCTCATCTCGATAATACCTACCCGCCTATGACGAGGAGTTTCCCTTGCGGTCTAAAGTCCGGTACCCTGGAATTGACACCTTTAACTCCCTCCAAGAATATAGCGCAGTCGTCTAGTGGACTAGTGGCCATAATAAAACCAGGAATCGCCCTTAAAATATCCAATTTATTATTGATATTTGATTAGACATGGCGGTGTAAGTAGAGCGACAGAGACTAGCGAATATGAATTGCATCGCTGGCGATATTGTATTGATCCACTGGAAGTTTAATATGACGCCTAGCTAAAAACGTTGTGCTTAGATGACAAGGGATTGTTCTGTTCAGTTTTCTCGTGGGCGCAAACCGGGTATTGATAATATGAAGCGGATTCGGGCAATGTTAAAGTCCCGACCTTTGGCAGAGGATGAAACGAATTTTGTCGATCCTATTAACCAGTGACGACATCCAGGTCAAGGTCAAATGACAAAGTGACATGGTTTCTGATAAGTGATGTTTTTCGTAGTTGTGGTTGTTCTTTTTTTTTTTTTTTTTCTGGTATCGTTGTTCGCGACATTATTTCCGCTAGGACACCTAATTCACATGGCTGGCTAGCTTCGCCATAGCAGCTGATGAGACGTTCCAGGGAGGGGTCCCCTCATCCCTGACTGGACAAGAACATTCTGAGCATTCTAGAACCATAAACGATGCCAATAACAGCAGCTGGATTCGTCGGAAAACGTGGGGGAGAACAAATTGACGCCGGAGCCCTTGTTTTCTAGCTTAGAAAGACTACCTAGGTACGTACGTATGAGAAAATGTCGGAATCCTTTTCAAATCGAAAGCGGTATGTATCCGGAGTCTTCCGGGGACCTTTAGGTACCAGCCACAGCCGCACGGGGTCCTTTTGACCGTGGTTGACGAAGGAAGAAAATCCTCCCCTCTTAATGATGTCGACCATACTTACGATCGACCCAATCTTGTCAACCAAGCTGCGCCGGACCAGGGCGTGAATTATATTAGTCTATACGGTGATTCCATCTTAGAATCTTAGTAGTAGACGCTGTAAGCCTGAGCGATCTTGATGGACTAATAAGCTTTGTTAATACGGCACGCGCGACCCGGTTGGGCGAAACTGGCCCACCACTAATGTTGCTAATGTTGCTAATGTTGTTCCTGACGATTTAGTCTTTTAATAAGATCAAGGATTTTTAAGCTGGACGAGGGATGAGAAAGAAAAAGGGACCAAGGCATGAGTCTTGTCCGTGTTTCTAGGCAGATCTAAATCGACTAGAAATGTTGAATCGAGACTAGGCTGACTTTTTTGTTGTAATAGAATTCTGAACTAGTTTAATGTGAAGCCATCTAGGAAGTCCTTTTCGAGTTAGCCTGTTTAGAAGTGCGTCGTAGACCTCCGCCTACCTGCTTTAGGTACCTACTTATTAACTATGATGACAGTTGGAAGCATGTATGTATGTAGGTGAGGATGCAGGTAGACGTAGGCAGTTGGCTTAGACGGACGTGTTCACGGAGAGTGAGGAGGATAGACGGAGATAATATGGAGAATGGAGAAAAAAGTGAAGATAAAAAAGCCGAGGATGGATGGGGGTGCTAGTCCACTACCAGACTACCTGGCTAGGTACCTAGAAAACTGATGTAAGTTCTGCCAGGGTCCATTGATCTTTAGCGGGTCGACTTACCCACCGGATAGACCCTAAAACGTTAGTGCTTGATTTCTACCGAAGCTGCTAAATCTGCTCCTGGCTGCGCCTACCCAGGCAGCCCCCAGGTGCCTACATGCCTGCCTTCCCCCTAGGCGTTTAGGTGCCTACCCAGCTACCTCACCCCCCATAATGGATCGGACTTGCCTGGTGTTTGATAATATTGACCCAAGGTGGAAGGCGCTGCGCGGCTCCAGACTGACAAGAGGGCAATGCCTATCCTACCTGCCGGTAGGTACCTACATGACCTACATGAGTAGCAGTAGGAGCGGCATCAGTAGTGGCAGCAGTCGCAATAGAACAGGTAGTACCACAACGGGTACCTTTTTCCCCATTACCTATTACCCTCCCTTGAGAGGCAGGTACGTCGATACACACCTGACCTTTTGCTAATTTTCCCTTTGAAAAAGCTTGTGAAATCATGGATTACATACCTAAAGTACCTAAGTAAGGTACCTATTTCCTTCTTTCTACTTTGTCTACCACAGGACCAAAATTTGAACAACCCCCCGTCTCCTACATCTTGTACCTATTCTAATCCTTTACCTTACCTCTCTAGCAAAGAATATTTTAACACCATCTACATATGTAGTTGGTCTCCCGACTAACCTGACCTTATCTACCCATCGAATGCCTATATTAATTTCTATTTCGAATAATATTAAAATCAACTAATGCTGCTTTCTTTTCACCTTGGAGTTACCATCGACTTACTTTGCGGGAGTTGAATCCCCTCCCTTTTAGTGTGGTGTTGGCATCCATCTACCCTCGTCTAACAAAACGAATTAAATCTCCGACCAGACTCGCTCAGTCCCGTTTGTGAGTATTTTACTACTCGTTCGTGTAGTTAATATACGACCATGTCACGAGTTTGATGACTGAAGCCTTCTCGTCGTCTAATTTACGCCTATCAGCCAGCTCCATAGCTGCGCGGAACAACCTGGACCGTTCTGATCCAATTGCTCGTCTTTTGGAGCTGTTGATGTGTCACCTCGGGCAGGCAGCAAACAGATGACCCAGTCCCGGCTGATCTTTTTCGTGTCTCAGCATTCCACTAGGGTTTCCGGCGTGTTTGCTGACTACCGTCCGCCTTCGACGGGCCCAGAAAAAGGGTCGCCGTTCTAGGCTACTCGATGCATTAGAGTGAGACCACTTTGTGTGGAGCAAGTATCCATCCTCGGACAAGCTGAATTCTCAGCGAGGAATAGCTCGCCGAGCATTGGCGGCAACTTCCACGGCGGCTCCCAAAGCTGATGAGGCGATCCAATCAGCCTTACCTGATTTGAGCTCTTGACGTGCCAACTATGAATCGCAGGGTCCGAAGGACTACAGATCGCAATATTCTTTATACTCGTCGCTGCTGGAGGCTCGCGCCAGAGGTGAGCTTGCAGGTTGACGACCGCCGGCGTAGCTGCAACCGGTCGAGATGGCGGACATGATCCTGCCCAAGGGCATCGTGTTCAACAGAAATTCTATTTACGAAGAGATAGCAAAGTACGATATCGTTCCAATAGAGCAAATACTTGAGGCTTGTCACGGTTAAGATAGTTCCTAACCACGCCATTCCGTAATTCATACTGACCATCCTATAGTCTTCACCACCACATCTCGGGAACTTGTTGACCCTACCGCGAGGCGACTCGAGAATTTTTGGACCCGCGTCTTGGGAGGCAACCGTCGCTATCTTCCGGGTACAGTTATTGCACGGCTCTTCCGAAGCATTTCTGAGGAAGAGAGCTTCGTTAAGTTACGGGGACCACCGAATCGATATGAGCCGGTAAGTCTCGCAGCACTCTACGGCTATTCATACTAACCATTGATCACTAAGCCTTCACCTGACTCGAAATCCGAATCGCCCCCTAAGACCCAAGCTAAACAAGAAAAGTCTGGGGAAGTACCTTCTGAGTCAAAATCAAAAGGCAAGGCCAAAGCTACGAAGGCTGGACCATCTTCGACAAAGCAGCCGCATCCCATCTTGAAGAAGCCTAGAGGCCCTTCAAGCTCTGGGCCACGGCCTACAGCTCGATTTGTTTCCCCACCAGGATCTGACAGAAAGCGTGATGATGGTAAAGACGGGGACCTCGCCTCGTCTGGGAGTACGGCGGTAAACCACGGTGGCGATTCGAGAGTCTCTAGCTCAACAGTCAAAGAGGAAAAAAGGAAGGCAACCAACACCACGCCTAAGAAAAAGACTACTGCATTTGTGGCATCTACAGCCTCCAGACGTAGGCCTGCCATGCCCCGACGCATTAGTTCTCAATCCTCTAGTGTCATCAGTGGGGCCGACTCTGCATCTAGGGAGGGAGGCTCTTCTGTTGGTTCGAAACATTCCGGGTCGCAAAGCTCGACCTCAACGGTCTTAGAAAAATCTGGCAAAGCAGCTTCTTCAATAACTGAAGAAGGTAGTGAACGGTTGAGTGCGAAAGCGGCAGGGAAGCGACCAACCACTCGACCCCCACCCGATGAATCCAGCCCCACGAAACCTAGCGATGCGCCGACAGCCCCGATTCTTAATCAACTACCGGTTCAGGATGAGCCTTCTAACATGAAGCAGCCAGATTCTACAGGTGACGATACGAATAAAGCAACCGTAGACGATGTTAGTCCCACGAAGAAAGCGGGTCAAAGTGGGACAATTCATAGGCGAAGTGATGCCCAGGAACGACCACGCGCAGAAGTCTCCCCCATCATGACTCGATCAAGATCCGACATGGGTTCTTCGCGGCGTAGCTCACAAGATGGCTTCCCACCATCCCAAAGTCTAACATCGTCGAGCACCACGACTATTTCGAACACGATCGCTCAGGGAACGATTATCGAATTTGACGAGAACCCTGTAGCTAGTGAAGCTGAAATGAACGCGGCGCGAGGGTACGAGGACGATTTTGAAACTGGTTCCCGAAGATCCGGAAGCTCCGTGCTCGATACGAGGTTTACTCCTACCCAACCAAGTACAACACCAAACGTACCACTTGGTCGATCCAAAAGTCAACTTACCCTACTGCTCGAACGTCAAGGCGAAAAAAAGCCCCGCCGATGAGTCTTATCGCTATACAAATTCAACAATCCACAGCTACGAGTATTCTTTTTGGGAGAATAAAATATTAGAGACCATTACAGCGGGGGCCTAGAAAAGTTCTCATACAAAACTGTATATTTACAATCGAATCACGTTCTTCTGTGATTCGTGTCGGACATAAAAAGGGGGAAAGGCTTTAGGACTGTACAGAGAGGCATTGGCATTCATATACAATGCATTGCATCGGCGTTAAATATTATTCAAATCAGCGTTAGGGGAGCGTTTTGCTTTCGGACATCAAGAATAGTTGGAACTATTGTATGGGAGTATACATGTCGCCCCCAAAACATGTTCATATTTAGGCCACATGGTTGGGCAGAAGTTGGTTCACGTGTGACTCTGCCTGATGTCGAGTCCGCTTAATCAAATATCGCTCAAGAATTCAAGCCAGCTACCTAGGTATGTACGGCGTCAATACTCCTCGGGATCGACTACGAACGAACTTGAAAAGGCGAAACAAAAAAGAAGCTGGGCACATTCCTACTGCAACAAACTTCCCACCGTCTTTTTTTTTCTTTTTTTTTTCGCTCTTCCAGGACTCCTTATCAGTACCTGGAATGTTGGCAATGGCACGTCGTTCGAGGAGCTTATTTGGTTAAGTAACACTTTGTCAGTTCGGCTCCATTTTCTTGAACACCCTTGCGTGGTCCAGAACAACCCCTGCCAGACAGGCCTTCTGGGTCAGGAGATCAGACTGATGGATCCCTCCAATGGATCCCCCGGCTCGTACACAGTGACTTGTAAATAACCTTGGATGGCTGCAAGGGCAAAATGCCGCCTCAAGCCGAAGAGGGTGAAAACGTGGTGGAAATAATAAAAGAACATGGCTTTGCAAGGATTATTATAAAGTTAATTGACCTGCCGGGTCTAGAAATCTTCCTTTCTTCCATCGCGATCGGCAGTCTCCGTCTTTCCCAAGCTGCTTCACCGAGCTGCCAGGTAGTATGTATGTGTGCGTATGAAGGTAAGTGGCCTACGACTTGCACCGAATCTATGCCGAAGGAAGAAGGGGTTATTCTTCCGATATCTCTCCTAAATAACCCGAACAACCCGAAGACCCTTCATTCCTACAGGGCAGAGAACAAGCAAGGGTCAAGCTAAGAAAAAATACAATAGGAAAATTTTAGAATGATATAATAGGATCATTAGGCCACAGGGGTTGATGATCTCCAGCTTGAGAATGCAAGGTTTAAAAAAACATCTACATACATATACCCAGGATATATCGACGTATATGTATATGGTAATCGATTCTGAGCACGTAAATTCTCTGTTGTATCCTTGATCAAACCCTGATGCCATAGCGTCATACGCTGACAGCTTCCAAGGTTTCTAATATTAAATGGCATTTGATGATTGGGATTGTAATCTGTAGGTATATCCCTTTGCAGAATAACACCCACTGCTACTATACCTATTTGTTGGATACCTACCCAGAATAGGTATGCCTATCTGAAAGACGGCAAAAACGCCAAGGCCTTCCAGAACCAAAAGAAATAGATTTCCTTTCTCACTTGAAAGTTCTCTAGGACCCCCTCCCCCCACGTAACGCACGCGGGTCATGCTGTGCAAGCCCCCTGCGGCTACCCGAAAGCGTTCACCGGAATGGGAACAGGGCTAGTTTTTCCCGGTCGAAGGAGAAGGCGAAAAAAAAGAGACCAGGCTTCTTAAGTGGGAGGACGACGAACGAATAACGAGCCTACCCCATCCCGGAGCCGCGCAACGTGATATCAACGGCCCCTGTCTAGTCGAGTTGAAAGGAAGGCCGGTTCGCCGAAACCACGACGAAGTAGCCATCCCACGTACGCCCGCACACGCGTACCGTAGCGAGTTATAAAGACTGGAGTGATATAATGGGTTTCATTATATAATGGTATATATAAACTATCGGCTACGTAATGATGAGGGAGTTGCAACGTAAACGAATTGACAATAGATACAACATTAAGAGATCGAGAAGGATTCCCGCGGGATATCTACTACACACAACCTTATAGCGTATAACGGGTATCTGCCTCAATTTTCAAGCCACATTCCTCTGCCACTCTGCCACTGTACATCTGGAACTCGTTAGTACACACGGGGTAGTCCGGACGTGCCGATATACCTATCAGGCACATGACGAGTTATCCGCCTTTTCTCTTCATAGAAAGCTAGGTACCTACCTGGCAGCCTGGTAAGACCATGTCGGTAGACATGCCGCGACGGGTTCTGCATACGTCAGACCAAGACAACGGACAATCCTCCCGCCGCATAGCTACCCGTCATTCCGGGAAAGCTAAGATTACACCTAGGTAGAATTTTGTTGGCAGGCAGGGTATTCTCACGTAATTTTTTTTTTCTTGAGAAATACCCAAGCAACAAAATCAAAATCAAAACAGAAGAGGGAAATACGTACGGCACAGAATACAAGGAAGAAAAGACTAACAAGCACGACGATCGGGATCGCCATTCCCGCACGGGCAGCGGGCCGGTGGCGGTACCTATTTCGACTAGGAAGTTGAGCAAGTAAAAAATAAAAAGAGGCCACTTAAAAAAAAGCTTTTTTTTTCTTGCCTCATCTTGTCAGGGTTTAATTTTTTTTTTTTTCTTTTTCTTTTTGGTAAGCAAGATATTTATTCCCACACTAACCTAAGCATACTAGATACATACCTCCTAGATAGGTACGCCATGCAGATCTCTGCTCCCATAAATGCCAAGGGATGTGTAGTGGTTCGTCCGCCTGCCCTGCTCATGTGTGGGGGCCAATAAGGCGGGAAAAGAGAATCCTACCGTCTCGCAAGATCCAGGGACCTGACCTGACCTGACCTACCTTACTTGCACTACATCATTACCTCCCTTACACCTTAGATGCCAGTATGTTATTCGTCGGTGCCCAAGAAAAAAAGCAGTCGCAAGGGTTCCTTGATTTATTCATAATTTTTCGTTCAGGAACAGACAGGGTGGGCTTGTCATACAGTATCATCTCATGTATGTCAGTTAACCTAAATACGACGGTAGCTTATAAGATGAAGGATCACCTTTACGCGTGCCGAGCTCATAAAATTTTATTTTCCTTGATTTTTTTTTTAATGCTAAATTTTTTTCTTCTTTTCGACATCCCGTCCCGTCCATCATTTGTCAGCTTACACCGCATACCGCTACACAAGATATCCAATGTACTATGCGTGTACGTAGCACATATGCGTGTTGCAGACTGTCGAAGAGGTACATATCATGTTATATGTAGGAGATGGAGATCCCAGGTCGGTTTTATGTAAGATTTGTAAACAAGGCGCAGATGAGATATGATATAAACATAGTGTTCAGGTAGCCTCGAAGGCCAAAAATGTGCCTTGTTTTAGGATGCCCACATACCGTACAACCTCAGATGGGCAGATGGGTAGCACGATACCTCCTCCGGAAGTAGTAGATTGGATTGGCATGGTATGCTGGTATGCTGTTTAGCACCGGCATTCCCACTGCTGCGGGAGGGCCCGCATAAAACCCCACGTTAATGGAGAACCGTGTAACAGCCTCCATTGTAGGTGTATACATTTACTTTTATATACTGTGTCTAAGTAGGATCTGATATACATACCTAATACCGAAACGCGCTGCCAACTGTCAAGTCCATATGTATGTCGATGTATGTAGAAAGCCGGAAGGCAACAACAGCGGCGTCCCCGAGCCGTTAGAGCAGAGAAAAAGAAAAAGTTAGTTCCCGTTTCCAACCATCCTTTAAGCTACGAACCCGACGGGCCCGGACGAGCAAGGGATAATGGAGACGCACTGTACTCGACGGCTAGGAGCATATGTAATATCGATCTAAATCTGTATGCCAAGTAAATAATATCAAATATCAAGTCATTCGCACCAAATTCGGTGGTCTATACATAGATGTATAATGAAGCACACGAGAAATGAAAATAAACATGAAGTCTGATTTAGGGGTCGTCGTCAAAATTCAATAGGATATATTCATTAGTCAAAATCATGAAATTTTAGTTCTAACATGAGTTTTCCTGTATCTATTGGCTGGGAGTTAGGAACCATTGGTCTTATTACCGACGAATCCTGATGAAGCACAAGAAATCTGAATGTTTACTGGCTGAGCAGAAGCCACTGGGTAAGCCCCCTATTCAGGGGTAGGTAGAAGCGGTCAAACCTCAAGAAGCGATAGGCCTCACCGCTCTTGAGATCTCGTACCCAGTGTTCATCAAAGGAAAATCGTAGCTTGCGTAATAGACCGGGCCACCTAACCTTGGGTAACACTTAGATCAAGAAATCTATCGGGTGGGTATTTGTTGGTTACATCCGGAAGACCCCAAATCTTGTCTCGCCAGGCTGGATATCGTTCCTACCCGACAGCGCGGCTCTCAGACCTAACCCGAGATAGCGCCGCGTATGCTGCGGCGGAATCACACCGTCGTCCTATGAAGAAACGCAGAGTTAGTCAGGAGGACGGAGATAGGCAAAAGAGATGACATGATGGATATGAATTGAGGGGGTGATCTTTAGAAGCCGGCAGGCAAAGTAAGATAGGGCGAGATAAGCAAGGCAAATAGATGATAGGCAATCGTCCAAATTCGCGGCTACTTACCCATAACCGAGCGGACGAGTACACAGCGTCGCTCTCGCGATCGATCCTTTCCCTAAGCTCCGGATCTGCCTTCTGCCCCACCGTTTCCATGACGCTGGCAAGCTGCTCGCCTCCCATAACACCGATCCTCGCGTTTGGCCACATCCAAAGAAACCTAGGACCAAACGCGCGGCCACACATACCGTAGTTTCCAGCGCCATAGCTACCACCAACGACTACTGTCAATTTGGGGACGTCAGCGCACGCGACAGCTGTGACTAGCTTAGCGCCGTGTTTTGCGATACCATCGCGCTCGGCTTGGGCTCCAACCATAAACCCGCTAATATTCTGCAAGAAGACTAAAGGAATCCCACGTTGAGCACAAAGCTCGATGAAGTGCGCTCCCTTCTGCGCCGAGGACCCGAAGAGGATTCCATTGTTGGCTACGATACCTACACGCTGTCCATAGATGCTAGCGAATCCCGTCACTAGTGTTGGCCCGTAGTCGCGTTTGAATTCCGAAAAATGCGATCCGTCGACGATACGCGCAATCACCTCGTGGATAGGGAGAGGTTTGCGAAGATTTGTAGATGCTATACCTAGAAGTTCAGAGGCGGGATATAGTGGTTCAGAGTAACTCGTCGATGGCGGGGTAGCTTTGTGCGGCCAGTTCAGGTTGCTGATACATCTCCTGGCGAGGACAATAGCGTGTGCATCGTCTACCGCTAGGTAATCCGATACACCAGACACAGAAGTGTGCATAGCGCCGCCGCCAAGTTCTTCAGCAGAGACCTCCTCGCCTGTGGCGGCCTTAACAAGAGGCGGACCAGCTAGGAATATGTGACCTTGCCCCTCTACAATGATGTTCTCGTCACTCATAGCGGGGACATAAGCCCCGCCCGCAGTACACAGACCCATGACCACTGAAACCTGTGGAATTCCTTGCGAGCTCATTCTGGCCTGGTTGTAGAATATGCGTCCGAAGTGTTCGCGATCCGGGAAGACGTCTGATTGATGAGGTAGATTCGCACCGCCCGAGTCCACCAAGTATATGCAGCTATTTTGTCGGTTAGACTACTAAACTTGCCCTATGCTGTTGCTAATGGATGTAGTATGACTTACGGCAGCTTATTCTCCTGGGCTACCGCTTGAGCTCGTAAATGTTTCTTCACAGTGATAGGATAATAAGTGCCTCCCTTAACCGTGCTATCGTTCGCTACAATCACACATGTAACGCCCTCGACGACTCCAACTCCCGTGATGATACCTCCAGCAGGCACATCCGCCTCGGGATAGAGTTCGTGACCTGCCAATGGAGATAACTCCATAAACGTTGTGCCGGGGTCTACCAATGCTGCGACTCGATCTCGAGGTAACATCTTCTTTCTCGCGATATGCTTATCCCTCGCTTTCGCGGGACCGCCTTGTTGTGCTGCATCCGTAAGCTGCTCGAGTCGGGTCATAGCTTCCCCCATCAACCGTTCGTTTTCCTTGAATTCATCTGATGATAAATCCACATTGCTTTGTATTACGGATATAGCATTAGTTTGGTAGGGAGCGGTATAGGACGCGATGGCTCGAGCAGTCGGGCGAAGGTGCAGGTGAGGAGGTCGGCCGGGGCGTCGCGCGCATTGTCGGGCCAATTGGCGTGAGAAACCAAGTAGGTCCCTCGAGCATCGTGGCATAGACATCTTAGAGGTATTTCGTGTTTCGCTACATACTGACACAGCAATTCTGCAATTTGTAAAGAAACTACAAGAGCTGACCAGGAATGTTGAAAGAAGGTAGGTAAAGCTGAGGGCGCTGACGTCGGGAAGCATAGAAGCGGGCACCGGTGATAGCCGCTGTGCCGAGGCTGCCCGCCTTACATTTACGGGCACACCTTACGTAGGGGAAAGAACAAGCCGAGACAGCATCATCAGCAGCAACCTTGAACTCAATGCAAACGCCAAATCTTGTACTACAATATATAATTTCATTTTACAGTTAATTATAAATCTTAGACATTTATTTATTATATGGATAATCAATTAAAATGGCAAGCATGAAGGCATTCAGAGTTCTAGGTCGGCATTCCTTACCAAAACCCGCCGCAAGATCCTTAGTCCCACCTCCGGCTTTAGCATCCCTTTCATTCTCACGCTCACCACAACACAACACCCGACGATATGCCTCATCATCAAAACACCCTAAAGGCTTCGCGCCCCCAACCCCCAGCGACCTCGCCGAGTTAAGGGAACGTGTGCAAGAATTCACACGGCGTGAGATCACACCAGAAGTTGCCGCCTTAACCGACAAGAGCAATGCCTTCCCGCCAGACATGTGGGCTAAGCTCGGGGACGCGGGGTTTCTCGGCATGACCGCAGATGAAGATGTCGGTGGTCTAGCGCTAGGATATCAAGCGCACTGCGTAGTAATGGAAGAGTTGTCACGAGCCAGCGGCAGCATCGGACTAAGCTACGCTGCGCACTCCCAGCTCTGCGTCAACCAACTACAACTCAACGGTTCCCCGGCGCAAAAAGCGAAATACCTCCCCGGTTTAATCGCCGGAACGCAAGTCGGTGCCTTGGCTATGTCAGAATCAGGTGCCGGCAGCGACGTCGTGAGTATGCGTACCGTGGCGAAGAAAGCGGATGGTGGGTACTTGTTAAGCGGGACTAAGATGTGGATTACGAATGGTCCTGATGCGGATGTCGTGGTTGTGTATGCGAAGACGGAGCCTGAGAAGGGGTCCAAAGGTATCACGGCGTTTATTGTGCAGACTGATTCCGAGGGTTTTAGTTGTGCGCGGAAGCTTGACAAGATGGGTATGCGGGGGAGCAATACGGGCGAGCTGGTTTTTGATAACGTGTTCGTGCCAGATGAAAATATATTGGGCCAGGTGAATGGTGGTGTACGCGTGTTGATGGAGGGTCTGGATCTTGAGAGACTGGTTCTCAGCGCCGGACCCCTTGGTATAATGCAAGCGGCTCTCGATGTTGCGCTGCCATTTACACATCAACGGAAACAATTCGGTGCTCCCATCGCGCACAATCAGTTTGTGCAAGGCAAGCTTGCTGATATGTATACGAAACTGCAGGCTTCGAGGGCGTATACCTATGCTACCGCTAAAGCTGTAGATGAGAATGGAGAGATTAGGACGCAGGACTGTGCCGGCGCTATTCTGTACGCGGCAGAACGAGCGACAGAATCCTCTCTAGACTGTATCCAATTACTTGGTGGCATGGGTTACGTGGAAGAGATGCCTGCGTCACGATTATTAAGAGAGTATGTTCTTGGAAGCATTTAACCCCCCTTATTGCGTGACTAACTGCTTTTTTTAGTGCCAAATTATACGAAATAGGGGCAGGGACATCGGAGATTCGCCGCATGGTTATCGGAAGGGCGTTCAATAAAGAATACGCTCATCTCGGGGCATGATATGAACCATATTAGCGATGCATACAAAGCGCAGTTCAGGATCGCGTATCTAGTCTAGCTAGGGTGTACTTCAGCTCGAATCAAGAAGTGAAATCGATTACCTGCCGCTTCTCCTTGGCAAGTCCTAGGATCTTCCCGTTCCAATACATATTCAACGTAATGTCCCATACGGACATTTGTTCTCGCTCTAGCTATCTCGCCATACATCTCTTCGCAATTCCCCTCATGCGTGTAGGGGCCGGACTGGTCTAGTATTGCAAGGAGAGCTTGAGTCCGTTCCAGAGACTTCGGTTTTAATTTAAGCAACTCCAACTCGCCTAGGTGGATGCTAAAGTGAACAGCTCTATTGCTCCATACAAGTAACATGCGGCGCATCTCATCTCCAGAGGGTTGTTGCATGCCCAACGCTACGAAGTATGGAGAATGGTGTGACAGCAAGAACGCGTCCCCAAAAACGAAGCAACTATACAGGCCTGACCATTCAATCTGCGGTCCTAGGGTGGACGAGGTATTGAATCTATGAGCATCGTTACATTCTATGTCGAGTCCGTTATAAAATATGGTTTGGATTATAGGAATTCCGCCGTAATGAGTGCCATTTCGCGTACCCCCGCCGTTAGACCGCCGGTGGGAAAGACGTTGCGTTAGAGGAATGTCTTGCAGATGGATACCTCCGAGGCCGAACCGTTCCCGCTCCCAGGGATAGAGCGTTTTTTGAATATATATTAGTTCATTCTTCTTCGTATAAACAGTATCTAAATCAACGCTCTGTAATTCAGGTGTAGCCAATCTCGCGTACCTATTACCTGCTCGTGGATGATGATGTGTCCTAATTAGTACGATTGATATTTGCTTTTTGTAATGCCCCGTAACTGGTTCATATTCCGCCGCATGCAACCTGGCGTTATAAACAGAACAGGCCTTGTTGCCGCGGAAAAGATGCGATTTTGTATCGTAAGATCGTTCGCCAAGATCAAGGCGTATTTGAAGTCCCCTATTGGTCATTGCGGACGGAGAGCCGTCGTCGGAAAGGGTCTCTTGGATACTTCCTGACTGTTCGAAGTCGTCAGGAGATCTCGCAAGTACACTTTCTAATGTCCACGCCCGAGAGCTAGATCTTGGAACGGTCCAGCAGAAGAGCGAGTGATCACCTGTCTCCTTGAGGAGTTCTTCCTGCAGCCGAACAAATGCATTTTCGCCTTCGCCATATAGTAGCGGCATGTTGATATTAAACAGTCCCAGAAGAGAGTAAGCCACATCCTCAAGACGTGTACATGATCTACGAGACGCCCAAGACATCTTTTGCGCAATACTGTAGGCCGATGGGTGGTTGAAACGCTCATGTTGTATTACGTTTTTCGGAATTCGTGTGACCCGGGAAACGATACTCGCCACTTCCAGATCATTTCGACGCCATGAAACGCTCCAGTTACGATTGTAGAATATAACATTTGATGGAGCAATCAACTCTTGTAATGTCCAAGCCCTAGTAAACCATCTAGAAATTTGTCGCTCATCCGAATTTTCGTTTGAGGCCGCATACGGGAACTAAGATTATGAGCGTTGTGTAACAGGTATGCTTTGTGCAAGTCTATCCTTCTTTACATACCTCGTCCTTATAATCCACGTCTGATAGATAAGCATAACAGGCGACGGAATTCTCATACCAACGATACATGGAATTAATAGCTTCGCTGAGTTCGGCGCTGCTTGCTTTATCGATGCAACAAGTGTCCACCCAAGCCCATTGCAACTTATCCTCGCGGGCTTGGTCGCAAGTATACCGAATCTTGTCGTAGCCTTGCTTGGAGGGAGCCCTTCCAGCCTCCCAATCTCGCAAGCTCACCTCGTCATCCCCCCAGGTGTGCGAAAGAATGGCATATTTTGGGATATTTTGACCTTGAAACTCACGTAACTCGAGCGTATCAACATTTATTAGGCGCATGGTGATGGTGTTTGGGGGTTAAAAAAAGTGAAGGTGGCTGTCAACATCAGAAGACCGACCGATGGAAGCCTAAGCCCCCCATCTTCATATTGAACCCGGGCCTCCAAGATCCAACCAATCGTTCCACATTGTAACCTACCAGCCGAGAGCCAGCTGGTACCAGTAGTAAAATAAGTATCGTTACTTAAACGCGATTGAAATGGATGTATAAAGTTGTTGGAGGCCTAGAAATAAGAATAAAATCGATGAATGGTTTGGATCGATTCTTCGAAATTGAGAGGAAAATTCAGGTAGCACGCCGGAGTTATGTAATGGAGTTATCATGTGTGAATACTCCGGGGTCATACGAATGAACGAGATAGAGTAATGCTAAATGAGCAGAGTATTGCTCATAATCATCTGTTCGTCGCTCTACCAAACAAGCAACGAATTTTTAGCATAGGAAACCAGAATAAAAACCATAGGTACAATAACTCAGAAATAAGATCAATTGATACATAAAACTAATTATGGAGAAGGGAAAATGCCATGATCACTTGAATGATACATCCGAGCGGCTGGGTTGCGTAATACGAAGTTGTACAATGTAAAAGGTGCGTAATTTAGTACCGGTACCGTGCATTTTGTACGAGGGAAGAGAAATAATCATGTGATAAGAAGGTGTATTGTATATATACATTTTCTTTTTTAACTGTATATAGTACTTACCTAAGCAAATATTTAATTAGTAAATATTATCTATTATTTTCTTTTTCTTTTTGATTTTCCCTCTCAATTTTTAATTAAAAAAAAATAAAAAAAAAAACTACCATTCCAAATTCATGGTTTACATATTCAACCCAACATGTTCACCTACATGTAGGTATGAACATATAATACGCAGATCATTCTGTCCGCCGTAACGTTATGAGCTATCAAAAGATCGGAATCCCTTGCAAAATATTACCTTAGCAATCTAGCTAGGCCCGACATATGCAAGTCCTCGTTCGGTTTGCTCACTGATGGGGCGGGCGCCGGGCGCAAGGGATCATATGCTGTAAACGTGCTGGGGACGGATTGGTCATTAACACGTTATCCTTGAGCCGCCTGCCGCACCAGAAAATGCTTGCTCAACAAAACTTCTTTGTCCGATTTTTTTTGAAGCGGGAGTCCTACCTAGTATCTACACCGCGTGTCCACTAGGAGGAATTCCCCCTCCTACTTATTTCCTCGGTAGACACTCGAATCAAAGTGTAGGTAAGATTGTGACAGATTATATAACCCGACCGACCGACAAGTCTTAAAGAAACGGAGCTTTAGGAGCGAAGGGCGTACGCGCGCAATCTTAGATGCGATGCTTGACGACTCGGATCGCGCCCCGTCGGCGAATACAGCGTTCCCATCCATCCATTACCAGCGCACACAATACACACAATACACACAACGCACACCGTAGCAGGAGCCGATGTAACCGGTCAGGTGAAGGCAACCTGACAGAGTAGATACGATCGTCGGTTTGCCTGACTATCTATTGTTTCGCGTTAGCAGGAAATGTGACTGCGGTGGATAATAAAAAAAGGGCCACCCAGTATTCTTCGTTCTGATCCTGAGTCCTGACTAGCTAGGTCCTGTTAAGTGTAAGTTCCTTGTTCACCGGCTTTTTGATTGATGTGGATGTTGTGGCACGTCAGCAAGAGCACATTCTTAGCCGCTTACTGACCGGTGTGAACGTGGGTGAGCTGTACTCTGGTCTTCTGGGCTATGTAAGTTCGCGCGAAGAGGAAATGGATCTGATATCGCGAATTTGGTATAGGGCGTACAAAACCCAGCTGTCGAGAAATTAAACTAGGTCTGCCCATCTGGCTTGGCCCTGCCCTGCCCTGTACAAGTGTTGCGTCGTACTGCTTGCTTGCCTTCGTTTTGCTTTTTTCCATTCCCTTCCCTGTCATACCCCGGATTGGCGACGGACTTAGCTCCGGTAGAAAAGCGATTGGATACGCACGTCAACTTGGATACAATTTTCTCAACTCATTTATATGTTCTAGAGAGATTTTTATCACTCAGGGCGTAGATAGTTTAAGAACCTAGGAAGGCTTTTCCCCTCCTTATCCCGGACCAAGGGGGATCGACCCATAAGCCTAGAGCTTCCCGCGTCTGACCATGTGGGTGCAGACTGAATATGTCAGCTTAGGCAATTAGACCCGGTACATGTAAGTTATGGAGTAAAACTCAAAGGGGAGTTCATCGACAACACGGGAACCACTAAGAGCGCGCGTCTCGAGGGCAGGGTATCTTTCTTCCATGCAGTTGGAGGCCACGTCCATCACCATAGCAAGCTTCAGCGTTACAACAATCCCGTAAGGGCGAAACACTGAGGAATAGCTTCCACCGATAGAAAATTCCTAGAATCATGTTTGTTTCTGGTTCCGGATGCAGGCCCGCCATCTTACATCATTCGGAATGACGGTATCCTGACGAAGGTCCTTAAAGTGGATCTATCGAATGGCGGTGGTTAATATAAACGAGCTTGAGTCTTGCCATGACCCGAATCACCCCTGCTTAATGGAGTCAATGCATCGCACAGCAGATATTTAGAAAGATGGGAGATTCTTACATTCCCATAATACCGTTGATCCCATCCTGATACTGTCCCGTAGCAACCCAATAGTCGACGTTTCAGCACATTATCCTCTCACCTTGTACGACTTAACCCATCGAGGAAGAGACGACTGATCATCTTGCGGGTCAGCCGGCGTTAAATGGAAGGGCCAATGGTTTCTTATCTCCCCCCAGCCGGTCAAGCCTTTCGATGCTGCTGGATGGGTGCACACATCTGAGAACAATGGCCAACGGGGAGATGCTCACTTTTTTTTCCTGCATCTAAGGTCTCAGCGGACAGGGAAAAGCCAGTTGAACGATACACATGTCTTAGGGGCGTCACCCAAATCGTTTTTTCCCTTACTTGGAGGGGTGGGTAACGGCAGCGAGTTCCTACGGAGCCCATCGAATTCGACCGGTGATCGCAGGTTTTTACTTACGGGAAAGTCTCGACCGTGTTATGCAGGAGGCATGCATGACGTTGATGGCATAAAATCCCACTCGGCAAAAGAGGAACTATTAAGACTAAGTGGCCAGTCACCACCTTGGAGGCTTTCGTCTCCGCAAATAAGCTTCAGGTAAGCTCCAGGGCCTATCCCGAGTCCTCGGTCACATACGCCTTTGGCTTGTCTGGTTCTGACCGGAATATTCCTGCTTCAGATCTAAAATCCAGCTGTGGTTGGTTCCACAGGGAGCAAAAGTGATCTATCTTATTCTGACCAAAGAATTTGCAGATCAATATGATAGGAGGCTATAGGAAACACAAAGTCTAGCGTCCCAATTAAGCATACATTTTGCGAATCTGATGGTTTCAACGGAACTACTACTACATAGGTGAGGAATTGGCGGATTAGGTGCGCGAACCATCTCGACTAGGACCAATAAATCCGAATCGAGTGGACTCGGGCTAGTACGATAGACTTCTCTCCCCACGAGAGATCTAGCATATTAAATGTGAATATAAGCCCCCCAACGACTGCACGTTTGCCATAGATTCTTCAGCAGACCAAGCAACTATTCTTACTATACTATACCAAGCCGGTCGGTCGCTCGACTCTATATGTTAGAGGACCCTTACTATAACTCACAATGGCCCACGGATCTCACGAAAAAGTTGTTCGGCCCGTGACCAAAAAGAATACGGCTCGATCACCTGCAGTTAAGGCCGAACCAAAGGGGGCTATGAAGATCGTGAGAAAGTTGAAGGAACTAACCAGACGAGAACTATGGACCAAGGTTGACCCAGATCATAGCGTTGATTGGACCGATGACCGAGTTTGGGACAAGATCAAAAACGAAGGTTGCTATCACCGCGCTGACGAAATGTTAGTCAGTTGTGGCACGGTGACTATCAGCCAGCCGGACTCACTCCGACCAATGGTACTGCTGGTCTTCAACAAAAACATCGGCATATTCCAATTGCCCAAGGGGCGTAAGAACTTTGACGAGGGATACCTTGCTGCAGCCCTGCGTGAAACAGCTGAGGAGACCGGAGTAGCTGCCCGATCACTGCGACTGAGGTTCGGTTCCAGATCGACGCCACCAAAGAACCAGTCCACCCAGCCCCGAGTCATAGAGTACGGGAAGGAGGACAGAGACACAGGTATCACAGAGGGTCTCAGCAACGAGAGTATCGGTGCTAGTGAATGGTACGTTAGTTACATGGCGACCTACCTTCCGCCCCGCCCACATCTTTTCCAGTTTCATCCTCTCCACTAGTTCGTTAGTCCTCTGACTCGACTGACTGTAACATACAACAGTATGTACTCAAAAAGTTCAATATTAGTCGTTTGGATCTCCCAAGCCCCTTCCTAAGTGGATTCTTAAGTGGTTTCATATTTTACAAGACAGTACCAATGCATAATAGATCCGGATCCTGCTACCGGGGCGTGGAGGCATATTTACTGGTATGCGGCCCAGCCTTTGGGAGACACCAGACGCGACGAGAGTCGAATGACCGATGCAGAGGACCGAAAGAAGTTTACAACTTACTGGTTCTCCGAGACGGAAGCAATCACCCGGCTCAAGCTAGAGGACGAAAAATTTAGTAAGCATATCTAAATACTTACCTCCTTAACCTACCTACTATATCTTACCTCCGCTCTCCCCAATATTTCCAAAAGCCGCCACGTCGTCTTCAATCCTACCCTCCTACAGCCGATATTCCAGGGGGCAAACGTGCCATCCCTGAATGTGACCCGTTCATCGTTGATTATCGTTGATTTACTCTTCGTCATCGAGCAAATGACTTATTTGCATTGATAACAGTGGTTCGAATCACCTTCGCGTACCTCCGTAACATGTCGGACGAGGACTGGGAGAGTAACAAGAAGCAAGAGGAGAGAGAAAACAACGAGGCATGATCGTCTGTTGGGAATAGCAACAACTATTAAGAAAGGTAACAGGGGATATCTGTGCACGCGACTGAAAAGGGTTGGAAGCACATACCCGAAGACCAGTATGCAGTTTGTAGCTAGGTTGGGTAACGATTCTCATGATGAATGTTCAATTCTCCAAGCGCATCAACGATCATGTGGCAATTGAAATGCTTGCCACTTGGTGATATATCGCGCTTCATTATACTTGTACCTGCAGAATGCATTTTCGAATTCGGAAATGGGGTATATGTTGAGACATCGTCGATACCGAGCCCCATTGTTGTGATGATAGATATCGTGATATCTTTTGTCTTAGGATGGCCTGACAATTAGAAAAAAGTTGTTGAGTCTAGAATTGCCACAAGTAAAAAGGGGCCGCACCATAGCTGTCAGCCCTATGGGCCCCTATCGTAAGATTCTAGACTAAACTTTAAGAAATTAGCTGTCTTAAAAGGGAACTGGGCTAGTCCATAATTGGTATAGATATCTTAAGCCGACGGCCGTTTCCGATTGGTAGTTGTATATGACATCACGGCGGTATCACAAAAGCTTTACCCCACATCCGAAATGAAGCTACCCCTCACGCATATAAAAAACAGCCGACTCATTGATATCATAGACATATCCGTCTACATGTAGCGATGAATGAAGGTTAGGGAATATATAGGTATGTAGGAATTCAAGTGTATGAATGTTAACGCGTTATTACCTAGAGTTAAATTGCAAAAAGGTGCATTTCGGAAAACCCAATTGAGCTATTAGAGCTATATCTGTAGAGTGAAATGTCTTTGTCGAGGCTTCCTGGTTCCCGAAGAGCTGCTGCTATTGCATCAGGGCTTGTATCTCCACCGACCGCGGCTTCTCAGGCTCATCCGGCATCTTTTCTTTCTAATTCCAACTCTAACTCCAATCTCAATTCTTCAACCTCAACAACTCAATCACCCAAAAACTTTACTACACAATCAACCCCTTTCAAACAATTCAACACTAGACAAACCTGCAAAATGTCGACAATGCCAGCTCAGCACGGCCACTCCGAGGCCTGTTGCAATATCCCGCCCGTAGTTTCCAAGGGATATAACGCAAAGGGTAGCTATGAGGAAATCGGAGGTTTCAACTCATGTGAGTCTCTAATCACCCACCATTCAGGTCGCATATACCTAGCTCAACTACTAAACAAACTGGGCTTAAGACGTTACCGGTCCTCAAGGCGCAACTAAAGGAATAGTCAGTATCTTCGACATCTTTGGTTTCTACCCGCAAACCCTCCAAGGCGCCGACATCTTAGCAACTTCGGATTACTCGCAAAAATACAAAGTTTTCCTCCCAGATTGGTTCCACGGCGAACCCGCACCTCTAGAATGGTTCCCACCCAACACCGAGGAGAAGCAGAAAAAGCTCGGTGATTTCTTCCAGAAATACCCACCACCTAGCGTCGCCGGCAAAGTCCCAGACTACCTTAATGCGCTCAAAGCCAAGTACCCCGAGATCACAAGCTGGGCCATCATGGGTGTACGTCCCAAACCCCCGCTCTTCTCTCTCCCTTACATAGATTAGAACAGCATACTAATTCTATTATTACATCACAGTTCTGCTGGGGCGGCAAAGTAGTATCCCTAGTAACCTCCCAAGCCTCCACTGGATTCTCCGCTGGCGTCGAAGTGCACCCCGCCTTCGTCGACCCCTCCGACGCCGAAAACATCAAAATCCCACTCGCGCTCCTCGCCTCCAAGGACGAAACCCCCGAAGACGTCGAAAAGTTCGCTAAGAACCTTAAGGGCCCTAGCTACATTGAAACTTTCGGCGATCAGATCCACGGATGGATGGCTGCGCGCTCGAACCTAGAGGACGAGCGCGTGAGGGCGGAATACACGCGTGGATATGAGACTGTGCTGAAGTTTTTAGCGAAGCACTTGTAAGACGTTATTCAGCTTAGGATTCAAGTGGGCAAATGATATCTAGCCTCTGCATCTAATGGAGTAGCCTTTCGTCTCGCTTTTCTGAGCGACGAATTGATGGTAGCTAGCTTATGAAATTTACGATACGATATCAACGCATTATTCTCCACGTGCGGGCGCATGTTTAAGTCGCACAAGTAAGACACACCATACTGGGATTGTAAAACAATGCTTTTGTGAAATAATAGCAGCGAACTGTCTAGCCTGTCATAAACCATCGAATTAGTGCCTTAACGCCCATTTTTCTTCATGCCTCGTGTCTCATCATATCATGAATTGACCTTTTTTGGTAATCGCCACCGCCTAGCAAACGCCGCCCGATAAATGCAACGCGATAGGAAAGAAACGCAGATAAAGTCCAGACCATTGCCGCCCTGTCGGGATGTCCGAGAAAGTGAATATTCAGATGTACGCCGGTCTCCGCATGCAAGTTGACGACTTCTCTCCACTGTGGGGACGGAACCTCCTCCGACCCTTATGCCTTATCTTTTTTCGCCCTCAACCGATTTAGGATTCCTTCTCAGAACCATCAACCGGGACAGCGTCCATAGCAGGGGCCTTCTCACCTCCACCAGTTCCTGTCCCTAGCGCAACCTCCTCATCCTCAACACGCATCTTTGAGAGTGCGTCATTAATGGTACCCTGCTGCGATGCGTCTTTCTCCGCGGCTGTTGATGCATCGCCGTTGGGCTTTGCATCTGCAACTCCAGTTGCCTCGCCGGCTGCCTCTCCACCCGAGTCTGCCTTAATCTCACCACGACCCTCGCGCCAATTAGCAGCCATATCACGTCCCTCAGTCTTCGCCTCCGGTTCAGGCAACTTCTCGATCTCCGGAGGGGGAGGTGCCTCCTCCTCTCCAATCTTCTCAAACTTGACGACAGCCCATTCAGTGCTAAACGCTGAGTTCCAAGCAGAGGCATCACGAGGCCTAGTGGGGATTAGGTTACCGTAGCGGTCACGGCGCTCCCACTTCTGTTGCTGCATGCGCAGGAGCTCAGCTGAGTGGGGTGCTAGGATATTGACACGCACGATACGGTACCATCCAGCGAATGCAAAGGGCTTGTTGTAGCTGTAGGTTCGTTGCTCTTCAAAGGCAGCGATAGGTCTGTGGGCAGTCGGGATATAATCGATAGGTGTGATAGCGGGGAAGCTAGTCTCTTGGTGTTGCGGCTGCTGCGGCTGCTGCATTTGAAGACGGCGCTGCTTTGATTCTTCCTCGATGCGAGCCTGTTCCTCAGGGGGTAGGTAGCGAATGTCGGTGAACTGCATGCGGCTGGGGGGAGATGAGACCTCTGGGGCGGGGACTTGTGCTTCGTCATCCTTTTCGTCCTTAGCAGGGCTAGGAGATCTGGTAATCTCGGTCTTGTCTCCTGGAGGGGTGGATGAAACTTCAGAAGCAGATGTGGCTGGGCCAGCCTCGTCACCCGGAGCGCCATCGCTTCCGGAGTTAGGAATGTCCGAGTGATCGCCATGGCTTACGTTGGCGTCGCTAGTGTTATTAGCAGTGCCATCGGTAGGCTCGGGTTGGCTAGATGCACCAGCATCCGACGCCTCGGGAAGTTCCCAGTTGCCATGCTCCTCTTTCTTGGCAATGTAGTCGGGTAACAAATGCAGCTTTGATTTGGCGAAAACGATCTGATCGCCGGACCAGCGGGGGTTAGCGCCAGAGAAAAGCAGCAGGTAGGAGAGTTGATCGGAATGTTCCTTGGAGTCGTGAAAGGTAGATTTTTGGGTGTCGTGAACGCTCGAGGCTGTGTCGGGACCCCAGAAGTAATTCTGAATCTCAGGCAACTTGTAGAGATCCGCACGATCTAGCTGTTGATCCTGGTGCTGGTAGTCGTTGCGACGACCCTGGAAGAATTGGTTCCCACGATTATTACCATAGCTAGAACCATAGCCACCGCCACCTCGACCACGACCCCAACCACCACGGAATCCACGATCTCCACGACCCCCACGAAATCCTCGGGAATTCATGTTACCGTTACCTCTGTGCTGGTACGATGTTGAAGAATATTGGAATTGACCAGTGGAAAATGTTGCTTGTGCGTTAGCTGCTTCGCTAGCTCCATGCGGAAAGTAGCGTCGGAAGGGAGGAATGTAAGCTCCGTAAGTGGGAGACATGGTCAATGACGTAGACAGAGTTTAATCTGCAGGAACGATAAGTGGAGGGGCTGGAAGTGGATTACGTAAATGGAAAGGTCGAACTTAGTTTTGTGATTGGGAGCGTAGGAGCGATTCAACAAAAAAAGTAAAACCAGGTAACAAGCCTTGAAATTGGAATCGACCTAAGCTACTTAGATAGTTGCGCCTGTAGGTTGAGGTGATTGCAATGGACATTTTGAATTGCACAATACGCAGAAAGAAGGTGCGCATGTTGTGCAGTTAATTTTTACTTTGCACCCGCCTCTGAGCTTAATGAAAACGCGTCTCCTGTCCTTCTAGGCAACAATACTGAATGGTTCAAGTTATTTTCATTTTAGATCATCATCGTGACTTCCGAGGGCTATTTCCCATTCTAAAATCTCTCCTCCTTTAAAAGTTACAGCGATACCTCCCGTAATTTAAAGCGAACAACCCACCTCCAAACGAGACTCAGATGCGCACATACCGCATTCAACGAGAGGTTTAGATACAATGGCCGCTACGCAATTCGCCTCTCGGTTCTACGAAAATGGTCATCTTCGCTATACTTGGTTTGTTAGAAGATTTGAATGCGCAGGATTCAGTTAACACACGCACGCATTACGTTCATATACTCGATGTTCCCGACACGGCGCCAGATGCGCAAGATCGAGCTACGTACTACCTAAACTCCCAACACGCCTCCCACAAGCGAGGTAACTCAAAATATTATATTCCTGAAACTATTGATACTATCTCGTGAGTACTTAATCAAGCCCGAGTACGAATGAATACATGAAGACCTATTGTTACGGTATTGACTTGCGAGGTACAATGAACATATCAATCCACATTCTTCTCAAGTGGAAAATAACAATAACCCAAGTCTTACAGTTTCCTTAACCTTGTTGCCACAGCATAGTTGTCTTGCCCACGAAGCTATGTTTATCAATCGCCTCAACTTCTTCTCGATCCAACCTCCACCCGAGGGCCTCGACAGCTTGCCTTGCTTGCTCTGGGTTTCTCACGCCTACTACCGGTAGCGCGTCCTTACTTAAATTATAATTCAACGCGACAGCCGCGACGCTTTTCCCCTTCTTTCTCGCAATCTCCTCCAATACTTGTATCGTCGGTTCCACGCTCTCCATGTCGTAATTACTAAAGCGATAGGTCGACGGTGGAGGGTGTTCCGCGTTATACTTTCCCGTAAGCCGACCTTGAGCTAAAGATGAATATGATTGGAATATAACGTCCATCTCACGATATGCTGCGACATGGCCCTCGAGCTCGGGGTATCGCCTGAGAACGTTGTACTCGCATTGGTTGGTCGCGAGCGGCACGCCGTGCTTCGCAAGTTCTTTGCGCATATGTACGAAGTCGTTAAAGGCGTAGTTCGCCACTCCGACGGCCCGCGCCAATCCCTGGTGCACACATTCGGCCAACCCCTTGGCCACATTAGGGATCGATTGCGCGTGGATGTGGCCGTGGACTAGGTATATATCGACATAGTCCAACTTCATACGCGACAAACTGCCCTTGAGCGCTTTGACAGGTGCGTCGACTGGGTGGAGTAGGTTACTCGGGGCGAGTGGGAGACCAAGCCATTTCGTCTGAATGACAACGGAATCGCGCGGTCGATCGGCGATCATGTCACCGACAATTTCCTCGCTTCGGCCGTCACCGTAAGCCTCGGCTGTGTCGATGAAATTGATGCCACTATCAAGGAGATACTTGAGTGCGTCTTTCAAGGCTGGCATTTCATCGTCTTTCCAGTGCCATGTTGACTTGTCCCCCCATGACCAAGCACCAATGCATAAGTTCGAGGCCTCGATGAAAGGATCCTTTGCCGTCGCAAATTTGGCGCGGGATCTTGCGTCAGGACAGGAAGATTGCGGAAGAGTATTCCTGCCGTCTTGTTCTGGGTCCGGTCGCTTGGGCTTGCTCTTGTGAAGCCCAGCGGTCGCCGCCATACCGGATGTTAAGCCAGTTTGAAGAATCTTGCTCTTGTCCATGATGAAAAATCCAGTGCAGTGCAACACTCAGAGCAATATATCCCGGCGAGTATTATGCCTAGTTTCGTATGGTCGATCTTCACGAATAACATGACAACAAGGGAGATTATCTCTACCTACTTTGGGTACGTGGACCATATTACCTTTGAGGTCAATGTTGACGTATACTATCGTCACAACTCGTAATAGACTTGATTGGGTCACATTGATTATATCATCAAGCGCTGTTCGAACTCTCCTATAATAACGTTTGTGAACTATGGGGATTCCTCAACGTTAGATTGAATATGACTACAGACCTTAGCGACCCCTATTCTTACACCTCACCACAGTCACAAATAAAGGGCGATTGAAGATACAATGTCACAATATAACAACAATACAGAGTATAAAAACAAAGAGGACAATCTATTGGTCTAAAGCAATATCTAAAAACGCCAACAACCCCCTTTTTTCCCTTTGTTTTATATTTTCTTCTTTTTTCCCCATCTAGGTTCTTTACAAATTACATCCCCACCCGACGGCTAGCATTTACAATCTCCTCATCGCGACCTTCAGAAGTAAGGTAAGGTGGGTAGGTACGAACTCGCCCAATTTTAAGAGTAACGCGACAACTCCTCAATGGTAAATGTGCTCGAAGTCGCGATGGAACTTCGCTACATCAAGACGCTTATCCAGCTCCTCGTAAATCTCCTCAACCTCCTCTACAATCTTCAAGCGCGAAGTACGCTGAGAGATTCTAACGGTGCTCTCAACCCGGTTAAACCCGATGTTGGGCTCAAACTTGTCTAACTCCTTCTCGTTAGATGAGAGTGCGTGCTGCGCGACTCGGCGAAGGAACGAAGTCACGAAACCCTTCCCCTGGTAGGACATGTGCGTGAGCATGCATGTCACAATCCCTAGGAGATCGATCTCGTTCCGGCGTTGGTACAGGAAGTTCACCATCTTGTCTACGACGACGGTTGGGATGAGCTCATCAGGGTACGTAGTGCTACCAACGATCGAGAACAAGTTCTCGGCTGTGGCCTGGTCGACCTTCTCCGGAGACGAGTCCGAAAGGGTCGCGAGAGCTACCACGATGCCATCTTCCCCGGATAATTGGCACGGTGTGCACGGAACATTCCTAAGCAGCTCATCATGAAGGTCTTGAAGGTGAGGCTCAAAATACTCAGCGATGAGCTGAGGAATGACGCTCGAGTCGCGGGGTTCACCGCAGATGACGCAGTTAGGGTCAAGGACGATAGGCATTGTGAATACCTGATGACAGTGATGTACGATTGTACGAATCGACGTGTTTACTACTCAAGATGAAGATCTAGGTACGATGTATGAATTGATACTGTTTTCCTTAGACTGTTGAATTAGATCTATGAATGGATGCTTCTTCTCCCTCCAGATTCTGCTAAGTGCGATCCATCACCACGCATATATAATTAGATACTCAATATCATTGGTTTTCGAGCAACTCCTCCGCCTCGTAACAAAGATAATGTATCAAGAACGGAGCTTTGCATTGGAACAATTGAACAATTGGATTAAAGGCATTGCGTAGCGCTAATGCCTATTATTATTATACATTTCTATGGCCAGTGATCAAAGTCGGGGCTGGGGTGAAGTAGCACGGGGTTGCAAAGTATTATACACTTGGATTATCTTCTACCGAGATCCGGCTAACCGCCACGCTCGTAACGGCAGGCTTTGTAGCATAAGAACCTTCTTCCTGATGAAGAAGGTAAAGGTTACTACTCCTACAATAACACATAGAATGTTTACAATGTAGAACCCATCGTGAAGGGTCTCGCAAGTACCTCCACCATGCTCACATCGTTCCCTCTCAGCCTGAACGGCGCATGAAAATGCCTGTGTTACAAGCGGACCCCTCAGTGTTGAGCTATCAGGCTTCTCCGTTGGCGGGTGGCATGTGGCTGATGTGAAGGCATCGACTAAACGCAGGACAAAGAACTTGGGGAATGTACCTCCAAGATTCGAAACACTATCATTAATGTTAGCTTAAGGAACTGGGGTATCTAGGATCGTTATACGTCAAACTTACGTTGCGAGCAGGGTCATATAAGTTCCACCGATGACGGGGTCGGCAACCTGAGCGTGGAACGCGGAGACAGCAACAAACATGACCGTCGACGTGAACGTCGAAAATACATGTTCGCCAATAACGAGAAGAAGATACCAAGGCTGAACTCCGCTAGCTGGGAAGATACTGACGGTGAGCTGAGCGAACACAGCGGCGATGAGACGACCCACAAAGCCCCAACACCAGAGTCGCATAGGGGTGTATTCTTGAGACCATTTACCAGCATAGTAGCCCAGACCAATTTCGAAGGGGAAGTCGATGAGTACCGTCAGTGCCATATTCTCTTTGCCGAACCCCTTTTCTAGCAGCTTCAAATTTGTAACCGCATCGTTTGCCTGGAAGCCTATCTTCGAAATAAGATGGACGATAATGATGGTCTGGATATTTCGCAACTTCAAGACATCCCACATAATCTTGTAAACATCCCAAATACCATCCTCATTTTTTGTTTTCTCTTCCTTCTTCAGGAGCGCAAGACCGATAGTAATTGCTATGTATGCCCAACCCCAAAACGTCAAGTATCCTCCTAAGCTCAAAAGACCCTCCTCAGACGGTGTAGAGCGGAAGTACCGATTCGTAAAGTCGCTGGAATTGAAGGCTAGGAAAACGGTGTAAGACAGGAACTGACCCGCCGTTAGACCAACGGTCTGGGCTGTGGAGGCATAAGAAACGTTTCCAGGAGTAAGAAGTGTCAAAGCCCATCCATCAACGGCAATATCTTGCGTGGCACACATGAAGACTAGGAAGAACCACCATCCTGTGAAATTCCATACAGTCGGCCCGCCTGGCTTCCCTGTTGTAGACATCAAATCTTCAATCATAGACCCTAGATATAACATGCCGAACCCAGACATGAGCTGGATTGGTAGGATCCAACTTTTCCTTCTGCCCACCTTGGGACTCCATACTGCATCCACTATCGGACTCCAAAATAACTTTAACGAGTACGGATATGAGGCCAAGCTAAAAACACCAATTTCGCCGAATGACAGATGCTCTTTTAGAAGGAATGGTACTGATCCACTTGCAAGTCCCATAGGCACACCTTGCAGGAAGTATAATAACACAAGTAATATAAAATTTCTTTGGTCTTGCTTGGGTAATTCGAAGAAGCCATGGTTATTTGGTACGGGCGTTTTCGGTACGTGATCGTCGAGGGAAAATGATTCGCGAGCCATCAGGTTTGCCGTAACCTCGCCGGACTCTTGCGGCGCTGCATGTTTCCGCCGTAACTCCATTTCATTCAAACCACCGTTCGAATGACCATTTACACGACCACTCGTCGTCGAGACTGACAACTTGTCTCTTTTCTGGGATTTCGACCGACGAGTTTCGACACCCATTCGTACTTTTCGGCGTGGGGTTCGTAGAATGTGGTTCGGGTTTGTATAAGAGGGGAGAAGCTTGTGGTAGTTGTTTGGGTTTTCGAAGGTTTCCGACGACTCGATAAAATCGAGAATATTTAGAAATATACTGAATGTTACAAGATTTGCGCGCAACTACGTCGATCGCGTGTAGATGTCGCATATAATTTGTGGAAAGTTTCTAAGACAGTCCAATAAATCAACAATATAATAAATACAGCAACCGTGGCCTCTTTTTTAGAGATTCGCGCTTGTAAGTGGCGAAGTGGAACCCCTTAAACGGAAATATCGTGTAGTTTAGGTAAGTAACGAGTGATTAGAAAGAGTAAGAGACTAATAGAGGTTATAAGAAACCTCCAAAAACCACTAATATGACAGTTTTCCTTCTATCAATCCATCGTGGCTAAATGCTATTGCTGCTGCCTCTTGGAGCGCAGAGAAGCATTAAAAAAAGAAATAAGGCGGAACGTGTCCAGATGGAGCGGGAAGCTGGAGAGCTTTACCCAATAGTGGGAGAGAAAAAAGAGTAACCCTAGTCCATTAATGACTAAGCATGCTTGTCTAGTGCAACCCCACTAAGATCTAGATTCCCGACGTTACCCACCCCTGGCTATTCTTTTCTTATTATCGTTACCCGTTACCTCATCATCCTTCATTAATCAACACGCGTCTATTCTGTCGCGTCGTCTCGTCATAGAGTCAAGTTAATTCATTCTAGGCAATCATAATTATAAACTCTTTAATTAGTCAGGTGATACACCTTGATATTCTGAAAATGGCGACCGAAGAAATTCAATCGCCGGAATTATCTGTTGCGGATCAATTGGATAATGAAATTGCCAATCTGAGAGTTCAAGGTAAACACATCCCTATCATAAGTGAAGCCAGCGCTTACACTTTACAGTGGACTCAATAAAACGAGAACTTAAACTACAAACCGCAACTCTGATAACATCAGAATCAACACGTCAAATCATACAAGACGACTCCGGCAGAAAATCAAGGCAGACACGCAGTTCTAGATCCCAAGAACTGCTAGCAAAGGCCGATGAGCAAAACGCCCACAAGCAACAATGTCTTTATCGAGCATGCGCCTCCATAACAACCTTCAAGGTCAGCGACCCGGATCCAAACGCTGTAGATGGGGGCAATGTCCTAGGTCTGCGATTTGAGGTCATGTCTAAATCTCGGTTTCTCCGACCGTACTACGTTATGTTAAATAGGCCCTACCCCAATTCCCGCTATCTGCGCATTCATCGGCACACTGTACCCCAGAGCATACCTCTCTCAGGTATAGCAGCTCGATATCTTCCGCCACCAGCCGCCAAGGACGACGTCGACGTCAAAAAGCAAGACCTAACAACATTCGCGCGAACATTAAGGCGGGAACTAGTGCGACACCAAAATCGCAGTGCTGTTATCGGCGATCTACGCAAATCTGCAGGCTTGGAAAGTAAGGATGCCAAAGCCAAGGAGGGCGAAGTTTCGGTCGTCGATATTAGCGCCGCAGACGCGCAAGCGAAACAAATTCGCGTGGAATGGAGCGACGGACGGTCGGGCCGTCTGGTTATTGACGACGATGGTGATATTGTGAAGATGGTTGTGCAAGGCGAGAATGGACAAGATCGGGAGGCTGTTAGACAGCTCATTGGAGGAAGTGCGCGGATTGAGGAAGTCACTAAACGACTTGAAAGCACCTAACTACCTACATATGTAGGTACGAATTGTGATGCGATAACGTATCCCGGCTCGTAGCATTCAGAAAACGGCTTATGCCTGGGTGCATTATCTATACACCTAATATAGATTCTAAATGGATCAAACATACAACCAAGATGAAGTATATGAACATCTAAAACATAAGTACATACGTTTTATACGTATATCTTAAATGCCCCTTTCCTTTTAAGCATCCTACCTATTTTGACGGCGTCTTTGACGACCCCTGTTCTATATCTGAGTCCTTTCCATTTGCGCCAGAAGCTTCTATTCCCATCACGCCGGGGAGTGGCTGGTGAAGCATGTGGTGCTAATTATCCATTAGATGTTGCCAATTAAATATATTTGCGGAAAGGGGGTGGTGAGACATACCTCGATATTAATCTTCGGTCCTTTAAACCATTTATGAGCATCAACGAAGAACCATACTGTAACGAACAACATTGGCGCGCCCTACATAAAACGAAGTTAGCAAGTTTGTCTCCCCTTTCATGGACGCGATGACTGAAATCTCACATAAACAAGCGACGTCCAATTCATCTCATCAGGCGTCAAATTCGCACCCCTCAAACTGGGAAAACACAGCACCGGCAACATGACCAATACAAAACAACAAGCCGCGATTCCCGAGGGCAAGCTAAAAACACCAAGATGCCAAGGTCCACGACGGAAGCTATTCCCCACAAACACGATCTTCAGGAAAATCGGAGTCGTGAAAGCGACGTACGCCCCAATAGCACCGATACTGAATATCGCATCGATAGCTGTACCGCCAAAGATCAAGAGTAGGAGGAGAATCCCGATCGTCGTGTTGAACCACACGGCGTTTACAGGCGTTAGGGTGTACTTGTTAACTTTTTTGAGAGGCCGGCTGACGATGCCAAAGCAGTCGTCGCGCGCGTAGGCGAAGCATACTCGTGATGCGGCGACCATGCATCCTTGGCCCATGGAGTATGCGCATACGATTGTCATGGCGAGGACAGCGAGGGCGACGTTTTGTGGGAGGACTTGGATTACGTATGCGGCGAAGGGTTGACCCTAAATCATGAAATGTGAGCAATATTTCTTTCGCTAGTTGGCGATAACCGTACCAGTTCTGTGTTTATGACCTCCTGTACATCCTTAACTGTATACGCGATTAGGGTGTTCAGTACGAAACCAAGTACAGATCCTGATCCTGCGGTCATGACAATAGACCTCGGCGTAGCGATAGCAGCATTTGAGCACTCCTCACTAAGGTGGAAACTCGCATCGTATCCAGACATCGTCCAGATAATCGATAGGAACGACATCAGCACCGCAATACCATCAGGCCAGTCCGTGCTATTCTGGATTCCCCATGCGAATGAATTTGGTTGGAACTTAGGATCGCCCATCGCCGCAGTCGGAATAATAATAATGACGATTAATAGGCAAAGGAGGTTAATAGTCGTTCCAACCGAATTGAAATTCGCGATCCACAACGTCGGCATACTGCTAATGCAGGCATGTGTCAACATGATGAAGACTGTTAGGAGAAACGTCTGGTAGGTCGTCGGTATATAGTCCGGGTTGACTATCGACGCCGCGGCAAGAATCATGGCAGCTTGGAAGCAGATAAGGGGTCAACCTGAAGAGCTCATCAATGACGATTTTTGAATGACCGGAACTCACCACATCCATAATCAACACTAGGAGCTCCTGTAACTTGTACGAACCAATTACTCCAACCCGTAATCCAAGCAGCGAAAGGGCCGTACTTAGGACCGGCTAGAACCGCGGCTGCATAGTAAAGACCGCCGGAGGTTGGCATGCTACTTGCCAATTCCGCCATTGAAGCAGCAACCTGAGAGCACAGGTCAATGATTATGAGTACTTGTACGCATTTATATCATGCGACCACTTACACACAGGATAAAAAACACCGATACCAACCAACCCCAAGTATTCGCCGCAGGACCAGCTACAAAACTCTTATCAGCACATTACTCCTCACTCTCCACCCCTGCGAAACCACAGAACATAAACTCACCATAACCCAATCCATACCACATAGTCGTCGCAATACTCGGCAACAAACCCATAACCGCAAAACTAACCGCGAAAGTCGTCCAAGCCGAAAACTCGCGCTTGAATTCCTGTTTGTAACCAAGGGCCGCCAGCGCAGCTTCGTCTTCGGACATCTCCGCGATGTGGTCCGGCATATCGTCGTCGGCAAACACTGTCGTTACGGGCGGCGCATGCGACGAGTGTCGACGCATTTCTTCCGATGATGCCATTTTGAAAGTTTGGAGATGGGGAGGGGGCGGTGGCCGCCAAGTCCTGAGATAAGGATTACTTCTGAGTGAAGGGCTGGGTGCTCATTGAATGATAACGTCTATTCCCGGACCTTGATATGAATCCTGGGTGAATTGCCTACGGGCGACGGTTTAAACACACTACTCATGGGATGAAGCCGAATTGAATATTGAATTAGGTACTGAACAAAATTTTACACAGCAGAGCTGAAGGAAAAAGGATGCGCCACGTCGTGTAGCATCGCTGCAAGCCATTTTATATAACCTACCTAGGTAGTTGGGAGATACCGAGATTAGGTACAGCGATAAAGCTCAATAGATAAGTAAAAAGAACAAGAAGAAAGATATGTACTGATTTGCATACATATCTCTACGTAAGCTGGACTCCGGTGTTGGAACGAAAGAAAACGAACCCCCCCTGGTTGCCAATCATCCGTGGGGTGCAGAAGCGAGAAATCAAGCTTGGAAGGGAGATAAACAACCAATGCCTATTCGCCGACGGCTCGGGAAACTGGTTAGAGTTACAAGCCGTGCTGGAGTTCCCGCTGATAAGAGAAGGGTACGAGGAGGATCGGCTCTGCATATAGACATGGTACCGTACCGTGCCACTGTCGGCTCGGATAGATGTATGCATGTCTTAATTCAGGCGGGTAGATAAAATATACCTAGATTTGTCCCATTAATGAACATATAGAAGTACTGAACAGAACTAACATCTGATGAGGGTCGGACTGACTTTGGATGAGTTCGTGGAGTTGTTGATCATGTTTTGGAGCTTAGCTCGAGATAGCAGGTGCTTCTTCCACCTTATCTTGTGGCGTCGCCGCTAAAAGCTTGAGGTTGTAAGGGGGAGATAACAACCTCATGTATAAAACGCATAAATTATATGCAAATTATGTAAATCGGTCTTTGTTATAAACTGACCTTGACATCTCTTAGGCTTTCCTTTTATTATATGGCGGCATGATGATATTATTGTCTTTCATATTTAATGTTTTTTTCTTTCATTCTATCGTAGAATGAATAAGTATCAATATTTATGTTGCGCTTTATGAAGTATCTAGTTATTATAGTAAATTGGTTCACACGGTATTCGAGTTTCACCATCAAGGTCACTTGTGACACCTCGGGCTCAATGTGCTCCCACTGCCCGGAGTTATTCGCGCGCCATACAAAATAAACGCCCTTAGTCACCGTGCCGCTGGTTAGTCGTAAGATGGGCCTTGAGAAAAGGATCAATAAAAAAATAAAATGAAACTGAGCTAAAAAGCTTGGTGATATTTAAGACCTTGCCATTAACTGAGCGAAGCCCCTCGATGAAAGCTTTGATAGGTACTTCTACATGGTCATCGTCACTGAGGGTCGTTACCAAACGCATATAACGCCACTTCTCACTAGGGGTCTGGTGTTTTCAGTCTACGAGGCGTATCATCTGACTCGAAGTTGGACTATCGTGTCTTCGACTTGTGAAACCCTCGCTAGCACTTGGGGTGGGAGTTTGGGTAGGTTCTGATGAAAACTCGCCGCTTTGGGAGTCTTCGGGTGAGTCTTGGGGATTTTGAGGTGAAGCCTTATCAGCCGACATCGGTTCCCCAATACTTCGCTGGATAGGGGGCGCCTGGACTGCGAGCTGCTCGTCATAAAGCTGTTGAGATTGGGGCTCTGGTTGGGTGATGTAAGAGGATGCTTGAGTAGCTGCTGTTCGATTACCGAATGGATATAGGGATGGATATGACGCTAGCTGTAGGAAGCTCGGTTCAATATCTCTCTCATGGCCGGTATCTTGCTCTGCTTTCATAGGTCTAGGTAATAGTTCGCCTCGGCGTTATCATCCCTTTCTTCGTCATACTCATCGGAAAGTTCATCATCATCGTCAATCTCAATCAGCAGGACAGGATTTGGGTCTGTTGCTATGTTTGGTTGTTCGTTTGTCCAATCCATCGTCACCGATCTTTCGTCAGTTCCCCCATATTGCTAGTTTATCTCTTTAAGGAATTCCTAGTCCTGAAGCTTGACGTTCTTCGCATCATGCATGTATCCATCCATGGTGAGCCGCGTATAGTGAATGGTTTCCAATCTAAGTATAGCGATGTAGCGCTGTATTTGCAATCCAATATTCAAGGTAGGCATTCGAATATATATTTGTGAAGATGAACGAAATTAGCCCATACGCCTGTCTCATCCTAGGTTTTTGAATTGGAGGCACTCATAAGAGTATTGGACTTTCCGTTACTGCGAGTCGAGTTATTATTGGATATGCGCCCGGATAGTCGCTGCCGTACTTACCTGCATATGTATATGTGAACTCTGTACTCTGGGTACATGTAACCAAAGTCGATACGAGTGAGACAGCGGCATGCATCACATGTGCATTTATATGTATCTCGAAGATACATCCGTGAGGAAATCAAGAGTAGGCGAACATTTTATATAGGTGTTATTTGATTAGTCGCGTACACTTTTGAGGATTGATATGAAGCAACAACTCCTATTCAAAGAAGATGATTTTGACATTGGTGCTTTTATTATTAGATGCCGCAACCTATTGATGTAACCTTGCCATAATTTCAGATGCCGTCTAAGCTTGGCATCCATTGTTGCGTAGATCTGGACATACAACTAAAGCTACATATGTCCCTGTAGGGTATAGTAGCTCGTTTCATTGGTCCACTATTAGCAGTTAGGGGAAACGTAGATAGATTCGGTAGGTGGAGGTCTCGTTTCTGGTTCCTCTGTCTGACTTAATGGAGATAATGGAGATGAACACTGCATGATGAAATGCCTTTCGAACAAGGATGGTTTTCGCTTTCGCATTATGCATGGGTTTTCTAACCAAAGTGGCACGCGACACGACTCAAACATCATCGCCAGGTATTTTGATATAACTCGGAGATCCGAGCTTAGGTTGGTATTCCTCCGAGTTCATCAGTTCGTCAGTTCATCGAATGTATTCTTTGTTGAGGAACGGGAATGTTCCGAGTTGCTGTATTTATTAGACACTCCGTATGCAGGGCTGTAATAAGAAGCATTGACCGGCTGCAGCCATTTATTAAACAGAAATATATTAAACTGTCTGTCGCGTTACCATCACCTGTGACTTAGTATGTAGAACCCGTGACGGTTGGGGGAAACCCTACCGGTAAAAGTCATGTCTATTACATGAATTTTAATTACCACTTGATTCGATTCGTTACCTTTTTATAAGCCATCGCTACTACCTCCATTTTTACTTAGTACTACCGTTAGTCATTATTCAAACTCAATTCTCTTTCAAGTGGGATGATTAATTGTAGTTTTGAGACAAATAGGGAAGGAACGAAGAAGAAAAAAAGACTCACCCATGGATGTTCATGAGGGATGAGTCGGGCAGCTGCTAATACCATTTTAGTTTAGGACCCCTGGATTTCAGGTAACATAAAAAAGGTTGGATACATGTGCGCCTTATGACGCAGCTTACAGGTTCATCATTTCTTATTGGTACTCACTGTCTTGGATGACGAAACAAAAGATTCCCATGAAGACATTCCTCAGTATTCCACACATACCTAGGTAACAAAGTCGGTACTAGTATCTGAAAATCTCCGGGGAAAGAAAACATGCATCCTTTCTTCTTCGAAATTTAAACTTCTTATTCATGTACCTCCATAGTTGTTTCTTTATCGTCGCGCAAAATGTTTTAATTTTAACAGGGGGTCCCATTTAATAAGTGCCAGTGCGACGTTCTCAGGGATAAAGTTCCTAATACATTACCAACGGGTTCCCGTCTAGGCGGTACGTGGACGTGGATACGTATGGATACGTACTAGGTACCCTACATACCCATACATGCCCAAAGTGGTACCTGTCTTCTGTCTCCTTGGCTTAACAGGCTTAGGTGCACTTAGGTGCCGGGGGGTCCTAAATTATTACCTACGGTAATTTTCTTTCTGGCTGGCCCAGAACGACACGAACGCAACACAACACCACCATACACCACCATCCGGATATCCAACTCAACTCTATACTGCATCCCTCTCAAACAAACAGCCACGCCATCCAACATACCTCGCACTTCAAGTAGAATCCGGCAACAAACAATTACTTATGACAACTTCATTTTCCAACCACTGCCGTGTTCGATAGTCGGCGTCCGACATCTCTCCTTTTCTCCCTCCCCCTTTGCTGACTAGGCTGCTTTGCGCACCGCCAGGCGCAATGAATGCCATACAGCAAAGATGTCGCCCGAAACATCAAGTCTTGGTTCTCAAGTGTTATCCTCGAACTACCAAGGGTGCCGTTGATGTTAAGCCGAACTCGAGCGAACTGAGTTATCTCCTATTCTACGCCACGTCGCGACGGTCTAAGATACAGAAAGTTGGTCAATTCCTCGAGAAGAAAACAGCTAGCGATGTTTGGAGGGTACGAATTGGGTATGTTTGTCTCTTGCCACGATTCCGACTATAGCGTAGTGCCATATATCACACTATAGAAAAGTCGAGCTCGGATTACACACCTAACGAAAGCTAATTACCGTATTTAGGAATGTTCAAGTTACTCTGCAAATACTTGCCGCTCTGATCGAAAAAGCTCCAAAAGACCTTCCCCTATTCGCACAAAATGTCCTCAAGATTCTGGACCTCGTCCTTCGGTCTAACGACATTACCATGGTTGAGGCATCGCTGCCGACCTTCCGAACGTTCTGCGAACACCACGATGTCTCGTCCCTTTTTGCCGACCAAGCTTACCTTCGTCAATATGAGCAAGTCGTTCGCGCCTACGCCACGTTCGCGTCTACTCGGAAAGCCCCTAGTAGAACCACAACCAGCAAGCCGGTTGCTCTAAGGTGGAGAAATGCAGGTTTGGAAGCAATCAAGAGCGTTGCCGAGTCAGATGCTTTGTCATCTGTCGCTGGACGTCAACTCGACGTTATAGTACCCATGATTCTAGAAAACTTATGGACAGACAACGAAGAGTTTCTCAACATTTTGCTACAACGTGTCCAGATGGAAGAGAAGGTTGATTCCAATGCCCTGCTACGACGTAGAACGAGTATTTCTACCGTTAGAACGGCCGACACGGGCGGCGACGCGAACCCTATAGCTATCTCGGGCTCGTCCGTTGATATAGACAAGTTGGCTGAAGAGGATATTGGTGTGATGGCTATGCAATGCCTGAAGCAAATATTCGTCATACCCAATAGGGCGCAGATCAACGGGGCAACCGCATCCCTACTGCAATTTATTAAGGAACGAGTTCAGCAAAAGGAGACCGTGGTGGTGGAAACTCAAGACAGCAAGGGACGCGACCACGGTTGGGCAATCAAGATCTTTGAATTTGTCGCGAGATGGGCCCCAGTACAAGACCGCTATGTTATTATGATTACTACGACGGATATTCTCTTAAAGACGCCCCCGACGGACGAGAACGTCGCTGAGCAGATTGTGCTCACTGCTATTATTGGGTCTTTGCTAAGCTCCGACATCAACTTAATCGGTTTGAGCGTTATGGATGTTCTTTTGGGGTTGATACAGCACATGAAGCGGGTATTGAAACATTCGGGAAGCTCAAGGGGAAGCAGTGGTCCTGCCACAGCATCAGGAGACGAGAAGCCTCCTGTTCCTGATATCACTCAGCACATCTCGCCCCCATATAGGGATCTTTTAACCCGTATTCAACAGTCCATTGGCCATTTGGCTACTCACGTCTATTATGCAGACCAGATTTCCGATATGGTTTCTACCATCTTGTTGAGGCTTAAACCTCACCCAAGTACAAGTACAGCAAATTCATCACCGCCAGCCGAAAAGGCGGAGGCCATACCCGGAGCTTCAACCGGCAATGTCTCAGATGACCAATCTCACCTCGACAGTTTTTTCGCATTGGATTTGGCTAAGACTATTGCTCTTCAAGCTATCAAATCTATTCTTCTCGTTGCGAACCCGCAGACGAAAATCAGCGGTAATGTTAATTTGACAAGGAATAAGGTCCCCATACAGGTGTGGGAGGGTACACATTGGCTCCTACGCGATCCGGATGGACAAGTTAGAAAAGCATACGTAGACACCCTGTCCACTTGGCTCGATCGAGAAACTGCCAGGTCCGACTTAGAAGCGCGAGATGATGTGGCCCTGAAGTCGTCACCAAAGTCTAAAAATAAAGAATCGCCTACTAGCGTAGCTCGACGAGCCGTTTCGAGCGCATCGAATCGGGAGAAATCGGGCAAGGCTAGGCGATGCCGCTTTTTACAACTTATCCATCTTGCCATTTATGACAACGCTTTACAGTATATCGAATTTGAGGCGGATATTGCATTACTCCATATCTTATTAACAAAACTGGTTACTAAGCTTGGCGTTAATGCTGCTAGATATGGGCTTCCTATGATTTTCCGACTTCAGGAGGATATTTTGGAAGCGGAGACGCCCGCGTCAAAAGTACACCTTGGTTGTCTTTGCCATGGCTATTTCTGGGCATTAAGTGAGCATTTCGAATTTGAAGGGACGCCTGTTGGTCGCGCGGTCCATAACGAAATTGTCAGGAGAAGAAGCAAACAATTTTGGGTCGAAGGTGTACATGTTCCCACACCGTCAATTGAGACATTGGGAACGCCTGGTGTGGCTAGGCAGCACACAAAGATGCCTACACACGAAGTAGAGTCGGAGGCGTTGCTACCTTTTGATGACCGTATCACGATGATCGACTGTATCTGCGCAAATTACAAGGACAGGACAATTTCTCCTCCCTCAAGCCCTCCTGCGTCGCCCGGCCGCGTATTCGCTCATCCTGTCTTAACCTCTGGTTTGAGTACCATCCCACGGGCGGATGATGAGCTTGAACTGCCTGAAAAGTTCAGGGAAGAAATGTCGACAGAGTGGAACCGAGAAGCTGCCGTCATTGCTCTACAAGCGGAGAGCAAGTCCGCTTCGCTCAACGGGTCTAAAACAGGGACGACTACTACTAAGGGAAATCATCTTACCGTCAATGGACTCACGGCTAATGGCCACACTTCGAGTAGGCCAGAATCAGCTTACGCTCGTCAGAGCAATCTTCGGCCTCAATCGCATGCTAGCCAGGTCGCAGTTTTACGAAATTCTAGTGTACAAAGTCATGGCTCGGGAAGGAGTGCATCTAGCCGAGGCTTTGTCGCCTCTGTTGATCAACTTAAATCGGTGTTGACAGGGGATCCAGTCAGACCAGCTACATTCCAAACACTAAAAGAAGATGAGGATAGCAGTGACAGTATGGCGAGCTATGATTTCACACCATCGGAACTTTCGTTCAACCCCGATCGGGCCGACGGTGATAATTACGACGCAGTCCTTGCACGATCGAGGTCAAAGTCCCGAGAGCGAAAGTCATCCGGAGATTCAGGAGGCCCTCTTACATCTCACCCTACAGAGGGTGAAACCGAAGATGGGGAAGAAGTACCACCCGTGCCTCCACTGCCGGCGGCTTTGGCGGGCAAATCGCCTCCGCCTGAAGTCGGGTTGGCCAAGGTTTCTAGCAAGGATCACGCAGTTAACACTCCCAAGAGGAATATTAGGAGTCGAGGGGGTGACAGCATCCTCTCAAGCAACTTTGCTAATGCGGGCGCCGCCAGCATGGACTTACAAGCGATGCTTAAGGGTATCGACAGCAAATCAAAACAGAACACTATCGGAAATCTCACCAGACCCCCTTATTAACAGTCTATACTATAGCGAAGTTCCTATGTACTTCTCGGTACTTGGTTTTGGTTTTACGAAGACAAGGGGGGCTAAGATTTAGTCGTAATGGCAGTTTTTTATGAGGCAAGGGGAGCCTGTCTGTTCTTAGTGAGGTGTTGTATATTATGAACGCCGAGGAATATTTAAAGAAAGGGGCTTGCATAAAAGAGGAGGAAAATAGGGACTTTAAAAAGGAAAAGATTACTTACAATTACACTGCTACTACCACTACTTCTACTATTATCACGGGGCAACTCTATCTAAACATCTGCTTGTATATATATAACACCTTTGTTTTGTCCGTTTTTGCTTCGAGTACGATCGATAGCTTCTTCCGTGTCATCATCTACTTAATGGGTAGGGGTACGTGGATAGGTTAGATATTAAGCGATAGAAAGGAGAAACCATATGAATTGAAAAATTAGCTTCGGGATTATAGAGATTGCGATATCTTGATTTATTACTTGTAAATCTACAATATAATCATCTCCTGCTCCTAACTCACATCAAACGGTACCTAGGTACGTGTACCTTTCGGATAGACACGGTTGTACTAATTGAGAACGTTACTAGCCCCTGATTGGCTATAATTTAAGTTGCGGGATGCTAAAGCCGTTGCATAATCGATAAGAAATATTGTTCTCATCGCTGCTCCGGCAAACTCAACCTCGACTTCAATTCCTTCTTAGCAACACCCAGCTACGATACTGATATTCAAAATGAAGCCGCCAACTCGAATACCATTGGGGTCGGCAATTTGCAAACAATTGCAACACGCCCCTATAAAACCGGCGACAACGCCCCTACCCTTAATAGCCCGCCAACGACAAATCCACACCACTCCTACGACTCCCGCGACCGTCTCCCCAATCCATGGCTCCGGCCCACCGCCCGAAGCCCCCGTCCCCGCGGCCGACAGCGCAACAACACGTCTCGAGCGGCGGAAGAAACAAGCCGAGCTCCTCGAGAAGGCGCAAGCAATTCGACAGCAACAATCGCAATCGCAACCCCTCTCCTCCGCATCACCATTCTCAGCGAGAAAGAAAGCTAGGGATAGTAATTTATTAAAAAAACGATTCTGGAAAGACGTACATGTGCATGAAGTCGAGGGCGCGTGGGAAGTACATTTAGACACAAGACCTTTGCGACACCCGACGACGAAAGATATCGTTCGCGTACCGCTCTCGAAACCTTTACTCGCGGCTGCGTTGGCGGTGGAATGGGATGCGCTAGTCTCGGCGCAGCAAGCAACACGGCAACACCTGATCCCGCTTACGAGTTTAGTATGTCGGGCTTTAGATATCGCGGACGACGATTCCTCTCCTTCTCCTTCAAAAGTAAGCGAGAGTATAAGAGACGGAATAGCAGCAATGCTAATGCGGTACCTCGACACCGATTCCCTACTCTGCTGGGCGCCACCGCCTAGAGCCGACGATTTACCCGCGGAGGGAAGCCAGAGTCTTAGGGATTTGCAGAAACAAGCTGCGGAGGAAGTCGTGGCTTTCTTGACTAGTTGTGTCTGGCCTGGTGTTGAGATTGGGCCGGTGCTGGATGGTGAGAGTATTATGCCGCGTGGCCAGCCGGAGGTTACGAGGCAGATTATTCAAGGGTGGATTGCGGGGTTGAGTCCTTGGGAGTTGGCGGGTTTGGAGAGGGGGGTGTTGGCTGGGAAGGGGTTGTTAGGGGCTGTGAGATTGTTGGTGGAGTGGAGTGAGGGGTTTGTGGGTGCGGGCGTGGGTGATGGTGCTGGAGGGGGGGAGAAGAGGTTTGGGGTTGAGGAGGCGGTGAGGTTGGCGAGTATTGAGGTTGATTGGCAGACGGGACGTTGGGGAGAAGTTGAGGATACGCATGATGTTGAGAAGGAGGATTTAAGACGTCAGTTGGGGAGTATGGTGTTGTTGGTTAGTGGGACGGGTGGCAGGTGAGGCAGTTTGGCGGTGTTTTAGTTCTCATCCTTAAATATCTAGATGACAATATACCAATACCTACCTAGGTTGGTTAGGTACCTATACATCGACACGCAGACTCATGTTTCTACCATACAAGCATTTAGTGCGAATCATTCAGAGCATTCCTGTCGAGAGGTACAACATTATATGATGAATAAACCCCGTAACATTACACAATCATGGGATATGTTATCCGTACTTGATCAGCGGATAACAATTTCTGTCTCTAGGGGTTTCTCTGAAATCCACCCTAGAAACTTTTTTAAAGCTTCTCTTCCTGGAAAGCATATTTCTAACAATCCCACTCTTTCAAACGCCCTTAGCTTAGGCCTGGCTAGTTTTGATGATCGCGGTCTGTTGGGTGAGGTCGAGTTGTACTGGTAACCCTTTAGGAGCAGACAATAAACGTAAACTACTGAATAATTATTCCGTTTTAGCGGCAAACAGTAAAATACTTCCGAAGGCGATTCTAGTAATGCAGGCTTAGCGTCCATGTAAACATGATGAGACACATCCGTATCCCTCAAGAACGGCAATGGTTCCCCCTGTGGACCCACTACTTTCACCTCGTTCATAAACTCTGTCTGTCTTAGTTGAATTGGCTTCAAATAACCAGACAATACAATCCACCCATCCCCTATCTCGCCGTAGACGTCAGGGAAACAGCTTAATTCCACCCCTATGAGCTTTACCAAACACTCGCTATCCCAGAAGCTCTCAAACGTGACCTTGGTGTTTAGACTAGCCCAAGACCATGAAAGCGCGGTGTATTTGTCCGGGGGGCTTCCTGGTAATTCAACCTTCCAACAGAGCCAATTAGCAATGTCAGATTCCCAAAGTCCCGCAGCATATCCACCGAACTGGCTGTCTGGTAGTTCGCGCATCACTCTGGCCAGGCCAGATATAGCTAGCATTTTATCGCCGTCGTAAGTTAATCTCCTCTCAGAATAACCATTAATAATACAGTCTCAGAACGCCCCCGTATTAACACAGTACCCGAGTCCATAGGGAGAGGCAACTTTATTAAGAGTCGCTGTAGTATGCCGGAAGTAATCCATATTTGAGACAAAGGAAAAGGGGGGTGGGGGGTCCAGCAGTAGTTATGGCAATTTAATTGTGGCATATTTGGTTCTCTATATCCAGGAGGTTCTGCTTGCTAGCGAGGTCCATAACCATACCCATCCTCCCCCATATAGAGTTCTCCAATTCCCACCATTTACTGGCATAAGAGGAAGCCCATCACGAAAGCGACAAAAGCACCGACCATGCCAAAAGACGCAACCAGGGATCTGGTTCCAGAAAGGTGGCCACCATCACTAAACGCGGGGCGGGTTGCACAGTCCGGAGGCGCCACAGCCTTGTTCTCGAAGCACTTGAGCCATCCTTCATCATTGACAACCCCACGATCTAAGATCTTATCGTTAGCTTAAAAATACAGAATATTTGCGTGGGTCGGCAAGTACTTACTCAGGTCCGCGAAGATACGACGATGAATGTCACTTAAGAGTTGGCAGTCCAGTCGCAAATCGCTCTCCAGTCGGCAGGTCTTAGGATGCATGTACCTGTTGAAACCGCCACTAAATATCGTTAGCAATAACCCATCGATACGCTTCCAGTATCGGATATGGCAGGGGTACTTACTGGTCCACAGGATCGAAACCATGGTTGGCTGTAATGTATCCGAAGCAGTCATTCAAGTCTAGAATGCTGCACTGTGTGGTGTTACCATGTCCTTGGCACTGTGCTCGGAGGCCAGTGTGGTTGTTCTGCATGACCAGGGCGAAATGCTCGCAGTTGCTGGATAGATTGCCCAGGAAATATCCGGGGTTCACGGCCATCGAGACTACAGCCATCGCGATGATGAGAAAGGCGGGAATCATCTTGGAGTCTATGAGTCGGAGAAAGCGTGTTGAATGAGTGCTCTTGCGTTGGGCAGGTGGTCAGTATAAGGGTAGCAGCGAATGCAAGTAAAGGAGTACCTTGAAGTAGCGTAACTACGTATTTAGATATGTAGGAGATCAATCTGGCAAGAGTGGGTGGTCGATAGAGAAATGGACCGATGACTGATGAAGGTAGGAAGTCGTTGATTACTCTGTCGATTATGAAGAAGAGAAGCAAGAAATTTCTGACTTTGAAATCGACGAGATGAAATAAATAAAGATTGGGGCGGCACTAAAGTTATCATAACTATATAGAAAATCTTGGAGGGCTCTATTGAAATGCTGATTAGAATTGAGTAGCCCCACCGAAGAGAGCAAACGTGTTCATGGCTTGTAAAATCGTTGATTCGCACTGCATTTGTGGGTTGTGCGTACTGTTCCTATATTTTGATCTTATTTTAAGGCCAGTGTGAAGCCCAACTCATGTTTGAAAATAGCTTCAACTGATTATAAACACTGGGTGGGTCCTTTAGCATTCGTGATCCTGTTGGATACTCCCCGATGTCCACAATTACTTCACCTTCAGCCACCCTAGAAGAGTCCAGTAACTGATTGATCCGGCGGGCCTTATGAGCAAGCGACTCTTCAAGTAGCTTCAAAAGTAAAGATTAAAATTAGACGTGCTTTAGGCATCTAGGTGCTTCGGTGGCGTGCGAAATAAATAGGGGCACAACTATGCCGGGAATGCGAATATAGGAACTTGAGCCATCATCTAGACACCTATGTAAATCCCTAGATGTTGAAGCAATGCAGCTTTATGGCAATAAGGATAAATCAAGGCATTCAGACATCCAGCCTCGCAAATGACAAACATTCATAGCAGCAAAAGTACTAGGTATGATCCCACACCTAGGTAGGTTATCCACATGCCCGCAATTTGCTGTTACGTTAATAAAAGCACAGTGACTCAAGTCAGTATAAATAGCGCCAGAAGGTAAATATCGAGTCGGGGTTCCCGTTTTGTCCAGGCGACTTCTTGACAGCGCGAACGGATCTCGTATGTCGTTCGTGATTATATCGAACAACCAACTGGGTGGTGCTGAATAAATCAGAACCCTATACATATCTTATTCCTCATAAAAATAACGACACCTCAATACCTACCTAGACAATTAGTCTCACTAAGTATTACCGTCACATTCAAGGATATTACGTTGAGTAGGTATTCTGCTTATATAGTGGAATTGTCTCATTTTCAACCCAGCGATTGTCGCCATCACAGTATACAGGTCTCAAAGGGCCCTTCTTGCCTATTGTGTCCCCTTATGGTTGGCCTTGATAATCCAGTTCGCTCAGCCGTAAGCCTACCGCTCCTATCCTGGTCTGCATTTGGCCCTTCGCAGCTGAAATTTACGAAAGTCGCGGTCGACGACTTAAGTTTTATGTTTTTGATTTTATAGAGGTGTTGAATTACCAGTTTGGCTGTCTTATCTGGACTCGAAATTCTAAGATGAGTTTTGGGGTTTGAATTCGGGGAACCTATCGCTACAAACCTCCAAGAATTTTTCTATAAGAGAAAGTAAGACACAGGGGGAGGGGGCGGAGGTAAGTGTGTGTCATTGAAGGATGTTGATATTTTGGTAGTATTTCTAGGTATAGGGGTTTACGCTCGTTCTTATGGTTCGTCTCGACTTATTTCATGATCCCCCGCCTGGTTGTCTTAGAACTAATTGCAAATAAGAATCCGTACCAAGGCCACCAAAACCAACGAAAATTGCCCCGGCATCTTTTATCCGCGGATCTGAAGACTGCCGGGTGTGCGAAGGCAGCCGGCGGCGGGCTAGGTATTCACCAACGCGATGACGATACTCAGCTGTACAATCAAAGCAGCCGAATACGATATATACGCCTCCGCTATTGGTCGCATCCTGCCCGGCGAGGAATAGCGCCCACAGCGGATGATTTGCTACCGTTATGTAGTTGTTATACCGGTCTTGGTCGATTGAATTATATAGACGATGTTTTAACCAATCCGAACTCTGTAAAATTCGCGCCATAGTTCGAGTACTATGGCCTTTGCATGAATCCATAAAGGCTATAGGGCTTCTATTAATGGTATCTATAACAGGCTTAATTCCAACTGTTCCGACGAGGTACCCGCCATGCCGCGCTGCAAGGCATATGACTGGTGATTGTTGGGTAGGTAGGCGTTCCACAGAGAGGTAAATATCTACGTCAGCTGGCGCCAACTTGGGGTAGTCCACCATGTATTCATGCGGATCTTCCTCGCGTTCCGTTGGCAACCAGGGATCTGATCGGCTTGAACGAATTTTATTGTCAGACTGAACGGGTAAGGAATAGAATTCGTCTACGCAGCGTAGTCCTAGCGCCTGCTGATCTGGTTTAAGATGAAATATTAGAGCGGGAAGAACCGCAAAAGCCCCATCCCTATAACCAACTATACCATCATCGGGGGGCTCCATCAAAACCGATGGATCCGCGTGCGCATGAAACACGGCGACAAACATTACCACTTCCCAATAATCCATCGCGCCGTTTTTGAGATGCGATTGCATTCGACTGACGCTCTCTAAAAATTGATCAGGTGGTACGTCAATCTTAATTGCATGTTGAAGCTTATCATAATCAGGACCGGCGAGTATCTCGGCAATGCTAATGAAGATTGATAGCGAAATTATCCTGAATTCTATCGCTTCCGGCGTTAGGGTGGTCGTGTTATTTTTGAAGTGTGCTCTCATGGCGGCGAGGACTTCATCTTGGGCAATAACTTCATAGCAAGGTGCAATAATTTCAGCCAAGTCAGCGAAGTAGATATGTGCCAAAGATACGGCTATTTTGGAAGGCCTCAACTGCGAAGCTTCCTTCCGACTTAGCACCGCTGCGATGTGATTTGGTCGCCTAACTTCGCCGGCCTTGGGCCTACCCATAGTGACATTTGCCCAGGTAAGTCGGAGAGCATTTTTTATGCACTTGTTAGTCTCCCTAAAGTAGTTGTCATAGGCGTCAGCCTGCAATGTCGACAAATGGCCGAATATGTTGAATAGCAACGACCCCACTGTCTCTTGACGGTAATAATGTATCACTGCCCGCTTAGCCCCCAAGTTGAGAGTGTCTCCAGTGAGCATTTCTGGATCCGTATCATGACTACCGCCTGTCACCAAAATAATTCCACGACGGTGTGTCGGTATTTCACCTTCGCCATCCCACGCCCTGATAACCCCGATCATATAGCCAACCTCCTTGAGACAAATTGCTACATGGCACACGACTGCGCTCCTCGTTAGGTAAGGCTGGGTGTTTCCGCTTCGGATCCATCGGAGAAGACCAACAACGTAACCGATATCTGCTTCAAAAAGCGACGGGGCTATTGGCGCATCCGGATTCCGTGCCAGATGCGAATTCTGAATAGCCTGTTCAAAACTGTTATGAAGTCCCCGAGTCGCTCCTTCATTGATGATAAGTGTAGCGTTGTCTATAAGCTGTAAATGAAGGGCTTCGACCATTCCATGCTTCTCCCCTTGGAGAAGGTAGTCGGCGAAGTGATCCATAAAGAGTTGGGTAGCTTTATCAGTTCCAAGTTTGTAGGCCAAGGCACAGATAGTGAGGCCAATCAACTGAGTGATGGGATGGCCACCAAATGCGTCTTTTCCATCGCTGTTCTGCATTGTGAAGACCCCAGACATGGTAATGATATTACATGTGGCATCCTTAAGCTGTAGGTTAACTCCTAACTTCTTAAGGTCGGTCGCATCACGAAGGCGTGGAAAGTTTTGAAGAACCCCTTTGATTCCGTCAAGGCCGCCAATCCACCCCCAGGCGGTTGCCGCAGCAGATAAAGTAGCAATTACATCAGCAGCTCCGATTTGGACTTGTTGAAGGCTCCCATCACCCGGCGCCTTCCATACATAGGTCGTCATTTTCAAAGCTACCTAGGTAGCTTCATGGGATATGGGTATGTTTTGGAGTTTGGCGTTGTTCAACTGAACGGATAGAAACAACATAAAAAATAGGCGTTTGTCATCTTGACTGGCAGTGAGGGGGCAGTGAGGGGATTGGGCAGCAGCAGGCTGGCTCAATGTTACTTTGAACCGCAAAGCCACAAACTGTACGTACCTGTACATAGACAGTGCAATCGTTATTGGTTTGAAGAAATGTAGTCTAAATATATTATCAAGGTGTCGATACCTAGGCAAGATATGAAACTTAGAGAATACCTAAGAGTCCTCATAAATGTTTTATTTGTTTTAGATCGCAAATCTTATTTTGATCCACTCCTTGCGGCTGCGGTCTTGATGTGCTTCGCATGCAATTCTTCGACGGCTGGTATAATTAAGCCCTCGATTTCTATCTCTGGCTCGCCCTCTGGCAGTGTTGCCGGGTCAAGGGGTTCATTTTCCTTATTCTTCTGGTCCGTTTCTTCAGTTCCAGTTATGGTCTTCTTACGACGGCTGAATGGGACACGAATCCAGTTGTCCTCATGACCAGGAGCCACGAAGACAACTTCCCACTTGCGGGTTGACAGCAGATTGCCGATGACGAGATGGTGCTGGTACCGCTCTAGTGAATACTTGGCCTTGTGAACCAGAATCGCCGGGTCAGTTTCTAATTTGAATGAGACGATCATGCCCTCAGGAGCCCAACCGTCCACTAGATTTTTGAGGAACTTGGGTACGGGATCTAGATCAACAATGAGGCGTTTGCTTCGTGGCACAGCTGGCGAGGAGTCGAAGTTATCAAATGCTTCCTCGTCTTGTTGTGGTTGTTCCCGCGACTCTTTCGTGACAGTTGTTGGCCCTTGCTTTTTCAGCATATCTGTTGCATCCGTGCTCTGGATCTTATGCTCCGCCATTCTTTCAGCCGGGACGAAAAAATCGCTCACTGCTGCGGCAAGGTACAGCAAGCCATTTGGCCCAAGTGGGCGCATTAATTGCGCCACAGCACGGAGCTCATGCAGGTAATCGGTGATTGTGACGAATGGTAGCATTAATAGGAGATTCTGCCGCTTGGCGGCATTGTACTTGCGAAGTACACGGAGCATCTTGTCCTGGTGTGCTGGGTTTGCCACAACACTGCCATCTGGATTCTCATGGAGAAAATCTAAAAAGCAATCTGTCGAATGGCTGTAGTGCCGACTATATGGCAACAGACTGAATTGCCGATGCAAAAAGATCACAGCGTATCCCGACTCCAGGAAGTACTCAGCAGATGTGGCGCCTCGTGTACCAGCGCTAAAATTGTCGATGAAACGCACTGTTTGCTTTTCTAACGGCACAGTGGTCCCGCCAGAGGTGACGAGAACAACACGTCTGTTAGCCGCAGCATGTTGATTTATGAATGATTCCGCCGCAGCGACGTGTTGTGGTAACGCCTTAGGGGGTGGGTTGGAGCTGAAGTAGGCATTTTCAGCGACTTGATATGACGAAGTGGATGTGTTTGTAGTATTGCTCGACATGCTGTCTTGACTTGTAGAGGATGATATAGATGGTGATCTAGATCTAGAAGAAATGTGAGCCTCTCCTAAATTAAATGAAAGGCTTAAAGCAGACGATGAATTGCCTTCGCTTCCAGAAGAAGAGGTGTTCTGATGATCTGAAGCTAGGATCTGAGAAGCCATATTGTTAGCGAGGGTAATATGGGGTAGACGATCGATGCAACGATGCAACGAGGTAGCGGGGCATCATCATAGGGCAGATGCAGGGACTAAGGGTCCTTGTTATATGCTACGAAGTATAAGAAACATATCTGATATAGCCTTGCTATGTAATAGCAGAGATACTTAATCTGCCGTTGGAATTGACGCGGCGTGGGCTCATACATAGTAATCAGCGGCACTCCGGGTTTACGTGAGACCTCGGCCCCTTTCGGCTCCTTTTAAGTCAACCCGTGCGGAGGGCCGCCTGTCCGGATTTACTCGGGGCTGAAAAAGGATTTGAAGGAACATTGAATGCACGTAAGGGAGTACACTATTACCTCCTTATCGTACATGTTTGTAGGTTTGACCTTAACTTCATAAGGCTATACATAGGTATGTGTAAACAATCGAAAAGGATAGACTTACGATAGGGGTGAGTTTGTTGTCTTTGTTGGTTGTGTAAATGCCGCAGGCTCGGATCAGATGAGGGCTTTTAATCAAAGCGGAATGAGGCTTGTGATTCTTTGAAAAGGTCCAGGCAATAATTTCAGAAGAATTGACACAGGTGAGATATTATTGGACACAGTAAGCCACCCAATTGAGGTTTATTTGGGGGATGAGCTGGATGAGGTAGGGAACTTCCTTCGCCGCTGACGTGAGTATTGTGGGGGCACACGCTCGGATGAAGGGATTAGGGATTAATGTTGAAGCTCAGGCCAAAGAGAAGACGCACATGAAAGATTGGGGGAAATGGGGTAGGTGAATTGTTGTAGTGGAGACACCTGCAGCGGACCTCTTTAGATAAGATCTTGAAACCTTTAGACGAAGCGGCTCAGCAACTCTATTCGGAAGGTTCAAGGTACCAAACCTAACTGTCTAGACCGTTCACATCCTAAGATCGTAAGTTTTCTAGAGTGTTTAACGGTGTCAACTTCCCTACCTAACTTCAGAACTTACTAAACCAACCACCACGGGGTAAGGACGATCTAAAATGGCTGGGGAAACACGAAGTCCGTTACGGCCCACTTCAATCGAGAAATTCCTAGAGGAAGGCGACGCTTAGTAGCGGTTGGTCCATTCATTGTAAATCTTAAATCTCGCCTTCATTTTCTAATTATCATCTCAACATATCGGATGCGCATCATATGCATAGCGTCATAGCTTTATCTAAGTGCACTGCTTAGGGTCTAGTAATACGAGCAACTATTAATCGGCCCATGGTACAGGAGGAATATACTGAATGTTTGCTGACATTTCTAGTTTTATCTACCTAAATTAATATTAACCAATTTTTCTAGTTCCTTTTATTCCCTTTCCGGTTCCCCCATTTCCCATCTAATAGACCTTGCCCCCAATTTTTATTCCCGATACCCTCCCGATACCGAGGGATAAGTCTATTTTACCCATCCAAAACCTTTACGCTATCGGGGCATAACCATTTGATATAATAGCACCTGGCTACTGTGCTTAGAAATTAGTCCAAGGCGACCATCCTACGCTAGCGACCTTCGACGCATACATCGCGACAACTGCGATCAGCTGCGTAAGACCAGTAAAAAGAATCAGACCCCAATATTCGCCATTGGTGGCTTTGACGATGGATCCTGCAACAGGAAGACTAAGTAAGACTGCTATAGAAACCACAGTATAGCAAGTTGCGTAATATCGTCCGTAGTTTTGCGTGTGGCATAGTTTTCCCACACAGACCGGAGTGATGCTGATATTATTTCCGGTTGAAAAGCCAAACATAATGGCAAATATGACGAGGCCTGCTGTCGTATGACCGAATGGGAGCCATACAACGTAGCATGCAAAAATTGTGACGCAGAGAGATATCATATTCGTATTAAAGGGGCCAATTTTATCCGCCCACCAGCCCGGCAATGCTCGTCCAAATACCGATGCCGCATTGAGAATAGGCAGGATCTGGAAAGCAAACTGCTCACTGAAGCCGTTTGCCAATGCATAGCTTGAAATGTAGGCTAGGGGGATGAAAAGCCCAAATTCCAAGAAGAAAACGCCAATGGTGAGGAGTAAAAATCCCTTCTCCTTCATGATGCGGAAGTCGGGGTGTGGGCTCGCGTTCTTGGCTGGTGGCAAACGCTTTCTGACTAGAAGGTTCGCGAAAGTGAATAGGAAAAGGCAGATGAACCCTACAATACGAATTGCCCATCCCCAACCCAGACGATCGAAAAGGCTCTGCATTATGAGCGGGAACGCTACACCACCCAAACCGCCGCCTGTACTTGCGAGGCCGGAGGCGAATCCTCGGCGCTCACGGAAGAAATGCCCTATAGCTGTAAGGCATGGTGTGAATAGGAGAGAAGTAGCTATTCCATTAAGTATGCCCCAACTAAGCATAAAATGCCAATATTCTAGAGCATGTTAGCGAATAAAATCCTCGAGGGGAAAGGAACCAGAAGAGTTACTCACTCGTACAAACGCTTAATAGCATGATGCTCACAACAATTCCAATGCCGCCGGGTATAATTAACCATTTAGGTCCGTATCTATCAAAAAGAGGACCAACATAGACGCCGCAAAGGAAACATAATGCTGTATACAGTGAGAAAATCCATCCAATCGTACCCTCATCATAGTCGGAAAGTTGATTCGTCGCGATATACGTCTGAAGCGTTGCGATACTATTCATCAACCCTAGAGACGCAAGCAGACCGCACCAAGATCCGAGAACGACAAGCCATGCTTGGAGACCTCCTTCAGGATATGTCTCATCTCCTAGAAGCGTCTCTCCCCCAGAATTAGCGTTGCTTTCGTCAGAATCTGGTCCATAGTCCTGCGGCAGAAATAGGTCGGATTTTGGGGTTGTCTCTGAGTTGGCCTGGCCCTTCTCAAGATAAATAGGATCCGATGTCTCTGAGATAGGAGACTCCACCGGGGAGTTGTCTGCTTTCTCCATCACCCTAAATTCCCCGAATCCGTCCTATAAACAAGGCAACCTAAATTAAATATTATCGAAAAGCTTCAGAGGCCATGACTTTGAGGTATGTCTCCAAGCTATCTATATAGTACATAGCACTTAGACCCTGGACCCAGGACGTTGGTACATTTCACATCTGACTTATCCGGGCCCACCACACCAAAGTTCGACATCGACCGAGACCCAGGAACATCAAGGTTGCTCATCCGTCTTCGGAACTGAACAGACCGCACAAATTTTTTTCTAAACCCCGCTACAACCCACTTGGGCAGACGTCAGGTGCTAAGATGTATGAAAGGCGTGATATCGCACTCTTTTTGCATAAAGATTACGTCTTGAAAACTCGTACGATATAGCCGCTAAGGGCCACATACCTCCACAAACTTTTTAACTCAACGATTTGTCCCGGCCGGAGTTAGTCCCGGAGCCCCAGACCACCGGCATATACCTACAGCTCACTAGATCGATGATATGTTGTCTTGTTCATCTAGACCCGTCTATCATGTAGGTACCGAGCGACAAAGGAACGGCTCGTCCCTCCATCTCCATCTTATGGGCTAGAAATACCAGATTTAGTCAAGGTACCAAACCAACACCAGGCGCGTTATCGGGGTTAATAATTTTTGATGAGAAAACACCATACCTTTCAACTAATAGGAAACCAACCCGTCGCTGAAGGTTACCCATATCAGTATTGTAGATGGTTAAGGTGTCATTCTCCGACAGGCTCAATCTTGGGCGTCTTCCACTTCTTCCATTGAGACTTTTTGTGGCCCTGCGTTTGTGGTTTCTGACGCGTCACCTCCGGCCGGAGTAGGTTTGAGATACCCTTCTTTTTCTAGGCGGTCTGCCTCTTCCGGTTCCATTAACCCTCCTTGGCCTTTGCTCTTTTCCATTTTCATGCGAACTGCAGAGGGCATGAATGCGCTGACGGCCTCTTTTCGTAAATCTCGTACTATCGGCTTCGCTTCGTAAACTGTCTTTGATTCCACTGGCACCGATGGCGATGGTTGCTTATTTCGGTCACCACCCAGAGGCATGTCGTTCGCATTTCGTGCTGCTCTGCGTTTCGCATACCATTGATCTAGTATCTCCTTCGGAATCGGCGGCGGTGTGTCTCGTGGCATAGGTATACCTTTAATGTCGTCGGGCACGTCGCTATCGCTGCTTGATGCATCATCACCACCTCTTCTCCTCTTGCCTAGGACACCATTATTCCTCTGGCCGTCGCCTCTGAAACCACCACCATTGCGACCGAAAGAAGGTGCTCTATCACCAAGCGCTTCTCTAGCTTTGGTAACTGCTTTTAGATCGCGTTCCAATCCTTCTAGTACTGACTCTTCATGTTTTGTAAGTTTCCCACCGCTAGATGTAATTTTTTTCAAGTCGTCGATCTGCTTTTGTAGCCGGTCGGGGTTTCGCTTCGCAAGTTTCTCGTTTCGTCGGGCCTGAGCTTCTGCCTTGCCTACAAGTGCATTGTTAATTAATATTCACCGAAACGTTGTAGTTGTTCTAATTGAAATGAATGCATACCCTTCTTGGCTGCTTTGGCTTTATCAGCTTTGCGCTGAGCTTGCACCGGGTTGAAATTCTTTTCTTTCGGCATGATGGGTTGAATGACGATGAACTTTTAGCTTAGTATTGAGATAGTAGAAATTCGACGGTCGCAAGAGATGCGTAGCTCCAAGTACATATGTATTCGTCGTACGGTAGGTGCGTTATGCAAGCATCTATACTCGGAAGGGAAGTAGGTACGTAGTTGTGAAATAGAAATATGGGCTCTTGCAGATTTCATTCAGCCTTGTGTAACTCCATTGCATCACACAAGACACAGTGTTATTGGTGTGCACTTTCCAAGTTCTTTTGATAGGCCTTGGCGATAGGGGACGATAAGCGTGTATCCGGGACGGGAGCGCAAATTTACAGGGGGGCTTAAGTAATAATTAGCAGGGGTATGTTAGTGCGTACAGCAGGCCTAGGCGTTTCGAAGTCTAGCGGCTGCCGGGGTGACAATGTTGACTTTACAAAGTTGTGCAATTTATTCACTAAGAATTCAAGACCCCGCCGTACCGCCCGCCGTTCTGCTTCTTGCAGCCCAATCGCGACCATCCCACCTCCCACCCTCTACATTCTTCCTGTAACTACAAGGCATGTAATCAAAACAAGCATCTTTTGCTTGCCATTGATCAACCATCTTGCATGGACCTTGCAGCATCTATGTCTTTTCTTGGTCCTCGAGTATTCTTTTGAACAGTAATTCATCTTGCGCACTTCATTTTGTTAATTGGACTCGTCTTCCTGTCTACGATCAACCAACTCCCTTGCTCCTGTAGCGAGCCCCTCCTTCATCCCGGGTCTTCTGTTTATTATTCGATAGTCCTTCAACACCAACTACCATTGTGATATTCTCTATTATCAGAATTAACCATGGCAAGCTTCCTATCGAATATGTTCCCCTCGCAGGGCCCAAAGGACATCAAGTCCCCCATTTCGGAGCGCCCTGGTACGCCGACCAAGAATAGCTTCATCACACCCATCTCAACACCTCAAGGTAGCCCAAGCAAGAAGACCTTACCACCAGGAGCCAACGAGCTCCCCACAGCCTTCGACAATGCCTTGAAGCTCAATCCCGTCTCCCTCGATAGCCCGGTGAAGCTTGGTAGACCCCAGAATCCGAGTCCTCTGTCCCCCGCCAAGAGTAACATTCAGCCTGCCGACGATGGGTATTTCGCGACAGGGTCTCCCAATGTCGATAATAGCATCATCCACAAGGGTGGAGATCACACTGGAACCCCATTGAAGAAGCAAGGACAGGAGAATACACCACCTTCTCGAATCCCCGTGCGAGATTCGGTTTATCAGCATAATCAAGCTGCTGTTTCGCGTCAAGAGCTGTATCTCCGAGATCCTAGGCCAATTACCCCTACGACCAAGAAATTTAACACATCTCGTGGTCTTACACCTGAGGAGATGGAGATTCTTAAAAAGCCCAATGTCCGACGCTTGGTTAACGTTACTCAGCTGTGTAAGACTATGTTCCTCGGCCAGCTTTCCTCATACTGCTAACCCCTTGAAGATTTCCTAGATTATTACTTCGATCTACTCACCTATGTCGGCGCTAGGCAAACCCGATTAAACGCCTTCAAGGCGGAAGTACCAGCACCGCCCGAAACGGACCAAGAAGAGTACGATAAAATGTGGCAGAAATACACAGGAAGGGAACGTGCTGCCCTCCGTAAACGTCGCATCCGTCTTCGACACGGCGATTTCCAAATTCTTACCCAGGTTGGTCAAGGAGGCTATGGCCAAGTTTTTCTGGCTCAGAAGAAGGATACCAAGGAAGTGTGCGCTCTGAAGGTCATGAACAAGAAGTTACTCTTCAAGTTAGATGAAGTCCGTCATGTCCTCACAGAGAGGGATATTCTTACTACCGCCAACAGCGAGTGGCTTGTGCGCCTCCTATACTCTTTCCAGGATGACAAGAATATCTATCTTGCCATGGAGTATGTACCTGGTGGCGACTTCAGAACGCTCCTGAACAACACGGGTGTCCTGTCCAACCGACATGCCCGCTTCTACATCGCTGAAATGTTCTGTTCTGTGGATGCGCTACACAAGTTGGGTTACATTCATCGAGACTTGAAGCCAGAAAATTTCCTTATCGATTCTACGGGACACGTTAAACTGACTGACTTTGGCCTGGCGGCCGGTAACGTCGCGTCATCAAAGATCAATTCGATGCGTATTAGGTTAGAGAAGGCTTCCGAAACTGATGTGCCATTCGGTAAAGCTATGGACCAGCGAACCGTGGCAGAGCGTCGCGAGGGCTACCAAACCATGCGTGAGAGGGACATGAATTACGCGAAATCCATAGTAGGTTCTCCGGATTACATGGCACCCGAAGTACTCCGAGGTGAAGAGTACGACTATACGGTCGACTATTGGAGTTTAGGATGTATGCTGTTTGAAGCACTCACCGGCTTTCCTCCCTTTGCGGGTTCCACGGCCGAAGAAACATGGCACAACCTTAAGCACTGGAAGGAGGTGCTTAAGAGGCCAGTGTGGGAGGACCCCAACTATTTCTTAAGTAATCGTACTTGGAACTTCATCACTACGTAAGTCCCGGGAAAACACCAAATACGAGTATGGGCAATAAAGCTAATCGGTTTTAGATGTATCAATTCAAGATCCAAGAGATTCTCCAACATTAAGGATATTCTAGAACACCAGTACTTCTCAGAAGTAGAGTGGGACACCTTAAGGCAGTCCAAGGCTCCGTTTGTTCCCGAGCTGGACTCGGAAACCGATGCAGGGTACTTCGACGACTTCACTAACGAGGCTGACATGGCCAAGTACAAGGAAGTCCATGATAAACAACAGGCCCTTGAGAGTATGGCCGATCGAGACGAACAGATGGGCAAGGGCCTATTCGTCGGATTTACCTTTCGCCACCGGAAACCTACCACAGAAGATGGTAGCCCGAGGAAGCGGATCCAGACTGACGACACATTTGGTACGATGCTTTAGAGTAGGCGTCCTCAGTCTAGATTCAGAAGGCGACAATTTGCCTCGTTTGCATATGATGATTTTATGGTTCACCGCGATGCGATTCGTCAGGAACGAGTGGCTTTTAAGCAGGACACTTGAGGGGTTACGGCAAGATGGTATGATTTGCGACACCCTTACTTTTTTTCGGTCGAGAAAGGCTCCACGGAGAGCTAGCCATTGGTACCAGGTGGGCGTTTTGAGGTCTCGTGCATATTGAGTTAGGAGTTCTACAGAAGGAGGTTTTAATGAGAGGCATACGCGTCTAGTCTCAATATGTCCACTTTGGAGGCAACTATAGGGCTCTGCGTTTGAGGAAGACGGGAATAGTACCAGTCGTGTACAACAGTGTCATAATAGACTGCTTTTGATTCAGCCTCGGAAAAGATATATTATTTTGCTACCAGCACTACCATCTTAATGAACATGCCCGTATGTGTACATCTTTTCTCGACATTCGACCTTACAACAGCATGGCTTACAATAGTGTGGATATTTCAAGCTTTCCATACAGATGTAGGCGACGGTAGTGATCAATATAAGTTTAATTCCACAGCATATCCGTTTATCGTCACGCTGAAATTAGGAGAGTACTCGATAGCATTTAAGAATAATCTATTTACGTACTTCTATAGCTAAGGTTCAATCTTGCCTATATTTGGAACTCATGAACACAATAGCAAGGCAAACGAAAGAAAGGCAGGGAAGTGGCAGTAGAAGCGGGCTCTTTGGGACCGGAAAGTTGCCTGGCTTTCCTTTTAAGGCGTACTAAGTCACCGAGCTCGCCTCTGATTGGTTCAAGCTAAACTTGGCCATGCTATCCGGACGTCCCCAAGAGCTAACCCCGCGCAAACAAAGTTTCAAAGTTTCATTCATAAGACAATACAACCAATACAGCCAATATAACCCAACCTCACATGCGTCACTGACGACGCTCAACTGCTAAGCCACTCCGTTTTATGTATATGAAATAGGTATTGATCGTGTATGTACACATTTTGCCTACTTTTCATCACCGTACTGTGCATTTCGACATACTACCGGAATTAGGGTGTGAGAAGCATGAGAGGGGCAGAGTGTGCGCCGCTTACATCCGCCTGATCCAGGGAACTTACCGTCTATCATCTACGATCTTCATTGACTGGGTATCTTTGCAAGTCATTACGACTCCTCTGGTTGCCCACAACGCCCTGGGACCAATACCAACAATTTCGTCTCATGCGAGTACGTGGCGGCTCTTGTAAAACCGTACATTCCGAAGCTGATCCTTCTAACGATGCCCACCTATCCTGTCTTCCCCAGGATTTTCGTCGTACATATGTAACTCACTCTCCCCTCAACTCGCTGGACGCGCGGCTTTCTGCGCTAGTGAATTGAATGGCACGCGGGATCAGTATGTAGATGAGAAGAAAGCCGTTCATCTGTGTTCTGGAAGCTTGCCTACTTGCTTACATGCTTCAAGGTAGTAAACTCAGCCCAACCCTAATTTTCTTCTCCCTTCTTTTCTTTTCGTTTTTCCTTGTCTTGGTTCATTCTTCTCTCTACCTTTCCCGAGCTAAGGCAGCGGCCGAGCCAATCTGGGGAGATCACACGCCCCGAAAGCTTAAGCCATGGCGGGCGAGAGATGACGAACAGCTTCGCATGCCTTGTTGGACAAGTACACACCGCAGAATGCATTCCTTATACTCTTGCTTGCATACATACATCTCAATTACGTGACGTCCTTTGACTTCCGTGACACGAGTCTCGAAATGCTTGCTTACCTCTTCCCATCCGGTCTTTATTCGGCCGACTGGAGATGGTGGGCTGGATAAACTTAGGTAGAGTAGGGCTGGTGAAGCATATAAGTATATGCTCTGCATTTCTCGACGCACTTGTGTCTTTGTCTATTCTCTCATCTCTAGCTCTATATTTTCTGCTAGCGGTACGCAAGGGAATAGCTACCTGAAACATAAGTCGAAGCCGACTATACTACCCTAAAAAGAATTCGAAAATATATCTAAGCTATATACAAAAGACTATATAGGAGGAAAATGAAAGCATCAACACTTGCCGCCGTGCTGGCACCCTCAATTGCCTCCGCGCAATGGTGGAAAGGCGCTCCTAGTTGCGCTGTAAGTACATTCCCTCCTACTATTCCTCCCACAACCACATAAGCCTCCACATACGTCATCGTCACCACAATCCAGTATTCCTCCTTCCTTTCATTGATAACTAACACTACCAAAGCAATCCTGCCTATCCTCCGCCTGGCAAAGCCCCAGCAGCACCGTAACCAGCGGTTGGCCCGCCCAGTCTGCATACTGCGACGCCTCAGGCACGGGCCCCAGCGTCGGGTCCTGCATCAGCAGTGCCTGCTCCTCCGCGTCCTCGACCACGGCCTACGAGTCCTACAGCTCCCTATCGAGCTCCCTATGCTCGCGGTACTCAGACTGCACGTCGGCGGGTAGTACTGGTGTGCGAACTGTCACGTACTCTGGCGGTTCGGTTACTTGGGCCGCACCGGGTGGCTGGGGATCTAAGGCTTGGGGCGGAGGGCCTGGGCATAATGGGTGGGGTAGTACTAGTGGTGCGTCGTCCGGTAATGCGTCTGCGACGGATGATCCGTATCGCCAGTATTGGAGCGAGTGGGCGTCGGCCTTCGCTTCGTCGCGGACTTGGACTGGTGGCGTAGCTACGGTTACTGGTTGCTCGTTCGATGGCTCGCCTTGGTATGTTGGACCTGGGTGTGGGTGGAATGGACTTGGTGGATTTGACGGATGGGTTGGCTGGGGTAGTGGTTGGAGTTGGGGTCCGACGACTACGCAGACGGTTACGTTTACTACTACGGACTCGGCGGGGGCTACTAGTACTGGCACGGGCTTGGCGGCGGTTGCGATGGCGGTTAGTGGGAGTTTGACTACTTCTACTACGTTGGGTACGCCGAGTGCTACGGCTAGTGGGACGGAGAATGCGGCGGTTAGAGGGCCGGGAGGGGTGACTGGGGCTGAGGGGTCGGTTGTTACGGGGATGATGGGGATTGCGCTTGGGGCGATTTTGGTTGTTGCTGGGATGCTGTAAGAACGCTTAGATCTTCTCTGAGTATCTGCCTGCTGCTCCTCACATCCTTGCTTACCTAGGTATATGACGTGCTGTTTTTATGGGCGTTTTGGTGTACATATGATTCACCTTGGGTTTGGGAAAACTGGATGGGTTGGATTAGGCGTTTGTTGAACCAGAAGATATACTTGGTTACTTATTAGGATTGAATAAAGAGAATAGCTTAAAACTTGACATGGATGATGTTGTGTCCCGATCCGACGCGAAATAGTACTCAGTGATCGGACTTGAAATTCACACAAGTCGAAGTTAAAGACATGGCTGACAATTTTATTCAACACCTGAAAATTCAGCGAAGACTAGACGTTATTATTAAGTGGTTCCTAATTCCACCTATTTTGCACCCTCATCACCCGAAGGGAATAAAATGCTCGAACCCACCGTGCTTTCTGAGGTAGTTGGCGAAGTTTCCGCCTTCTGTGCCTCTCGTCCTAGTCTTTCTTCCTTCACTACAGGTTCCATCTTTTCCTTTCCTTCCATGCCAAGACTACCCTCTTTACGTTGTGGTCGAGGTGGTGTGGGGGGCAAGGGCACCGAAGGAGGGCCGCTAGGCGGTGGCTGAAACGTCGTCGACATCTTCCTACGGTTCCAGGCGCGGTCACCAAGCGTACCTTCTGGGCGGGCGGTGGCGGCAGGTGTAGTTAAGCTAGAACTTGGACCGACGCCGGCTCGGAAGTCAAAGTCGAAAAGTGCGGTAGATGCGGTCGACGGCATCTCGGGCGATCCTCGCCATTGCACGGCCGAGCTACTAGTAGCGGCGGCATCTGCGGGGAGGCTAGGAACGGTGGGAGATGCGGCGGGGGCGGAATTGGCCGGACCTGTGCGAACTTCCTCAAAGAGTCTTTCATAAAGAGTGTCTCGACTAGATTGCGAGGTTGGCGAAATGCGCGCGTGAAGTCCCGAACTGTGGCGATTACTACCAGACTCTAGAGCTGGCGTCGTCGGGGCGAAATCAGTTCGGTCTGTATTGTCTGTTGTCTTGACTATGCTCGGGATTAGTCGTAGAGATGACCGGTGTTCTAATTGCTGGTCGGCTAACGGAGCGAGTGGAAGCTCCTCCTCCTGGTGCTTCTTGCGCTGGTAGGCTCGAGCGCATAGAAAGAGAAAGGCGACTAAGATGATGAAGCCCGAAATACTGCTTACGATTGCAGCGATGGCCGACGTAGAGACTGTTGACTTCGAAACATCTGGTGAATCTAATGGCGACGGTCCAGGAGATGGAGGCATGGTCACCGATATATCAGGTGTTGACGACAGTTCTGACTTGCTTTGGGTAGGCTTTGAATTATCTGTAGCCTTTAGGAGTGCACTCGCAGCATTAGCTAAAGATGGTGAAGTATCCGGAAGCAGAGAGACTACCGTTGATGAATTCCCATCCTCTGTGCTTTGACTAGGTTCATCGCTATAGTGATTTGTATTTGTTGCAGTGTCACTACCCTCGCGCGTAGGACTATCAGTTGCGCGGTCCGTCGGCGTGGGATTGTAATCTATTGTTGTCGTGATTGTAACGACGGAGACCTGTACGTCAGGCAAACCCAGCACTCCCAACTCCGATGTGTCCCCCACCATCAAGGCATCGTCGCATCTTGAATCAAAGAGCAGCCCAGTCCATAACAAAGTCCTTAGACAGAACCACTTCGAATTAAAGCCTAATGGAAACATTGGCGATGTCATATCGACAGTAATCGTGTATCTCGTAATGAGCCATTGTGCACGGCACCGAACCAGACATCACATCTCTGAACATTTTTGCCATCTTCGTCGGTGTCGAATCAACCTGCACACAAAGAGGTTGCCATCGAGATGGATCCAGACAAAGAGCCTTGTCTCGCATGCGGCCTTATAGGCCTATTTCGACCAATTGAGCAATTCATTGCTCGTGGATAGGAGCTATCCATAACCAGAGGTATACGAAGACATATTCCTAGGTTTATTCGACCCAATACAGATACTCGGAATTTTTTCGCCGGAAGACCATCATCCAACAACTCTTAAACCAACACTTTGGAGAGCAAAAATTTTCAGAAATAAAGCAGAGCAGAACAGATAAAGAAGGATGGCCAGGCAACTTTATGCGGATTGGACAAACTCTGGGAGGCGCATAGATATCCGTTTTCACATTTCCTAAGATAAGGAGGTGATTGCGTGATAGGAAAGATAAGAATGGATCGACAAGAGGAAGAGCCTCATGGTGAGCCTGCCGCTTCGAGCTATCTGGCGGTGTCGATGTCTCCTATCTAGATCTGCTCTAGATACACAGATACGGTATCAAGTAACGCCCCCATGCATATGTGTGTAAGTCCCTGAATGCATCTGGTTCCAAGGGTTCAGATAAACATAAGTATGTAGGTCACAGCTGGTACCCCGCGAGCTACAATAGGAGCCGTGTGTTATTCTTGGTGGAGTAGGGCCCTGATGGCGTAATTAGACGACATTCTGACTCGGATTTGCGAATTATTAGGTAACAAATTGCCAGTAGCTCTCGTGACAGCTTTCCTGAAACAATATAAAATCCATGCCCGCCCCAGTTTCTTAACAACTAAAGATTCTGGGGTTTGGGGTTATCTAACGGACATCCGCAATATTGATACCGGATTCGAGATGGGGGCCAATCTTGCCAATCTTACCGCTAATCACCTGCCAAATTCGAGGGCGACAGAGATAGGCAAATCTTCTAATCTTTAGGGCTCTCAGACAATTGCACTTCTCCAACCGTCTATATCTTGGAGAGCTCCCCAGTTTGTCAGATGGACTACTCGTTACCTACCCTTGCCTAGCAGGTGGCCTGTCGAACTTACCGACACAACAGCCTTTACCTTCAGTGCCGTGGACCATAATGGAAAGTCGTATACGAGTTGGAGCTCGCTGTCGCATTATTTATTAGCCTTCGATGATTGGTCAATGGTCTCACTACTTTTACGCGGGGATCTTGCTTAAGGGATCAGCGGTCGCCGTGGTACTCGAAGGAACGACAAACATGATCCGCCTGAAGCCATTCGACACTAGCCTGACGAGAAAACAGGGGATAATGGGTAACACAGCATTATTTCCCACACAAAAGGGTCACTCAATGGATCACAGATGACCTCACGATCAACCGGCGACAGTCTTTCCTTGTCCATCTTGCTTCTCGTTGCAACTCGGTTCGACGAATTTTTCGAAATTTAACCCCCGCGCCTTGACGGGACCAGCTGACGACTCCGACGCGTTCCTCCCTTGGACGAACCCCCACGCCCAGCAATTTCGTCTATTGGATGACCCCGGGCCTAGCTGCGATGCTGTCGGCGGCTAGAATGGGAAACCGAGCCCGGCCACACGAGCAGAAATTTCGCACACATACACAAAGGAAGTCTAGAAGATGAAAAATGCTTGCTCACCCGGTTTTTGGTCTTACGCACTCCTGCCCATCTTGGTAAAATACCGCAGTGCCTATTTTACTTGCATTGAGTAGCTTCCAACCCTGACTGGTTCCAGACCACTTTAAAAGAACAGGCCCCTTAAATTCGCAATTTTTTCTTCATTCACTAGCGACATCTTCAAGTTTGCTGTCTAACAATCAGGTTGCGCCGCGGAGACATCTCTAAGGAATTGACGACTCCTCGGACTGCACGATTGAAAATATTGAAATCGAAAAAGGACAAAGCCTAGAACTAAAGAAAATGCGGCCGATTTAGTACCACCGAGATCGTCGGCCCTTGGAGCCTAACCTCCCTAGGTATCTAGCAATTCGGTACCGGGTCCTGGTCCTTTGTTAAAATGCTAGTGTGCAGTTGTTGGTCGCTTGTCACGAGATACAACGTATTTTAATTGGTGGTAAGCAACTCGGCCTCTCTCGACGACACTATGAATATCGTAAACCCTAGACTCGAGAAGCATGGCTCGGTGAGACTATACCCCATTAGAATGTGACCTGTTTACGGTTAGGTGTGGCACAGAGCTGTTTATTACAAGATTAGTTAATCTATTGTCATCATGCTTCCTCACCTTGAAATACATGATATAGTGGCATCTATTAATCCACGATCACCTATTTCGGTACTGCGACCGAGATAGAATAACACGCTTTGAACGGCATCAACTCTACCTTTCGCGGCAACTGCCGAGCTTAGTCCATGAACGGACTTTAGAGCCAGTCGAAATGATTTTGATTACCTCAGGTGTGTTATAATTGACAACTGATAAGGCCTTGGGAACGAATCCGTCGCTAGTAATTGAGGCTATTTTGGACTTTCGACCCACTCCGCCGGGTTTTCAGGGTCCTTAGCAAGTTCGCGAACTGGGAAATGCAAGGCCTGCAAAGGACTAGTTGCTCCTTGAGGTACTCCGTGAAATGGCACTATGATGAATTTGGTTATGCCGGATATAAGTTGGGACATGCGACTATTGACTATTGGGAGTGAAAGAGGGGACTACTGGTTATTAATTGCTACCTGCCTTATAAATCTCCTGGACCAAATGGGGAAATTTATGAGAAGCGGGCTTGGAAGTTTCTGTTGCAGCGAGCCTGCACGCGATGCTAGACGCCATCGAGCTGTCGAATGGGAGAAATCGGGAGCAAGTTGATGAGATATTAAGGCTACGCGACGCCGAGTCTAATAGGTGCTATTCTGTGGCCCCGTCTTACTCGTACCAGGTAGGTAGGTAGATAGTTTTATATGCTGATTTATTGTGATTTTCACATGTGATAGAGCTCATGTCTACTTCATCTTACCATTGAACTTCCGAATTGGTAGTAACCAACTCTCGGTCGATGGAGACAAACTCATTTTATTCCCTACCGGACTTAAATTCTACTTATTGTAACACAAAAAAGAGTGTGGCGATCTGCGGCTTTTTCAGCTTGTTACGTTAAAGATTTGAAATGAGATCTCAGATGGCTGGCTACCAACCAGCCTTCAACTTCTTCAGATGATGGATGAACTTTAGAAATGCAGCTAACGATCACAGGGGGTGAGTGGTTCGGCCCACTACCACGCGAACGAAAGAGCAACCACTAGACCTTGGCGATTCTGCTAACGGTCTTAATCATTAGGTCCCATAACCTAGCAAATAGTTGACGGCGGCTTTTCGTCATCCTGTTTCAAAGGGCCGGCGGGGGGCGCCCGCGGACTCGGAACTATCCTCCAACGAGTCTCGCGTGAGAGGATCGTGTGGGAATACGCCCTCAAGGCTGATGGTCTTTTGCCATTTCTGTCTCAAAGCCACCGGTTCGATGGGGAAACACAACATTGAGGGCTAATAAACGAGTAAGGTACCAATAAGTCTATTCTTGAACGTATACCATCGGATTAGAAAGATCTCTCTAAGATCTATGAACCAAAAACAGAACGATGCTGTAATGAAGCCCCCCGTGGATTTCGTACTGCTTTAAGGGACGGCAAATCGATTCTTGTAACTCGTGTAACCTAGGAACCCGCCGCCTCCAGATGATCCATCCCATTAGCCACGCCGGCGCTCATCATTTACGGTCACCCGTGTCTCGCTAAAGAGGCTTGAGAGGGGATCAAGAATGGTCCGTGGGCTAGGCCCTTGTTTCTTATTCACGCCTGTCTTGGAACATCCCATCGCGCTGCTCAAGGGTTCGCACTCAAAGTGTGGGGGTTCAACCATCTTGGTCCATGCAAGACGAGAGGACCCTTGTCTTCTAACCCTTGGCTTGGAGGCGCATTGCGCGTCCGTTAGGTACCCTCTACTTCGGCGGTACACCACCCAATTTCTCCCATCCTTTTCGAACCCTTTCCCACACCCGCAAACTGGAGAGTGGCTTTCGAATATGACTGGTCTTGCTTTTCAATTCTCCTTCGACATCGGAACTTGCTGACCAGTTCTAAAATATGGAATTATCCCGCTCTCTCTGAGTGGTCTCGACCGCGCAGAGGATCATAGGGCCGTAGTCCCTACATATTTCTTACCAGGATTCTTTCGAGCGCTCCAGAGGCAATAAGGGCGAAGTTGATATTCTCCATGTGATTTTCTCATCCCCAAGGTGTGAGCTACGGATGAGATGAACCCCCACCTCGGTGAAATTCTAAAAGGGGAACATGTGCCTATTCGTAAGACTTCACTATGATATATCGCGTGATACCTACGTAGTAAGTACTGTGTATTGGAAATAATTCAGCTTCTCCAATTTAGAGCATCTAGAGCTGTCTGTTTATTGTCGTTTGAAGAGTCCCGCTAGGTTAAATACCTAAAAACGCACGGTACATTGGGAGCCATCCTTCCTGCTTGGGCATTTCGAGGCTGGTAACACAACCTTATGCACAGTTCTTTGCCGTCGAATAGGAAAATCGAGGCCCTTCAGTCTACCCCTTCGTCATTATTAATGGGTAAGGCCAGCATCATCAATGGATGACATTATGCTTTTAGAAATGAGCTTCACACTGCGGCTTCGGAGTATAGACATGCATAGTCTTGCTTGGGTCTGTATATTCTTGACTCTTTCTCTCTTAGCAAGTTAAGTCTTAGTAGGAGTTATTCGTACCGGCTTTTCCCGAAGACCCATACAGACTTGCTACCAAGAGAGCATAGCGCCGATACTAGTATGTATGCAGGGTCCGAGTTCGTCTATAAGATATCTGAGCCGCGAAAATATCTGAAGCATCGAGTCGGGACCAGAAACTGGCGCTTTGTCTCCCGCCGCTCCACAAATCGGCGTTAGACCGGACGATACTCTCACGACATACATATCACCACCCCCTAGTAGGCGGGGGGATTAACGTGCCTACCCTTGCCTTACCTCGCTCTAGCGCTATAACGGCGATGCAGGTTGAAGTCACTAAAGCTTTGGCTAGATTGCTTGTATTCTTGTTCATCCTTCGAAGGTTGACGTATCTGGCGTTCTAAGGACCCATCGGCAAGTGACAGGTAACCATATAGACGGCTATTACATGCTTGCGTATATCGATTCATAACGTAGATATTGATCGTATGGTAGTTCCACTTCCCCTGTTGGTAAGCCAATAACCATGGTATTGTACTGTGCCGTATATTAAGGGTATGAATGACATTAGAGACATTGCTGTTGGGTGAGGAGGAAGAGAGGGGCAACGCACGTTTGCAGCTTTGTTGTAGACCAAACCCGCGATGGACCGGAGACGACGGTACTCGGTACACGACGACTACTTGTAACCATACTTGTAAGCGCTGGCAAGTGAAACATACATGTATCTAATACAGATGTATGTAGGTATACAGCACCTACATACATATTTCAATGAAGCAACAGAAGCACAGAAGCAGCAGCTCGTATGTATCCACGAGTCACCGGTCTCCGTTCCCCAATTTTGCCTGTATCATTTCCCAATACCAATGTATGTATGGAATTATCTAGCGCTTCCCCATTACTCATGTCTGTCTGTCAGTCGATGAGCAGCCCTTACTTACATGGTGCGGATAATTGCGCCAAACTGACATGTCAGTGCAGAATGTGTTCTAAATGATGCAGGTCTATAATATACATACACATTCTTATATAGGATAAGGTTAAGTATGTCTATATGCAGCCATGTACATATAGTGTATACGAATACCTCTAGTTATACCTTACGTATTGTATGTGTATGTATGTGTATAGTATAGTACTTTGTATACTATTTAGAATAAAAAAAAAGGCCGTTGAAGGGAGGTGGAACTTGAAGAACCTTGGAAGGTTACAATTGTAAGACCTACACTAAGTTGAATGTATCCCGGTACAAACTAGTACCCACACATACCATGCATGGGTGAATCTATCTAAGCATGTACTCGCTAGTACCTACCCTACTTTAGGTACTTGCTTACCTTCAGTAAGTTCTCACATCTTCTTTGCACCTGCCTGAGCATTTCATGAAGTGGCATAATCAATCTTGGAAGTCGTATAGCGGATTTATCTAGTCAAAAGTCTAATTGATAGTCTTCAGATGCACTTCATATGCTAAACCTTTCTCTCCAACCTTCTAACATTGATCTCCAAGCTTTACACGATCCTAAATCAATCCACTTCCATGAATAATTAAAAAGGGTAAAATCAATCCAAAATTGTACACGACTACATATAGTACCACCATAGTACCAGCGACATCGTTCAATTAACCCCCCACTAAGGTCGAGGTCCTCTTGTCTTTTTTAATTTCGGTGCAGATCCACCCCTCTCTCTGTCTTGTCTTCCAGTTCTCGCTTCGGCTGCATGGGAGCTTTTGGGGTCTTAGGTGCGGAGGCACTTCAGGGAATCCCTCGAACTCCAATTGTCGCTGTGGGATTGGTCCAACCGGCCAGCCATCAAGAACCATCAATCCAAACCGGCCTTAGCATCCCTTCTAGCAGCATCCTCGCACTCACACCTCACACAAAGCCGCAGAACCACCCGCCAGCCCGCCCAGCGCCCAGCGCCATGCCCACTACCTATATCCACTTCAGCGTATGAGCGAAGAGCTGCAAATCGTGGATCGCCGGGTTTTTCTCAAGGATGCTAGCACCGGAATCTTTCCCAGCCTAGCTTAGCCCTCTAGCGAACTAGGGACCCAGCTAGAACCCTACGTATGTCGTATGTACATCCACAGTACTATTACCGTATCTGTATTGTATTCTGTTCTATTCCCAAGTGGAAGTGTGGTACCCTTTTTTCAAGGAATTACCAGCATCTGCACTACTTGCACCTCGCGCGCATCCACCAATCCATCAAATCCACCTCCATTACCTCCATTACAAAGGTCTGAGGACGCACCCACCTACACCCATGTCACCCAGGCAAAGCCGAACCAAACTGCCTGATGAGTGACCATCCAATCCACCCAACCCGCCCTGTGGAATTTCAAAAGGCGATGCGACAGTGAACTGCCCGAAGTTGCTATTGTTGTCGTTGCTTGTTGCTTGCTTGCTGCTGCTGCTGTTGCTATTGCTACTACTACTACTATTACTTCTTCCTTCGCCCTCCACAAGACCCTCTTCTACCTTGGGGTGTCATACATCACACCCCCCTCCGATTTCAAACACGCGAGTGTCGACCGAGCCGGGAAAAAAGGAAAGCAAGACAATTAACTGTACACTGGAACTAGATCTACAGCACGGGACTCTTATTCTCGATCTCGTCCCGTTTGAATTTTTGCGAGCTGATCGCCTACCCTCGAGCGCTAAAAAGTCTGGGAAACAAACTTTTAGGATAGTGTTCGGCTTGCGAAGGAACTTGGGCTGACAGCCCAAACCTTGGAACGTGGGGAAACTTGGAAGGGCCCCGTAATACCTACGAAATAACTTCTCTCCCACCTCTGCCACTACTACTGCCACTAGGTACCAGACTACCTTGTACAAAACTAGAGAGACGCCCCCCGACTCGGGTTTCTTCTTTTTCCCGTTTTCCCTTATTAATCTACATGGCTGCTAGCACAGTGTCGCCGATAGCGACCTCGAGTCCTTTGACAGCCATGAATCCCACGACGACAGAGCACGACTTCCGCTTCCCGCGAAGGCCATTCGAGTCCCACGAGTCGAGTAAAAAGAATACCGACGAGAATAGCCCCGGCGATTTGCGCTTCAACGAGCTCAATTTGGACTTTACGAAGGCAGAGAATGCACCATTATTCGACTTCCTACAATCTTCTATAATTCCTGCTCTGCAGAATGGCGTGTCTAAAAACGAGGAGAATTTAGAGCAGGTGCAGCAGAGCGATCCGCTGGCCACCCAAATTTGGAAGTTTTACCGCAACGCGAAGCAAACACTCCCAAGCCAGGAGCGCATGGAGAATTTGGCGTGGCGCATGATGCACTTCAAGCTACGGAGGAAGCAAGCAGAAGATGCTCGGTATGTTCGTCGTGTATAATCGCATTGCGGTTCTAACCATTTTTTTATAGGTGCGCAGCTCTTCGTGAGACCGGCAATGCCGCGGCAAATGGCACCAATGCTCCGAGTGGTATTGCGCAGCTGAGAAAAACGTCGGATCAGAACTTTATGCATATGGACCCTATGAACCTCGATGACTTCATATTCCCCGAGAATGTCGCGACTCCAGCGGGATTGGCAGCGACGCCTTCGCCCGACGTGAATAAGCAGGACGGAGAGAAATCGGCACATACTACCGCCGCCGCCATTCCTATTAAATCTCGCAAACCTGGTCCGCAACATTTTGTTCCTCAGTCGGTTCCTGTTCCCCCTCACCAGAGAAACCAAGACGAATTCGCATATGTCACTCGGCATCACCGGAAAACTAGCATTGATGACAGACGAGTAAGTAAAGCCGAATTGTCTTTGTTTACTAGAAACTATCACATCATTCCTACCATTTCTTTTGTTTTCCAATATACTGGTATATCTTATTCTGCTATGTACATCCTTAAGCAAAGAATATATCAATACATAGATGGGGCTAATCATGATTCTATACTAGACTCGAAACTTGAAGCGTCCTGCTAACTTTTCGCCTCATGTCTCCGCCCTCAACAGCAACAACTTTGTTGCAAATGATCTAGATGCTGATTCTGACCTCCACGAATACTCCTTAGATAACACACATACCAATGGTAACCCCCACGCGCCGCATCATTCAAATGTCCCTTTCCCACTTGAAACCTTTTCTATGGAGAACGATCCAATCATTACCTCGGCCGGACCATTCCAGCAAGGATTTTCATTCTCACCATCGAATTCGCCAATGGTTCACCATGGACCCTTTTCAAACTTATACAACCACCATGGTGTTGCTTCGAACTCGGTAAATGGTGCAGACTATTACTCCCCACCTGGATCTGCCTACCAGTCTGCCGTTTCTACACCTCACCCCATGGTAGAGAATGAGAATATGTTCTTCGGCTCGATGGATATGCGCCATCAACGAGCACAGAACTTCCGTGCAGGTGCAGGATCAATGAGAAACCAATTAGGCCAGCAATTCATGCAACAACATAACGGTAACTCGATGTTCCCGCCTGCTACTACCGGAGGAGACTCATCCACTTCGTTTACCCAAAGCCTCAATTTTGGGCACGTTGATCCGACCCAGGTTTTCCAGCCTGACCATCCAGTTCGTTCGCCAGGTGTTGGTGGCATGATGCATGAGAATATATTTAATTTTGGAGCGGATTCTGATAATGAGGATGATGATGGTGGTGCATTCGCCGACCGCAACATAGGGATGCACCAAGCATTTTCGCCGGATAACGAGTCAGGAATGGATTTGGGTAACCAAAATTCATTGGGATGGGACGCTTCCTTGCCCGGACAATTTAGCACACAAGCAGCTCGTTACCCCGGTGGGCCACCTCGTAAGCAAGTTACTATTGGAGGAACAACAACAGATTTTCTAGATTCTGGTGACTGGGACACCCAAAGCAATTTACCAAGGTCCCAGTCGTTTCGATCATCCAGTGACAGGCGCCAGAAGATTCCTCGTACAGCGTCAACACCAAACGCTAACATGGCTGGTCGCGGAAATCCATTCGACAAATTGGCTCAATCGAACCCGAGTTCTCCGCCTGCGGACATGCCAGGGAACGTCTCAGGCTTTTCTTCCGTTGCACCAAGTCGACCTACTTCCCCGCCCGGCTCCAAGCATGGCTCCACGAGCAACCTGCAAGCTGCCGCTGGAGGGCAGGGAGACGGAAACGCACCAACCACATGTACCAACTGTTTCACTCAAACTACACCGCTATGGCGCCGTAACCCAGAAGGCCAGCCTCTTTGCAATGCTTGCGGTCTATTTTTGAAGCTTCACGGAGTCGTGAGGCCGTTAAGTTTGAAGACCGACGTTATCAAGAAACGTAATCGTGGATCTGGTGCAAGCCTCCCGGTTGGTGGAACGAGCACGAGGTCTAAAAAGAACGCCGGAAACTCGTCGGGTGCCGCGTCTGGTACCGGCTCGCGTAAAAATTCGACACTAACTTTGTCAGCTACGAACAACGCAACGCAAGCAACCACACCACCATCGGCGGCGAATAGAGCTGGTAGTGTCAACGAGGGTGAAAGCCCTGCTAGTGGTGCTGGTGGTTCCGGTGGTAACACGGCAGGTAGTACACCGACGAGCTATGCAGGTTCTGCTAATGGTGCGGTCGGCGGCAAGGGCGTTGTCCCTATTGCGGCAGCCCCTCCCAAGAACGCACCAGGGCCAGGTGCTGCTTCACTTCCGCGAAGTGTTAGCACCAGTGGCTCATCGAAACGGCAACGTCGCAGCAGTAAGAGTACTGGTCCAAACGAATCGTCCATGGACGTTGATAGCCCCGAGAATTCGACTGGTTCGAATGAAGCGGCCCGTTCCATTGGTTCCTCGAGTGGTTTTGCTGGCATGTCAAACCCAGGAAATTTAGGGCTTGCCAATGGTTTTGGTATGACTCAAAGACCAATGATGGGATCTGGCATTGGCGGAATGTCTGGAGGTTCCAGCACTGTGATGAATTCCGCCTCTGGAAATGGACCGCAGGAATGGGAATGGTTGACGATGAGTCTCTAAATTGACCCGAAACATTATTGCAACTGTAACTGAATATTACGCACGACACGACTTCGAATCTTATCGACTTACGCATTCTCTCGGACGAACATCATTGGATTTTGCATGGAGGTTTTCTGATTCTAATTTCTCATACTCAACCTAAGAGGGGTCCCTAACCAATTTGTTACGAACGATGACTCGGCCGAACTCGCTACAGTGCGAAGAACGATTAATCACGACATCATCATACATCGGCGTTGGGTTTATCTAGTGTCTTACCACCAAGCGACCATCATTTTCTACAGATTTTTCACACAAGACGTTTCACGGCTTTTTATCTATAACCTGTGGTATTAGGTTTTTCTTGGTGTATGCGGATTTGCACACCAGAATGCCGAATGAGGCTTATCCAATTGTATGAAAGGTCTCAGGTTGTATAGAATGGAACATACCCGGGGAAGCTTACGCCTTGCTTCTAATCACAAATTACCTAGTTGAGACGAGACTACCTTCGTCTCTGACATAATTTCATCCGTTTATATAGTGCCATAGTGATGGCACTTCCGGCACTCGTCTACCGAGTTTAATATACATCACGGCACCGCCTACAAGACTAGTGGTATCTGGACGGGTTCTATCACGAGGCATGCCGCAATAACCTATTGTTACGATACGATATTCTTTCGGGATGGGTTTCTTGTTTAGCAGGGAGAACGGTTCGGTTCATACGAATGGGCCATGAATTTAGTTCTGTCTCTATTTTTCTTTGCCTTGGTGGGCAGGATTTGGATGGGGATTTGTAGATACGGGATTGATACCATTTTTATTGTTTGTAGACAGGGCGGGCAAGGCCATCTACGAATCTGCCGAGTCAGAAGACAGGGGTGTCACATATAGCTACGTATAGCTATGTGTACAGTAGGCGGACAGGCGGAGGTAGACAGACAGACGGGCAGAAAGATAAGTCTGAAGTTATAAGTGCTGCTTCGTGGAAGTAGATGGAGAGATGGATGCGGTGGGTGTTGATAAGATGAATGAGAGCATCCTGAAAGCGTGCACGCATGAAGCAGACCCCAGACTTTATGGTTCTATGCCACATGTATTCTGTTACTAGTACATACCTACTCGCTTGCCTACCTATAGATGGCAGGAGGTGAATAATACTGTTAACACCTAAATATGATATGGAGTCTATTGTTGTGAAGCTATGAGGTGACTATTCCCTTTATTGAGCGCCGCCTTAACTAAGGCGCCTATGTGATATATCAACTACTCCCCTGATTTCGAGTAAAAGGGGTAAAGGTACTACGAGGTAAGGTACGAGGGAGGTACTTACTTGCTACTTTGCTTCGAGATCAGGAACACGTCCGATACATTATGTGTGAGCGCCCACTCATCCTTACGAATACCGGCTCTCCTATTGAGCTATTTGCTCGTAACAGCCCCTCAATGGTCATTGTTGACCGACCCTCATAGTTAGCCACCAACCCTACGATAGAAAATAACTTAGGCAATGACGTGGAGCAGGGCACCAATACACCGGAAAAAGTTTCCTTCCTGCAACCCGACCCGGTCCCTCGTCCCCGCCCTTTGTTCACTTATTTTTGTCCTTTGTCAACACGAGTCATTCCGTTTCCCGTGCCTCGGTATTTGCTACGGCATCGGCATCCCGGCTCCGCAGGGTTGTCCCGCCGGACGTGTCTTGGGTCTTTGTGTAAGGGTAGGAATGTATTGGAGTTGGAGAGAGGTTCGGAATGAGGTCTTAGTCAAGTGGGTCGGCGGATGGGAAAATAATTTGGTATGGGACAGTAGATACCTGATGGTAACGATTACTCGTCCTTTGTCTCCCTCCGTTTCTGGGATTTCGGTACGTCAGAGGTAAATCGCCACGGGGATAATTTGGTAAGGTAAACCGATGCTTCTTCCCAGGCATATAATCATAGGAAATAACTCGGATTGTTGGATACATTATAGTTAGGTTCTGTGTCCAATTCAAAGACGGAAACGGAGGAGGCAAGGCGTTCGGTGCCGACTCATATACTCGGTTCTACGAGAAATTTAGGTACTTGTAGAGGTAGAAAATACTATAACTGATGCTTCGTCGTCGAAATAGAGATTACGTCCATATTTTAGGGATCACCGGGAATTCGAAAGTATAAGGCGGACTAGAAATTGTTCCTCCTAGTTCGTAGGGTATAAGAATCCTTGAAACGCCGGATCCGTCAACTTGCCATTAAAGCATCTATTAACCTCTGTATACGTAAAGGCAGATATATACGTCTGCCTAGGCGATTCGGACATATGTTGCCGTAAATAGGCCTTAGGGGATGCGGTACATTTCAATGAGACGATAGGTGAAACGGATATAGTATCGAATGAAGTGGCACGTCGCAAAGACAAGTAGAGCACGCAAGAATCACTAGACCGATAAAAATGCTTTGCAGAGACGATTACTATCCTCTGTAGATTCCGCCTTTCCAGGCAATACCTGCGTAAGTACAGACGAGGAGACTCGCGAGTAATGACCAAGCCAGAACGATGATGCCGTGTGACTCCCAAATGAAAGATGCAAATCCATATGCATCCATAACCGTTTCATCTCCCACTCACTTCCGATCGTAATAGAGCAGGTTGATTTTGTCGGCCATACACCACTGCAGAGGTGGACGCTCAGAGCGAGACACGGTCGAGTATCTGCTCGTCCATCGCCTTCCAGATCCTCTCGAATACGACGTTGGCTGCTCTCAAGAGGGTAAGCGTAGCGTTATGCTTATGAGCCGGGGTTGGGGTTCATCTGTGTAAATGTTAGCATTAAGTTGGAGCGCGAAGTCGATAGTAATAGGTAAAGCATACCTTTCTCTTGCCACCGGTCAAGGTGACGTTAACGAATCGTCGGGTGTATGTGAGTCTCTTCTTGGCACGACCCTTAGGGGTCTTGGACTTCTCTTGCTTCTCAACCTATTTCAATGACATATATCAGCCTATTATTCTCCAAACATAACCGTGACGAGCAAATCCGGTATTTCCGAAAGGTTGATAGAGGAAGCGCGTGTCTAAGATGGCTGGGGCGTGGTCGTCGATGGTTATTTCAATCGGGAAGAATTTATCGTGGGGAGTGGCGAATCAAATATTGTATTGCGAAAACTTCGATAGACAGTCGGGGAATTGATTGTAATCGATGGATGAATCGTCGAACTGCGCGCTGCCTCGTCGCGAAAATGGATAATCGAAAAGGTTCAAATGGCACCAAGTAGAACTAACCTTAGGGGTTTGAGACTTGACCTTGCCTATTGAAATTTATCAGTATTTTATCCTTTCATCATCGAATTCTCATCTATTGACGGAGCATCGAGGACATACCGGCACGGGCGAGGGATCCGTGAACTTTTCCCATCTTTGCTAGTGTTGTGATGTAGACTGTCGGGGAGTCGATGAAGTTGATTAACAGGAGAAATCGATCGATGTGGGCGGTTTTTTGCTGATGAATACCAACGTCTTGGCGCTTCTCGGATGAGGGTTGAAAGTGGAAGAGTCACACCGAACAGACTAGGATTCGTCAAATTTACCACAAAGGGCTAAGTAAACCCTGGTCATGTGATTCTTTTTCTAGCATGCGCCACCAAAAAGTGAATTTGTTGGTTGAGTGGGGCAAACATTATGTAAGTCAGATTCTGCGGATATTTATCGGAAGTTCCCACCCAGCCGTGTACTTAAGTACATATGTACCTTGCAAACATCTGAGTCTAGACGCCACGAGTCCAGGATTATTTACACTTTGAACCTTCCTCCAACCCGCCATGCATGTGTACCTGGTACAACGAACGGGCTACAAATGAGGCTTGCAGGTCTATCATATTTCATTCTCTTCCGTAAATCCCTTTTCTAATCTTACTAGAGGCATCCGAAACTCGTCTCAGCAATTTTGAGCTACCAACACATAGAACACAACACCAAACAGAAAGGAAACCTGACTTACACAACATTTTACATCGTTAGACATTACTAAGCTAGGTAGGTCCATGAAGTTGATGCTTCCAACATAACTAAGGTTTCCGAATGACTAAGCCTGTTAAGGCAAGTCCCCAGACCCGCAACTGCCATGGGTCCCACATGATACATCATTCACATGGGATCGTTTGACCGTAGTCGGCCTTGCTCCTTCTTCCTCGTTTGATGAACGTTGAATTGAACTGACCGCTAAACGCCATCTAATTAAACATTAAAGGCATAAAATTCTAATATTAAGCTTCCATCCATTCCCAGATTGTAACTCAGACTCAGAAACTCAATTACGCTTTCCCCGCGGTCACAGACATTGGTTGTAACGCCTACGCGCTCGGAAGCTTACCCCAGCAGTAGCTATCCCCGGTGGTAATACATAGACAAATCTCTCACAATGAAGCTCCTAATTGGCTTGCCATTCATCACTTTGGCTGCCAACTCTTTTGCAGCAGAAATTGCTCCAGACACACAGTACTTATTCGCCAATCCTCCAGCTTCGCAGTCAAATTATCGAATCCCAACTTCGTATGAATCGGCAGTTCTGGCTCGACGCATCTTAGCGCTAACTCCACTCGGAACGCTCGCTACCGTTTTCCCAGATTCTTCCCGTGCGCGACAACCCGATGGCCTAGGTGGCATGCCTCTAGGGCTGTTGGAGTATGTAGCCGATTGCGAAGAGGATGGTGACCCTACCTTCCTAGCCATCAACATCGAAACAACCTTCAGGAACGTTCAAGGCGGCTCAAATATTAGCTTAGCCCAACAGTGGACACCCCCATACCCACCTGACAAGCGCATCAAGTCCACCTTCTTTGATTGGCTATTCGGACGGAATGATGAGCCTAAGGAAAAGGTACCCTATAGCGCTGTCAACCTCCCCCGATATAGCCTGTTAGGTTACATCGAAAAGATCGATCCGGCATCCACTAAAGCTCTATCCTCATGTTTCGTGAATACACACCCCGATGCGAAATACTGGCTTCCTGGCAACAAAATCCACGAGTCCGAATTTGTGAGATTAGTCGTCACCCAAATCTACTGGATTGGCGGTTTCGGCGACAGGGCGTACATCGGCTGGATCCCCGTCGACGAGTGGAAGAACGTCACGCGAAAGGAATGGGAAAGCGTAAGACTACCCGGCGAGAAGAAGGGTTGGGACGAGTGGAGTACCTCGGATCTTTAAACGTGAGGTCCTATGATATCTAATTAGCGTGGAGCTTGTACTTTGAAACGACATTTGTTATTATTTCGGCCACGTTCCTGTAATTGTTGGAAATATGTTGGATTAGGAGGAGCATTTCACCAAGCATTATCACATGTTCGTACGTCAATCCTTATCGTCGGCAACTTCGGTAATTTGGAATAGCAACGACAGAAACAGAAACGGATGGGAATACCTACCATAACCGCTAAGATTGATCAATACTTTCACGAAGATATGCTCAATTTGTTTTTAAAAAAATCGCAATTTGACGTTGTCACCCCTTTTTATTCTAACCAACCGGCTCACCGTCCGGCAAACACGGGTCTGGGTAGCATTAGATATCGGAGATTCGGCGCTGACGTAACTATACATTGAGTAGCATCAGATAGGTGCCTGCGGGGCTTCAGGTCCTACATACTATTAGTCATAATCCCTTATACTCCAACGATACATCCTCTTCAGGATTCTAAACGTTCTTTCCTGTCCCGCTCGTTCCCAATTTACGTTCCGTTCCCCTGAATGCCAAGATGAGTAGCTCAAACCAACCAACCGAAGCACTACCAGACCTACCTCTACCGGAGGGTATTGTCTCAGATTATGTCGACTGTTCCGCATCATGCGGCCTAACATGGCACGTCCTTAGAGCCGGTAAACCCGGCAACCCTCTCGTGCTGTTCTGCCACGGATACCCAGAGCTCGCATATTCATGGCGCAAAATCTTGCCTCGCATCGCCGAAGCTGGCTACTACTGCGTCGCCATGGACCAGCGTGGATACGGCCGTACTATCGGCTGGCCGCGGCATCAACCCTACGATGAAGTCAACCTCGACGATTTCGTGTTTACCAACCTCGTCCGGGATCTCGTGTGTCTAGTCTACGCCCTAGGCTACAAGACAGTATATAGCATCATAGGTCACGACTTCGGGGCCGTAAGCTCCGCCATGTCCGCACTCATGCGGCCAGACATCTTCCTCTCTACGATCCAAATGAGCCATCCACACCACAAACCCGCATTACCTACCCCCAGCACCAAGGCAGAAGAAGCGGCAAAGAAACCTGACATCCAAGCCGACCTCGCAAAACTCAATCCACCGAGGAAACACTATAAATGGTACAATTCCAGCCCACAAGCAGCACACGACTGGGAGACCCCAGCACAAGGCCTCGAAGCCTTCTTACGCGGATACTTCCACCTAAAATCCGGGGACTGGCCATTGAATAACCCGCGCCCGCTAGAAAAATGGGGTGCGCAGGATTTGGCTGGTATGCCGGAGTATTATATCATGCAAGCCGCGCACTCGATGCCGGAAAGCGTAGCTTCGAACATGGCATCCACAAACCAGGACTTTCCCAAAACTAAGAGTTGGCTGTCGTCCCGGGATCTGAAAGTATATTGTGAAGAGTGGACGCGCACAGGGTTTCAGGGTGCGCTGAATTGGTACCGCGCGCAGACGGCGTCGACGCCGCAGAGTCGGCGGGATATGTTGCTTTTCGCTGGGAGGAGGATCGAGGTGCCGTGTACGTTTATTAGTGGCGCGAGGGATTGGGGGAATTATCAACAGCCTGGTGCGATTGAGGGGTATGAAGACCCGGATGCGGTTAAGGAGGGTTGTTATAGGGGTGTGAGGTTTGTCGAGGGCGCGGGACATTGGGTGCAGCAGGAGAAGCCGGAGGTTGTCGTTGGGGAGATATTGAAGTTTTTCGAGACATTGTGATGGTACGTGGTGTGTCGAGGTAGGGGTTAGGTCGGGGGTCGATTATGCGTTGATTAGATTTAGGGGAAAGAGAAAGAGTCGCAGCGTGAGGATTTGGCGATACATTCACGCATTTGTCAATTGATTAACGCATCTAGGTAGATTCTGAAACTGAATATGAGAAAGGTGAAAAAACAAAATTGTTTGTCATGGTGACACAAGATAAAGGGGTAGGAGGTAGGAGAAAAAAATAAATACGAAAAACCGAAAAGAAAAAAAGAAAGGAATACCGCCACACCCCGGACTCGAACCGAGAATCTTCAGCTCTACTATCTGGAGTAGGAGGCTGACGAGTTGCCATTTCTCTAGTGCAGCTGCTTATACCATTCGCCCATTCGCCGTTTCGTGTTATTTCATGCTGGTAATGATTGTTATTCGAATTTATTAGCCAACTACCTAGAAAGGTAGTTACGGAAGGAAACATAGACACATACCTGCCCAAGGTACCCAAAGACGAATATCGTGAATTTCTCACGTATCTACGACTGGCTGCTGTCCAAAGATACATACACCTCTGCCTGCCTGCCTGCATCTACACGCACAGCCGCTCCACATGGCTGCCTAACATTCCAATGACGAGCCCCTGCTTCAGCTTCAGCTTGATTCCCAACTGTCCTATGATTTATCAACAAACAAATATCTCCTGCTTATTGATTGTAAATATCATTTCTCCTATTTGTGTTTGATATACGCAATATCCTGATTCGTTGATCGTAAACATAGCCTCAACGTAATATTGATATAGAATTCTACGTCTGGCGAATCCCAAAGAGGTGGCCTCGCGCGTATATGATACAAGTAGCATATTTTTTAAGGAACTCGCCATATTACAAGCCTTATCACCATGTTGATACCATGTATTATTTCATATTTTATCATAGTTGCGTCTACCTAGGTACGTTTAGATCAATTTCCTTCGATAAGTATTTTCAAGGGAAGCAACTTCTAGCCCCCAAACAAATCACATTGATCAGCGTAGCAAGACCCAGTAGTGATTAGTTCTTGCCATACCAAATTATTATTTCACATTAGCTTCTTCGTGGTTGCAATATACCTATGGAAGTATCTACAAGGTACCTGATGCTCTGGACGATGGCATCGTACTTGCCTAATGCTGTGCATGACTTAATGTAAACTTCCTGGTACCTAAGGCAAAAAACATTAGAAACATGGCCTTTCATTTGCTCAACAAACATTTTGTCAATATTTTAACTCGCTGCTGCCTAGCTTTTCGACATGGTATTGGCAGCACGGACATCAACCATATGATTTACAGGTGCATAGGCAATTGTGATATAATATAGCGTTTTATTCATTCCTAATGGCTGTAGGATATGGTATTGAATTATATTATAGGTTCCTACATCATGAGAAGAATACCTGGGTTGTGCCCGACCACTAAAGTTAATTTAACATTTTTGTACTCCTTCTAAAAAATGTATTAACATATTGAGTCAATAGCACCCTCGAGGCTACTTCCTCATGACCATTTTAGAACAAAGTTTACGCTCTTTCCTCAAAGAAACCCGATCTAGGGGCCGGTTTTGCTGGCCACTTCCTGCCGTAAAACGGAACTCGTATGGCCTATATTTCCGGTTTAATCGGAGTACCCATTCGGCTCCTAAATTACAGGCACCTTTCGGTACAGTCTTTCATTATACATCACAATTCGTGTTAGATAACCGGGTTCCAAATGGGCCTTTTTGGCACAGAAATTAGCTCATTAGATGTGCGCCTGCCATAGCTTAACTATACATAAACCCTTGTTACCGTCAGATAACCCGCATAAAACGCATTCGATTCCCGATATATAGTATATGATAAGATGAAGGCTTGAAATGGTAAATGCTATTTATGCGGATACTGTTAGAAGAAGGTTAGGTATTTGGGCTTAGAGGATAAGGGCACATGATATGAACGCCCCTAGAAAATCTATTTAACACCCTAGCTACCCATCAAGAAGACAGGTAAAGGATAACTCAAAGAATGAGGATATTCACATCTCTTATCTCCTTGTAATATTCTACGTAGACGTCTATACATTATGATTATGTCTTGTACTGTACTGTCTATATAAGACTTTTATAACATAGGTTGTGTGAAGAGACTTAGGTAACTCGATGATGTCGCCTCGACCAAATTAAGTAGGGAGAGCAGGGCCATACCTCCTTCCCGGCGTTTGATAACCCACTAATGTAATAAATCTTCTCCCATATCCTTCTTTTGATTTTTTTGACCCTTCTACCACGGTTCGTCGTTCTCGTCGTTTTCATCGTTTTCATCGTTTTCCTGCACATCCCGCCGTACCTACAACTTTAACTCCTGCGCTAAGTGCGCCAATCCGTACGATGTCTACCATTCCGAACATGAACACTGGCATTGTGATGTTCATCAATCACCGGGCTGGCAGACCTATCAGCCCTCCAGACAGCCTACCAGACGAAGACTTCTATCCTCCCGCCAACTATGCCCCGGAACAATTTGAAATTTCCAAGGGAGAGAATGACACCATCAAGGTGGGCTTCCTCGGTAACGCACTGGGTGTCTTCCTCTTGGGAGTTGGAAAGGATGACGCAAAGCTCTTCAATCCACCATTCAAGTCAATCTACCCCGTCTGTGTCCAGGGCAGCGAGGAGAATGTTTGCCCCGGCTCGCTCATCTTGGAAGCAACACGAGAGAACCAGAAGCTCATCCGCGCCGCCGCAGGGATCCTCCTGCAGAAGAAGAACACCGCATACTTCGAGTTCATCAAAGAATCCGATATGGACGTCCCTCTCGCGAGCAGATGTGTGGTGAAGAAATACGAGACCCCCGAGTTTCAGCTCAAGGTAGCGGAAGCCCAAGTCAAACCGGCCTTCCCTCGTATCTTGGCGATGACCTACGTTGACCCTGTGTCTGATCAGCGGCGACGAGTCAATGGCTACTTACTTTTGGCTCGCCGGCTACGTGACAACGGACACGTTCTGTACAGTGAGGTCTTCCATTCGAAGGACAACGTATTCAGGGTCAGCACGTTTGATATCATCCTCTGGGAGTCCGAGGAGGCGCTCGACCGCCTATACGACCTCGATCAGGAGATCACCAACCAGTTGAACCAGCATTCGAACGGTCAGTCGAATTAGTGACGCCTAGATATAAGATGGCTGGGTTCTCGGTTTATTTGCAAACGTCGTTGTCGCCATTACGATTGTCCGTTTTCGTGGGTTCTGATGAAAATATTCGAAGGTGCTTTTTCAAAATCTAACACTATGGAATCCTGTTTCGGCCTTCTCATCGAGTCATGAGATATACGCGGAAGATTTGTTGCGATGTTGTTTTCGATTCGCTTAGGAAATACCGGCGCCGGCAGTTCTGGGGCTCTTCAGCTAGCTAATTGCACACCGATAAGTAGAAACACATTAGTTTGACCACCAACTCTATAAATTTTATTATGTGAATCCTCCCTCTCTATATGCACTACACATGACCCCAAGCCCACCTCAAATAAACCAAATATAATTATACAGAAAGTAAAATATAAACGATAGAATATCTAAACGACAGTATGTCAAAGTAAAATAAATGATAGAATGTCTAAATACCTAGGTAAGTAAATAGGTAGGTATTTAGAGGGTTATACAACATTATTCCGAAATTCCAAAGGGACCAAAGGGACTGTAGCCGCGCCTCGAGAACTCAGGGATATGGCTCAAATCTCGCTTCGCGGTAGGCGCATCGCATTTCTGGAACACCTTGCAGTCGGACTCGCACACGGTTCCCGCGGGCGGCAGTTCGCCTGTCTCGAAGTACTTGGAGACGTACGCGTTCTTGCATTTGCTAGGTGTTTTGATGGTGCCGTGGCCCATGCTATCCTGGGTTAATACACCGGCGCCTGGGTGGTCCGCTGCCATGGCACCGGCGTTCTTGTGCGGCGTCACCGGGTCTAACTTGCTGGATAGGAATAGGATCGGCGCGGCGGGCTTTCCGGCTACGGGACTCGATAGCGAACCGGCTGCCGCGGGAGACGTGAAGGGGCCTTCGAATCGGTACTTGGGGCGGTAGCGCCATGCCCGACAGGCAAGACGTTTGGTGGACCAGATCGAGGAAAACTTTGTACTCTGTGTGTTGAGCTCCGCAACGTAGGCCTGGAAGTCGGAGATCGTCATGTCAGTTTGGTCGACGGCGTCGCCGCAGTTGACGCCGAAGAGCGAGTCTGATTTCCACGTGTAGCTCTGAGGCTCAGTCGTCGAACAGTAGGCCTCGGCGGTGGTTATGCTGTACAGATTAGTGAAGTTGCCCTCCATCCCCTCGGCTATTCCCGCAGCCATGGACGGCCACCCGTATATGGGGTCGTAGAGTGAGGAGAACATTCTGGAGAGAACATCTTCACGTGTGACCTCTTCGACATAAGTTCCGTCTACGATTTGGGCCGGTGAAGTTTGAAGATCACTTAGGAATTTCTCGACGCGGCTGCGGATATCTCCACCGCTCTTGTCGGTGGGCTTGTAAAGGGGGCATTCGGAGCCGGCGTCGTAACACCCATCCCATATGGCATTCAATTCCTCATCTGTGTCCTGGAGGTTCTTGGCCCATTCCTAGAAGATTGATTGAAAGTTAGCTTTGAGCCAACAAACAAGGTGCCTAGGTAGGTTAGAAGAAGAAAAGTACTTACACCTTTAAGATAGTCGTGAACATTGACGACACCTTCAAGCATCATCCGTCCAACGCGACCGGGAAACATGGAAGCGAAGTAGTTTCCAAGTATAGTTCCATAAGAGAAACCCCAGTACTGGATTCTAGCAACATCATCACTGCTCTGCGGGTACTCGGAGCTTCCACGGATGCGCATTTTCTTCGCGTTGGTGGAAGTAGCGTTCTTGTTCCTCAGCTCCTCGATCTGATCCACGATCTCGACCATATCTCTGGCGACGCTCGCTGTAGACATATAACCCTGGATACCGGTAGCTTCTCCGCAGCGTTCTGCAAGGGCACCCACTAGAGAGGCTACGCGTCTAGTCGCATCCGTGCTGATGTCCAGTCTCCCCATGGCGCGCGATTGTAGATTGTAGATATTGCGGGCGTATTCATTGTTGAAACAATCAGCTCGCGGTTCGGAGAGGCCGACGCCGCGCGGGTCGAAGGAGAGGATCTCGTAGTGCTTGTTAGCGTCGACGATGTTCTGTGAGGTGTGGCCGAGGCCTAGCACGAACTCGACACCAGACTCGCCGGGTCCGCCAGGGTTCATGATGATGGTGCCGCCGAAGGAAGGATCAGTCTCGGGGACTGTCGCTGGGAGGGCGATGATGGCGATGTTAGCGCGGGCGGTACCGTTGGTGGAGCTCGAGTTATTGAGCCAGTCGAGAGGGACCGAGAGCTTGGCACACTTGAATTCGTCGTAGCAAGGAGTGTATTCAAGTGAAGCGGACGGCTTGAGGTTTTTCCAGTCGAATCCCGAAGTGTCCGAGGCCGTAGCAGAGTGGCCGAGGCTAGCCACGAGGCCGGCTACTGTAGAATACTTCATTTTCGGGTCTGTTTCGATAATAACTTGACTAAAGGTATCGTTACGGATCCGATGGGTCTTGATGAAGTAAAGTTCCTTTGGTTTGAGTTGATGGTGATTTCGAAAGAGAAAACTGGCGAGACAAGCACATTAATATAGCTCTTCATCTTCGTAGTCCTAGATACTGTAACCCCCCTATTACTGATGGCATGGCACCACGAAGCCGGCATATCTGCGTAGTGTACGTAGTCTCTTCCCCATCTTCGCAGGCTGTGTCCCCCTCGCCATTGCTCGAGCTACATTAGATGAGTTCTTCTCGCCCGAATTGGGTCTGATCGGCTAGAGTTGAAATTGTCGATCTTCAGCTGAGCAAGCTGAGCCATAATTAAGTTGAATTAAGCTTACCTGAGTAAGAACTTATTGTGAAATAGAGTATTGCATAAGGCCGGGGGCATTGGTCTGTTGATGATTGCTCGCTAGTTTGTATAGGGTTATTCTCTATAACCAAGTTGAAGAATAAGCCAATCACAGCGTCACTATAGAGTTCACATTACCTGATATAGTAAAGGGTATCCTTTCGATACTAAATATAGACAAGCTATACAACTAAAAAGCTTCTAGCTAGAATCCATATTTTAGTTCAGTCGATACTATATCTGTTCCTATGCTGCGAAATTGGGTTTCGAGAATGTCTAGAGAACGATGATGAGCTGTTCTTGCTTGTAGCTTGGCGTTGCAATATTGCAAGGGCATATGGTTGAACCATGCGGTCGGATCTAATACGACGTAAGATTTGATGAATTGCGGATTGCCTAATTCGTTTGCTTTTAGCGGTGATCGACCTATAGTTAGGAAAAGCGAAACGATATCATAATATTCGATGAATGGTTAATTACTAAGTGTATACGTTTTCTGCGGTGATCGGCCTCCAAACAATTTCACATACGTATTAAGGATTATAAGATGAAAAGAATGAAGCATCACCATGCCGGCTCTTAGGGGATTGGCTTCAACGATTTGGACCGATGGTGCGGTAGGATCATCTGCTGAAGTTGGAATAACAATGAACAAGCATTGAGTTCTTGTTGTCCTGAAGATCGCATTGTAGACTTAATTGACTAAAATGGACTATCTGCCTACAGAATGAGTTGTTTGGCGGAATATATTCCGCGACATATTCACGTCCGGGAGGTGTTCGCTTGGCAACTAAGAGGTTTCCTTAGGTTTCGATAAGAAGAGCACTACTACTGCCATCCTAATAAAAGAAATGTTACAAGGAGATATTCGAACTCGCTGTAAAGCGTGAAATTCAACCAGATACCCCAAATGCGGCCAATATTATGCGTACGCTCCGGTCGTACAAAGAGCAAAGCATGTTTTTGAGATTCATCCGATCAGTGCCATAGTTAACATTGTACGTTATGTTCAATTCTACAGTGCGCTAATAACTTTTGTGTATCCATGCTTTCCGCTGTGCCGCTGTACTTTTACAGATATCAACGCCACTTAATCTTACAATTCTTTCTTTTCTGCCTTGACTTTCTTCTTCAGCGAGCCGGGCGGTGACTTTAGCCCAGCAAACACCAATAAGGTGACAGCAGCAATGCCCAAAGCGCCCGCACCGTATGCCACTTCTCTACCTGCCCACCAGTACACGCTCGTAAACAGAATCGGACCTAAACCCCGGCCAAGTTGACCCCAACTCCGAAGGATGCCTAATTTGCCGCCGCGCTCACCCTCGCTAGCTTCGAAGCTGCTTAGGGTGTTAAGGCCGCTGACGACGGTGGCTGATGTAGTAGCCAAACATGTAGCGGCAAGATACAGCGAGCCGACCGTGCTAATTCGGCCGAGCAATACAAACGCCACCAAGCACGCACTCACACCAATTTGGACAGTCAAAAGAGGGGGTAGCCGACGAGTAACTCCGCCCTGAAGAATCGAGGCGATCAAACCCACGTAGCCAAGTAACCGTCCGTTTTGTGCCGAGTTATACTGGAAAAGGTCATACGTCATAAACGGTAGGGAAAACTCCATCCCGGAGAAAAATAGCAAAAATGAGAAATGTATCAAGTTCAGCAAAAAGTGCGAGTTAGTACGTGTGATCGCCGCCGGCTTCGCAGCCTTCTTGGAAGTTTCCTTTCCAGACTTCTTCGGCAGTGTCTCGGGTAGCGCAAAGTATAGGTAAACCGTCTCGACCACAATCAAAGACAAGGACACGCCAGCAGCTGTTGCGAAAGGGTTCGCAGCTACGGTCGCAACGGAGCTTAGATAAGCTCCGAGTGCTGGTCCGAAAGTGAAAGCGATCGAAAAGCAGGCACCTATCAAAGCCATAGTCGAGCCACGGCTGTTCTCGTCCGAGATGTCGGTCGCAATAGCTGTGGCTAGCTGAACATTGCCTTCCGACAGACCACCAACAATGCGCGAGGCAAGGAAGGTCCTAAAATCAACTGCCACTACCCAAAGAAGCACAGACAAGATATTTCCAACCATGCTAGCAAGGAGCGCAGTCCTTCTACCATATTTGTCGGATAAGTGTCCGATGACGGGTGACGCAATCGCCTGGAGCAGGGAGAACAAGCTGCCCAGAGCACCTCCTAGCAGGACAATGTCATATCTCGAGTCGATCGGTTTCGCGAAGGCAGATTTGTAAGCGTTGAGGCCGCCAAGGATTCTTGCGAGTAAAGTTGACTGCGACTCCGGGCCGACCTCACTATTTCGGTAGAACTCGAGGAGCTTTGGGAAGAGAGGGAGGATAAAGGTGAACGAGATCTAATAGACAATTCTGGTTAGTTCACAAGTTTCTTCTCGTGTATCATTCCTCTCCCTGGCTATTGAAACATACCAAATCCAAAAGTAATGAGACAAAAATGACTTTAAGCACCCTTTTACGGGTGCTTGGTTTGACAGCGGCCATTTTCGGATATTGAGATACACAGTCGTCGCAACAGGACCAGCCAGTCGATACGAAGAAAAAGGGAAATGCAAAGGTAAAAGAGGGAAGAGTTGGTAGGCGAGGAAATTGGAGATTTGCAGAAAAGAAAGATCAAGAGAAAGGAAGTCACAAAGCAACTAAAAAAGTCAACGACGACCAAACAAATATATGTAAGTTTCGTTTCGTGATGATTTGGAGCGAAAACGAAACAATATGCAGGGGTTCGATAGGTACAACACGTACTAAATTTGTACCGAGTTACGTATCCTCAACAAGGATTACAGGGGTTGGCATGGTTATCACAGGGGTCCGACCATCCGATGTCCCCAATAAAACCCTAGTGTGCATCTGCGCACTTGTTTTAACCTTTAAACTTTGTGGATACAGCTACGTACTCTCTCATATTCAAACTCAAACAATTTCCTACTTGTAAGTACCTACCTCTCACGTAACTTTCTTTGTGCATTCTTCTTCAAATCATGATTTTGATTTCGAATACTAGGAAAATCGTCATATATCAAAATATACCTCATTTCACTCATGTTTGCAGAAACAGATCGTGAGATGGAATCAGCCAATCCCCAACGATGCTAAGAATAGCGATTGCTTATCACAGCAAGTATCCATCGTATAAAAACAAGCTGACCAACAACTAAGCAGTTAATTGATCCAAGGAAGACCTCTAAGAGAGAACGACACAACAATTTTTGTGGCTATGCCTTTACTCCGTTGCGTCCCCATTGGGATTCGGAGATGATTTGAGTTGCCTCCGGACCACTGCTATCGAATCAATTATTCATTCACAATTGTGTTACTAACCTAAGTGCTTAGCCGTCAGCTATTCCCAACATGGAGATATCTACCAATTTTTTTTAGATATGCCCTACGCCTTGGCGCATTCGACGGGAATCCTCATGAAAAATATCATGGAAAACTTAGAAGCCGGGACCGGAAATGGGTCGATATACGGATAAAATCATATTTGATCATGAGCAATCCGATTATACCGGTCACAACAAACGAGGATCGCTCCTTAGTTTGCCCTTCTGGTAGACCCTTTCGATGTGGCATATGTCGAATGGATCCGGACAGTGTGAGGAAGCCGATTTAGGAGATGCTTCTATACTATGATCATGGCATCCCCTTCGCGAAAGATTTTTTTGAGTGACCGATACTCTTACAGCAGAGCATCGGGGTCTTCGCAGCTTTAAGGCATATCGACGTTTTATAGTGTATTGGTAAAGTAGAGGGGATTTTCTTAAAGAGTGCAACGAACTTTGTAAAACACAGGGAAAAGTTTCCGTGTCTAACTCTAAGCTGCTCAAAACTTGGCATCTGAAGGGGAATTCATTTGAACCCCTTGAACAGGTCGCGGCTTCTTATATACTCCCCACCTAACCCTGGCCCATCCTCCGCCCCCGGATATCCATCCCTTCAGGCATAGGCATTCGCGAACGTTCTGGACCGGAGTTTCGTATTCGTCCCGCCGCTACCTATGTAACACAAGGACCCGACCCTAGTTGAAGTGTCGTTGCTACGTTTCAATGAAATTACGTAGCAGAATGCTGGACTGAGTTGGAAATTGACCTGTTGGGATGTTATGACCTCAAGGCGTGGCTACACAGCGGTGAATTGGTCTGGCAGGATTTAGCTCATCCTTAGAGTGGTCCCCGATGAAATCTGCTTGGATGGGGCATTCGGAACTTACGACGTGGTGGGAATGTTGACTATCATGGACGACGATGAACCTAAGGCATAACAAAGGATTGACAATTTCCTTTGGTCGTCATACGACAATACCCGACAAAAAGTCTAAACATATTGTACACGTTCAACAGAGCTGCGTATTCCACTACGCTGGAGGTGGTAACATAAGCAGCCATGTGGCATGCTAGGTATGCAGAGGCAAATCCTCCGGACTCATTTGAAGCTATTCGGCCAGTCTGCTCGCATGACTGCGAATATCTTATGCCGACAATAGGCTATTGCAGTTGTCGGGTAGCCACAGCGGCTTTTGTTGTTGTCGTTTCCCGAGATGCTGCGTGCTGACTGGCAAACAAGCTCTTAGTGGACTCCATACTCCGGACCAATACCAAACCGAGCCTCAACCTAGGGCTGACGAAATAGATCTCCGCTGGGAACCGCTTACGGGCATCTACGATCCTTTCAGCCCCCAGCCACACGATCTATAGTTACCACTCAACCGAATTTTGAGACCATACGAATAAACAAAATTGAGTATTTGTCTTTTATGCAGGTGAGCAATTGAGAATCCCGAGTAATGAGATATCATTTCGTTTAATGTTTTTTCAGGAAATTGGAATTATGAAGCTACTATCAGATATCACGACTCATATACACAGTCCCAGAGCTCTGGTTTTTAACGAAAGAGCGACGAGTCAAGACCCTAACTAGGCAGGTTTCCAGACTTGACGGCTTAACGAGCCACAGATCTAAGCAATTTATTTAACTGCCGTTAGCGTATCCCAAGCGCACGGGGCTCAAAAAGGGCTTGGGTTAGCGTAGCATTTACTGCTATAAATGGTATCTTCCCCAGTGAGTCGAGCCAGTCACGGCCCTTGCGGCCCCAGTAAGATACCCAGCCGCAGCACCTAATACGAATGAGATCGGCAGTCTTAAATCCCCACTTGAGCTCCAAGGGCACAAACACGAGGATAGAAGGCCCGCTGATGTTGTACGATTCTGTACGAATTATTGACTAGGCGTCATTACAGTAATGATTCTCTATTGTCTCTCTTGTGTACATGAGTAATAGCGAACGGCTAAACGACTATCCGTACGGATAGTATGATAGTATGTACGTACTAGGGCGGCGCGCATAGCTCTCCTCACATCATCATATTGTCGTCAATAGACATGGATGGACCTTGCGATTCATCCAGGTACCTACATCTAACCACTTGGGCTGGGTAGGTACATTCACGGTTACATAACTGTATAGCTACATGGTTAGGAATCATTCAGTTAGTAGAGCTAGGTCCCACCGAGCTGCATCGCATGTCACCACGTATGATAGCTTCACGACCGTCGTAACGTACCTATCGTAAAGGTACGCTCCGCTGCGCCCATGGCGGATGCTGCGATATACGAAGCCAAGACATATATAGCTGGGCGACTTAAGCAAATTACATAGACATATGTGTATATAAAGGGATGATATCTGCTCGTCTCCTAAGAGTTTTATTCTCATCAGCATCAGCATCTTCATCTACAGCTTTAATCCTAGTAATAAACTTCATTCTTACTTCCGCTTTCTCTCCGCATCAGCATATCAAATAATCAACACATTCACCCAACCTCCAAAACTCTTCCAATCTTCAACACTCAGTCAAAATGCAGTTCTCCAAGCTCGCTCAACTCCTCTCCTTCGTCGCCGCCTCGTCGGCCATCAACGGTACGAATCAATATTACTTACATGAATTTGTAACAAAAAAACTAACAATTAAAAAACAGTCTCTTACGACACCGGCTACGATGACGGCAGCCGATCCCTAACCGCCGTCTCCTGCTCCGACGGTCAATACGGCCTCATCACCCGCTACGGCTGGCAAACACAAGGTCAAATCCCCACCACCTACATCGGTGGCGCTGACACAATTCCCGGCTGGAACTCTCCTAACGTATGTCTCACTTGACTTCCCAACCTCCTACATATTTTACGTATGAGTTGAAGTATTAACAAAAATAAATGAAATAGTGCGGTACCTGCTACGAACTAACCTGGAACGGCAAATCCATCAACGTCCTCGCCATCGACCACGCCGCCAACGGTTTCAACATCGCCCTCGACGCCCTAAATGCCCTAACCAACGGTCAAGCCGTCGCTCTCGGCCACGTCGACGCCACATCCCGCGTCGTCGAGGGTACTGCCTGCGGTCTCCCCGCATAAACAGCCTACCTACTAACCACTAGCTCTTTACCTTTTAACAAAACCGGTGTTGGGGACGGATAGGAAGGGGATGAGGCGTGCGAGCGAAATGAAATTTGTCTGGCAATGGGGAATTTTTATAACGGGAAACGGGATAACGGATACGCATAACAAAAAATTACCTACTTAATGTTCATTCCTTAATCTATGCAGCATCAACATCATCATTTACTTCGGCAACTACAGCATCAGGATTGGCGTAGGCTTATCACTGTTTTTATTTATCATATACAAAACATTTTTGGAACCAAATCAAAAGGGTAGCATTCCTTAGGAGCAACAGCATAACTCATTATTTACTCTAGATCATCAACATTCAAAAATCAGACATCTGGTTCGCACCTTTCGAACTAACCTTTGGATTTTTACTTATTTACTTAGACATTATCGTGACACTTAAGACTGCACACCAAAAATTGAAATCATACGAAAATATTATTATAGCTGTCTAACCTCCACACCTCAGCTCTCCTCGATCCTTAAGCGATCGTTACATTTTTTTAATTCGGACCTCCCCAGAAACGACGACGTTAAAAGCGTAGCAGAGAGAAGACACCGTATTTCTTCTCTGCCCCCCTTATCCCCTCCTCGTAAAATAGCGAACGAGCGTATCATTCCGTCTCCAAATCCGGCTATGCAAAGGACAAATAACATTTGACAAAGGAAATAAAAATGGGTTAAAATAGTTATCAATCTTGTTGAATCCATCAAGACCTTTTTTTTTTGCCAATCTAACTTGTGAAATGAATGTGTATGTTTGTAGTAATAAGTAGGTACATTAAGTTGCAGTGCAAAAAGGCATAAGAAGGGTAAAAAGTGAATAGGGGTATCAATCTAGACATTTTGGCAGCAGAAAAAGGCAAATGGTATAAAAAGCACACATCCGGTATATAACGTCAACTTCTTTCTCCAAATGCTTTTGCCAGTTACTGTGACAGGCAAAATAATGCTGCCGGTGAAAGCAAAACGACCCAAAACTAGCTTGATCTTAGCTAGAATTCAACGCACTGACCTTCCTCTCAATCATCGAAGAAAGAGGCATCGTCAAAATCCTCAACACGCGCGTCCGAGTCGTATGCATTGGTTCGCATCATGGGAGGAGTAACGGGTTGACGACGATCTTGCTGTTGAGGCGGTGTGCTCGTCCTAGGCATCTTTTCCGTTTGCCGGGCAGTCATCGAAGGCCCTCGGGATCTGTTAGCGAATTCCTCGGCGGTAAAACGGCGGCCGGTATTGCCGAATGCTGTGGGCTGCGGTTGGCTTTGCGGCACCGGCGGTGTGTTTCTAACACCAGAAGCCGGCGGAGTCATAAGGCCGGAAAGATAACCACCTTGGGACGGACCGCTTGTCTTCGAGGGGGTCAAGTTCCTGGCTGGTGCAGGGGACGACGATAGAACGCTAGAAAGGCTATTTAGTGCCGGTTGGTTCGATTTTCGCCAGTTTCCCCAAGCGGCGGCGAGAGGTCCGACCGCTTGTGCGACTCGAGGAGTCGCAGCTCCACGGATTGTGGCGGCGATGTTTGGCAAGTTAATGGCCGAGCCACCATTCATAGCGCGCTCTCGCTCTTGTTCCTCCATTTGAAGGTTGGCCTTTAGGCGAATAGCCGCATCCTTAACGGCTTCTCGGTCCATGTGCTCAGCGGATAACGCACTGATGATATCTTGGAGATCACCATGTCGCACAGCCAACAATTCACGCAGCCATGTGATCTCGTCATCTCGCTTGGAGATCTTGGTAGCGGAGTCAGGATCAAGCTTAGAAATAGTTTGTTCGAGCTCTTCGATTGTCTGCTCACGAGCTTGTAATTGCTCTTGCAAGACCATGATAGATTCGCGAAGCGCTTGAGGAGAAACCTTCTCGGGAAGTTGCATAGCCTCTGCAAGCTGCTTGGTTTGAGTTGCAGGAGTGGGCTGATGGTGGGATACTCCGGGTACGACAATGGACTTGGAAGCTTGCGCTGCGGCCTGCGCTGCGGCCTTGGCGGCTTCTTGCGCAATCTGCAGCTTATCTTCCAGGTGAGCAACACGATCTTGCAGGTGCTCGGTCTTTGAGGTTGACAAGCTAAGACGCTCCAGAAGGTTCTGCTCCGTGCGTTGTGCATCCTCGACGGCGTTGCTCAATTGTCGTTCGTAGCGAGCCTGGATATCCTCCATTTCGTTCTGGTGCTTGCGGGTTAATTCATTGAGTTCGATGCACCTCTTGTTCTCAGCTTCCTCAAGTTCTGTCTGCTTCGTAGTTTGGGCTTCCTCAAGCATCATCTCATGATGGGCCTTGGCAGTGTCGGCATCCATCTTGTCCTGGTCTAGCTGAGCCCTTAGCTTGCTGATCTCTTCCTCAAGTTCCTCGCGCATAACGTTGACTTCATTGTTAGCAGCTTCTAGTTCAGCTTGCATTGAAGTCTGTGTTCGCTGGACCTCAGCAGCGGCAGAGTCCCTAGCCTCTTGGATCTCTCTCTGGTGACGCAGGACATTTTGCTGAAGAGTGTGGTTCTCGTTGCGAAGCTCCAATAGCAATGCATCGAGTCGCTTGCACTCGCCAACAGCCCTTAAGCCCGCGCGTTCACCATTCTCCAGCCTCTCAATTTCGGCTTCGAGACGTTCACGGGTTCGCGCTTCAGCTTGCAGTCTGGCATCGAGTACTTCCTGTCGCGCAAGGAGAGCTTGCTCTTTCTTGGTGCGTCGGGAGTTCTCTTCTGTGATTTCGCGAGCAGCATGAGCCATGTCATCTTGAAGCGACACGAACTTAGCACGCCAATTGTCTCGGATGCGCTCGTTTTCTTCGAGCTGTACACCGAGAGTATCAATTAGCTTGTGCAAGTGCTTGCCTTCATTGACGGCCTCAGCAAGGTCATCCGCCTGTCGGTGGGCTGATTCTCTGGCATGCTCAGCCTCAGAACGCCAGTGTCGAGCCTCTTGTCTAGCATCACGAAGTTCAACTTCCGCGATGTTGAGACGGTTCTTGAGCTCTGCCTGGGTTTGTTCGCCATTCGTGTGGGCGTTCTCAAGGAGAGCGAGGCGCATCGAGGTCTTGCCGGACGATTGCTCCATAGCCTTAATCTTCTGGTCACGCTCTTCAAGCACGGCGCGTAGACGATCTTCTTCCTCGGAGGAGATACGAAGGAGCCGTTGGATTTCGGAGAGTCTATCTTCAGCATCCCTACGGCCCGAAAGTTCTTCCTCAGTCTTGCTTTCCTGGATCCTGAGTCGCTCTTCGAGGTCATGGATTCTCTGGTCGAAAACGCTGCGGTTCATGATTTCGACCTCAACCTTGGTCTCTGCTTGCTCCAATTGTCGGCGGAGCTCGGCGGCACGGTCTTCGGCACCACGTCTAATAGTTGTCTCATTCTCGCCTCTGGCTTCCTCGGCTCTAAGTCGTTCTTCAAGCTCAAGGACTCTGGAGCGCTCGCTCTCGGTTCTACTTTCTTCAGAACGCAGGCGCTGTTCAAGCTCTAGTAATCTTGATTGCATCTCAGAAAGCTTCTCATTCGCTTCACCGTTGTCCTTGATAATCGGCTGAGGTGTAGGGGGCATGCGGCGTTCGACTGCCGCCTCGACAATATTTCGGAGATCTTCACCACGGAAGTCTAGGCGGAGCGATGAACTCAATTCCTCCTTCATTTGTTCCAATGCCTTAACAACGGCCAGATCCTCCTTACTTGGACCTTGCTCGACGGATTCGAGCTGAGCATTCTGAAGCGCACGCATAGTCTGTTGTTGGTTAAGAGCATCCATAACGGCAATGCGGATCTGTTCCATTTTCTTATCTCTTCGAGGGCTCATTGAGCGACGGATAGGCGTTTCATCATCTTCATCGTCTGCGTCGCTTTCTTGGATCTCGGCGGAGACACTGCGCCTATCGCGTCGGCTCGATGGCGTCCTACGAGCCAAACTACCTAAGGCGTGATGAATGTTACCCAAAGTCTTCTCGAGAGGGTCAAGCCGAGAAGCCAATAGGCTGCTGACCAAATCATTAACGTGACCATCGAAATATTGGACACGCTGCTCGAGTTTCTCCTGTTCGCTGGCGCTAAAAGCATCGTCCCATTCGCTTTCCGGAAGACTCTCTCCAACATTGAGTCGGTGAATTGGGCCATCGAATGAAGCAGAGACGGCACTCTGCGGAGGATCGACAAAGGGGTCTTCCAGCTCGGTTGACGGTCTTGGGGCTGCTTGCTTCGGCAAAGTAAGGTATTGTCGGGGGCTTGGGCTAGGTCCATCACTTCGGAATGGCACCTGGTGCGGTAAGTGCACAGGAGGCGAGTCGGCGACAACAGAAACCGGAACGTTCTGAACAGGGCTGGGTTGACGCCACTTAGGAGATTCCATAGTCCTCTTAACTCCCATTGTGGGGTCATTTTCGTTAAGATGTTGCATAACTGCATCGATCTCTTCGAATGTAAGCTCGTGCGTAGCTTCATCCCTCGCTTGAGGACCGGCATCTGATGGCGGGCTAACAGGCAAGGGTTCGTAGCTATGTAGCTCTGATACTTCGCTAGCTTGTTCGGCAACAATTTCTGCAGGGAGGTGAGAAGATTTATCTTCGGAAACTGGAGAAGGTGTAGCGGCGTATTGTGACGCGGAGAGACCAGCGGACTTTGGCGGTGGTGACGGTGTAGACGCGTACCTCGACGCCTTTAAGCCCTTAGGAGCAGGCGGAGGTGACGCAAATCGTGAGGCGCCCAATCCTCTAGAGGGTGCCTTAAAGATTGGCTCAGGCTCGGGTTCGGGTTCGGGTTCTGGCTCATATTCCGGTTCAGGCTCAGGCTGAGGCTCAAGCTCGGCGGTGGGTTTGAAGTCCGGTCCGGGAGTCGGGGAACCAGCACGGTCACTCTCAAAGTCGTCCTCCGGTTCGGCCAACTGTACTGGTTGGGTCTTCAGAACAGGGTCAAACAGAGCAGGCTCAGTATTAGTAGCACCGAACGTAAAACCTCCGGGCACGAATGGCCTAGCAGTAGCAGAAAGGCTTTTCTTATGCTGCTTCTTGAATGAAGGCTCATCGTCTCCAAACGGTCTAGCATTGTTGAAGTCTTGGATGTCAACTTCGCTATTGAATTCGAAGGGTTTCCAGTTGGTCTTGTCTTGGTCAGGGGAAGTAGCTGACGGACTCGTAGTCGTCTTAGTATCATTGGACTCAGACTGCAACTTGCCATCCGTCGATTCCGAAAGAATCGTAGACGCGAAAGTCGTGTCGCCCAAGTGCGCATTTTCGTCCTCGTCAACCTTTGCCTGGTCGTGGAAACTCTCTTCCTCTGGAGCATCCTCCTTGTCAGGGATTGCCGACTCCTCCGTTGGTTGCACCTGTGGCACGACTTCCGGCTCTGGTGTAGGTTCGGCGAATAAGGGAACGTCATCACCATCGCCGCTGCTCTCCCTGAATTTCTTCTTTGTCCTACTAGCATCCTGTTCTTCGGTGGTAGCTGGAGCAGGTGCGGGAGAGTGTTGACTTGTTGGGCGCACAATGGGAACAGCCTTCGACTTCTTCGTGGGCTTAACACCTTCGGAAAGCTTCAAGTCAATATTACTGAAAATGTTACCAGGGCGGTTTTCAATGCTCTCATTTCCGGATTGGCCAGCACTGGTTACTGATGAAGTAAAAGACTTCAATGGCTGGAAAGTAGGTGCATCTGGGTTAAATTTAGGTACAGATGCAGAGAAGCTGAATTCGCCTTTTCGAGGAGAGAATGCTGGGGCAGCGGCATTGATCTTGAGTTTGGAAGATGACGAGGTCGAAGGCACACTGAAATGACTCGAAGTTGCAGAATGAGGGTTTGGTGTGAACGACGGAGCCTGGAATGAAATTGGCTTGAAGCTGTTCGGCTGAGGGTTGTTATTGCCAAAAACAAATTGACTAGGAGTAAAGCTATTCGTAGGATTGAACTTGAACTCAGCAGCCCCAGCATTTAGCTTAGAAAGCGAGGGCTTGCTGCTATGACTCGCGCGGCGCGAAGAAGCCTTGCTTTCAGAAACCGGTTGAGCATCGGCCCAAGGATTACTGACTGCGGAAAATGATCGCTGATGAAATTGGTTGACCAAGTCGAAAGCCTGAATGGGAGTACCCAAATTGCTCGGGTTCGTCTCGATCTCATACGAATTGTCGCCATTTTGCAGATTCAGGTTGGCGGGTCGGCGCTTCTGAATAATTCCTTCGTCAGTGCTATCTCTCACTTCTTCGTCAATAAATGGAGTTTGAGATAGCGAATGACCGCGACTGTGGGGCTGTGGGTGATGGAGTTTTGGCCCTTCATCCGAGTCAGTTCCAAAGTTACCAAAATGCACCGAAGGTCCTCTAGTGTGCGAAGCAGAGTTTGTCTCAGGTTCTTCAAAAGGTTTGACTTCCCCTGCCTTCTCATACTCGTTGTGTGGGCTGTAATCTTCATGTTCTAGCTGAGAACGGAATTGCTCTTCCAAATGGTACTCAGCATCATCGATCTCTTTCTGAAGGCTTGCGCTAGCGTTGTGGCGTATGAATTGACCAGGCTCTGGAGTTTTCGATGGGCTCTTATCTTCGTTTTCATACGGATTGCTCTGGGTCTCTTCCTCAACTTCCCGCAAGTCTTGCAATCGGGGAGATGCCCTGGCTGAATCTTGTCTATGCAAGAATTGGTGAGGAAGAATTGGGTACTGCAAAGACTGATGTCTTTGGTGCACACCAACCGGTGGTGATATACCGTCGCGCTGGAACGGCGAATTTGGTGAAACCATCGAGTTCAAGTTAAGAACAGAAGGCGAACCACTGCGACCAAGTTGCTGCTGTAGTAACATTTGCGGGGACATCCAGCCGTGGGGTGAAGACTGTCCCGAGAAATGGAAAGGCAACTCGTTCGGCGATATCGAAATCGACGCGCGAGGGTTGAACTTTCCAGGTAAAGGCGGACCATTGAAAGATGCTGGCGAGGCAGCGGAAGGCGCGGCAGGGCTTTGCGTAGACGAACCAGACAGGAAAGGAGGTGGGAATGGGAATGGTTGTTGCCCATTACTCGCGGCCGAGTGTGTCGGTAAGGGAGGAGAGAACGGCAGTTGAGGGTATTGGTTCGAAGTTTGCCGACTCATATTCGACGCGGCCGGAGAAATAGAAGGTGGAGGTGCGGGTTCGTCGTCGCCGAACGATACACCAAGCGCTCTAAGCTTAGCCTCGTTCAACTCGTTCACATAATCTCTCCAGGCTATATTGAAATTAGTAAAACGACACAGAAAAGGGTCTTTAAATAAAACGTACCATGGAGATCAGGAAGTGTCACCTGATATCTATGTTGGGAACGCTCGTTGACCATATCTTCTGAACTTGGCCATTCATCTCTACTCTGAGAGTAACTATCGAGGGGGTCTAGAGGAACGTGGGATCCTTCCAAGTCAAACCCACGAATATCGTAACCTAGCTCTTCCCAAGATCGGAACATTGCTGTTACTTCGTCCGCACTCAATGGCATTGGCGCCTTGCCAGGTTTGCCTCTTTCTTCGTCCCATGGGAGACAAACTAAAACACTCTTTCCTTTCCATGGCATTTTCTTCTTAGGTCGAGGTGTCCGTCCAATGACTGCTTTAATCGGCTTCACCGGAGTGGAAGGAGGTTCGGTAGGCGCAGTCGGGATGGATCCATTCAGACTCGGTTGTTCACTCCTGGGCGTATCGGCCCTCGCCTCCGAAACCGACTCAATAGTATGGATGCTAGCAGCATCTTGGCTGTGGTTTTCCACGCCAAGCGTCTCCATACTTGCGACTCTACTAGCGACGCGTCGGTTTAGAACTGCTTGTTTCAAAGTTTCGTTGCTTGATCGTTTTCTTGGATGCCGAGACGCCTTACTCGAGGCTCGAGATGGATGAAGGTTGGTAGCCCGTGGGGTCCTCGGGTCGCCCTCTTCAAACCAACCTGCTTCGTCACCAGAAATAGAGCTTCTCAATGAAGAGTGCTCTGTATCGTCAGTACCGTCACTGAGCCAAAGATGGTGTTCAGAAGTTTCGTCGCCAGCAGTATGTTGACGGATCCAATCCTCTGTGATGCCACGCAATGGTCTTCGAGCACGATTCGCAAGTACGGCGGCGGTACCAGACAGAGAAGATGGTGTATGCTCTGGTTCGGTTGTTGCGATTAACGGGGCAGGACGCAGAAATGGAGTGCTGAGTTCGAGCTGATGCAACGGGGATTCTTCCGATGTCTCACTGCTGAAGCTTAACCGGTGAAGGTGTCCACTATCGGCGTGAGGGTATGGCGAACCCCAGCTAGCTGTGACGTATTGTCTATCACCTTCAGTGTTACGATTAGATGGCGGTGTCCGAAGATACTCGGATGCTCGGTCCGGTAGCTTAGGAGCTGGAAGCGGTGGGAGCACCGGTGACGATCCGCCGTCGTCGCCGACAGTTGAAGCACTCGATACGGACAATGACCTCGTTGAATGACGAGATGGAGAGGCTCCAGTGCCGTCCTGTGCAGAGGCACGAGGAGGAATTGACGACTTTGAAGAATACGTCTTTAGGGGGCCTATGTAAGTCAACGACGCAGATTAGTAACTAAGCCCCCATGGGTTGGTTGTAAAATGGACAACTGGATCCGAGACGAAACAGAGACAGACATACCACGATGAGATCAGCGCAGACGAAGCACGGATCGCCTGCTGCTGGATCTCCAGACTTATATCTCTCGCGTTATCGCGCGCGCGCCTCAGTCGTTGCCCAATGAGGATAGGAATCGGTCGATGGGCCAACAAAAGAGGCGAAGTTACGGTATGTAATATACAGTATACGCTATACTTTGACAAAACGTGGGGATAATTATCGCGACGCGTTTCGGGTTCGAAGAGAACGAAGGCTCACCGAGGCGATCGGGAAGAAAAGAAAAAGAGTGGAAAAGGGAAATTAAAAGAATGATAATTGTAAAAATACGCAACTCTCCATCGGCTTGGATCTTGTCTATCTCTGACCGCCTTGAGAAATAATTCCAAGAAGAGAGAATAGTGAATACAAGATAGAACTCGAGAATGAGTAGGGGAAAAAAAGACGCGATGGAGAGCTTCGGAGTGAAGATGCAGGATGCTGCTGCAAGCTGGCTGGCCCCTTGGTTGCGAGAAAAAACCCAAGTTGTTCAAAAAAAATTGTCCAGGATTGCTTGTCCATGGAAATTGCTAATAGATCTAGCCTAGTGCTAAATTGGACGAGATGGGAAATACATATGACTTCCTGTCGCTATAGGGACAGTTGTATGATGTATACGTCAAAAAGGCCCGTGCGTTATGTAACTACCAACGGCCTCTATTAACGGTTCAAATTCGCGTTGTGGGTTCGCATAGTTCTTCCCCTCGTCCATTAATTTAATGGGCCCTTCCCATCGCCTTGGAATATCCACTTCGTCCCTGCCACTCTACTTCACGCGTCCACGTATCCTGTAAAACAGTTTACATATATGCAGCTAAGAATCTAATTGGTCCAATCTGCCTCAGGCTGTATCCAGTTCAGCAAAATTCGTTGCTAAGGTTGGTAAATTCCAACGTCCACGTTTTTATTTCCCCATCTTCCTTTTCTTAGCGAACCTTTAAATACGATGCATATAAGACGACGAACCTACGTATGGCAACCAGCAAAGACGTTGAACCTAAATTGTTACACGATGACGCAAGCTTACCTTGAAATTTTGTAGAACATCTCATCTTTAAAAATACAATAGCCCGAATACACAACTTTTGATAATGAGAACGAATTGGTGTGTCCCACTTAAAGAGAGTTTATGACTTTGAACCATGTGGCGATAGTATTGGATGATAAGACATAGAGATTGAGTCGATTGTTTTAAATACGATCCGAAGGCTATTATTAATTCTATTAGGTAGCAAACTTAGGACATCCAAATTGACAAGAGAGAAATATCGGTAACACAAGCGATTTTAAGCGAATGGTAAAATATCGAGTAGGCTCACGATCGCAAGGAATTACTTCATTAGGTGCTGAAAAATAGGGTTTCGGGTCCCCTCATCGACAACTCAGTTATATCAAACCGTCAAATATTATCCACACATGCAAGTCTACCTAAGTTAATCAAACTTTGATAGAATTAGATATAAAAGGAAAGATCAGACAACGGAATCAAGTCTTCGCATCAGAGAGAACCTAAGTCATTATGTATTGTACTCTTTAACAACTCTCCAATCATCCCAAGTTTCATTCTAAAGACAGTCGTTTCAACATACTCAAGATATGGGGGCAATTGAAAATAGAAAACCTGCTATCATAGCAACAAAATCTTACCTACCTAGGTACCTCAATAAAATGTTCAAGCAACGAATTCTCGTGAATTTATAGGTTCGCTAGAAGACGCCACAATCGAAATTCTGCAACTCTCGGCGACCAATTGTCCGTAAAGACAATACTTCACTCCACATAGCGATATACTAACCACAGCGAATCGGGTCGGGCTCCCATTCGTCATCTAACGCATGCCTCCCCTGAAGAAGTCGGCATATCCCCCATTGAAACCCGGATACAAATTCGTCGACGTTGCGATTAAGTCCTCAGGTGGCGTTACCTCGACCTGGAATGGTGAGTGTTGAAAAGCGTTGGTACCCCTTGAAATCCATGATGTTTCTGTAAAGTCCGCCGGGCATCCGTCTCGAATGACCCTAAACACATCATGGCAACAAATAAACCCCTTTCGAATCCAATTGGCGCTTAACAAAAGAGGTCGACAAGTCGGCGAAAAGGGGAGTTATTCGAATGTAGCCAACAACCCGGGAATAAACACGGTCATAACCACAGCGTCAGTTAGGTAGAGTCGTATCGTCAGAAAACCCATTCGGGCCCAGCCTTCATATAATATGAAGGCTCTCAGCGACAACGGGTTTCAGCGAAAGGAAAGACAAGCCGTCAGAGCGAGACAAAACGTTACCTATAAATAGAGGGTATGATCGAGCTCAAGACAGAAAAGTCTCGGATTATATATAAAAATACCCTTATAACATTCCCTAGCCTTCCTTAAGGCTAACCGCGCGACAAGCGGCTGGGTATGAGCTGAAGGTATTAAAACGGATCCCGGATTCCTCGCACAGGCGCCGGCGAAACAACTAAGGGTCAAGCGAGCGCCGCAGCGTCATTATAGCTTCGAGACCGGTCCTTTCTAGTTTGACAGGTCCCTTTTTTCATAAGGCGAGACACAGAATACCCACATCTTCGGCTCTACTGAGATATTAAAAGAGAAATACGCTGAGAGAAAGAAAGGAAAAAAGAGAGAAAAGGGGGTTGATTGATATTGGACTTCCCGCGGCGATTTACTAAGCCGAGGTGTACGTCAAATTCCCAAATGAAAGGATTATCCCACATAAGCAAACCAGATCATCGCAATAGAAAGTCGCGCAGCAATCAAAATCTCGTGCATTTGCGGGTAGATGAGTTGTACGAATGGATATTCTGAAATCCTGGAGACAGATTTATTGCGAGACGACGTTTCGAAACATCCTCCTGTGTTGCGAATTAACTCGGTGACTAGTTCTTGGTGCGCTGTCATTGGGGGAATACAAAACTGTTTCATTCGGAGACCGGTGGTTTGTCAGGCCAAGCTCAGATTGACAGGTGCTGAATAGCGAATAGCCTATGAAAGACACTGGATATTATGTATAGTTTCTTGGTCTGTCAGACAGCGCCCATGCAACGTTGTTCGATCGGCACTGATGTCGTAACTTGCAGTTGTATGTACCTTTCTGATGGTTGCCCGCGGCCGAGCAGCATGAAATCCTGTGTGTCTCCTGGTCATTTTTGTGGCTGTGTGGCTGTCCGTCTTTGCAAATTCGGGCAGGTTCCGATGGTGACCCATTCAAACCCTGATGATCACCTGGGTACTGACGAATGGAATGGGGCTATAAGATACATTTTGGGCTTGGGCTCGAGTACCATCATGTTCATAGCATACATTCTTACAAACCGAGGGATTGAAGCTTCTTTCTTCCCTTCCTTTAGAAGGCGTCAGCAGTGTAGAGGTAACCAAGCCGCCGCCGAGAAAGAACACCAAGTAGAATTGAATTGTTTGTTGGTTATTCTTTCAATTGTTTTCATAAAGTCGAAAACCAAAAGCACCAACACCAAAGCCTCAATATTGAAAAAATGGACAAAAGAGGCCGGCCTTATTTTTAGGCAGACATTATTGAAAATGGGTACTTAGGCCTCGTACCCCGAAATTCGGCTCGGCCGGGGGATTATGGGTAATTCAATGGGTACCTGTATGTAGGTATGTTAGGTGTGCTCATGCAAAAACGTAAGAGCGCGCCAATAATGCGAATCAATCGAGATCTTCAAGGCGTGACATCTGTAGATGAATAGATTCGATGAGTTGTCTTTGAAAACTTGATATAGAATTAGAGTGCTGCAGAATGAAATGGAAAGTTTACCAAGTTTTCCCAATTAGTGCCTTAAAAGTTAGCGGTGTTCAACAGCATGTTAGAGATGCAGATTTGAAGTTAGTGACCTGTTGTAATACATCGAAAGTACTCTAGTCGCTGTAAGAAGCCCTGAAATTGTCAGAGTTGCAGACCAGGTGGGCAGTTGTCTAAGAAACTACAGGTAAGTACAAGTGTAGCCCCACTATGCGATCCACTCGCCCCCTGCCTTTGTCGGCATATGATTGGGTCTTTGATTAAAAATTATGCGCGAACCCTCCCTTCTTCTGCGGCAGCTTTGTGCAAATACGAACTCTGTTAATGTAACCATACCTACTCCCAGGGAACCTTGGAACCCAGTTAATTCTCTTCTTCCACTGAATCCAGGTCTCTTCGTCAGATTCTTCACATCCTACCCTCTAGTCATTCGTTTCTTTCCCTCATTCGATCAAACAACACCCTATTGCATCCTTTCCTACTAATCTATCATTGCATCTTGTTGTTTTTCCCTTAAGGGTTTTTTTTTACCTTCAAACCCTCTCTTTACATTTTTACCAGTCTCTCGCTTCTAACCCCTATTCCACCGCGACACCCACCTACAAGTAAATCTCTTGTCGCGTGTGTATCCGATCACCGACACATTTGGGTTTGGTAGACAGACGATTCAGAATTAAGATTACCATCCCGTCATCTCCAGACCACGTGTCACGAATAAGTTTACCACTAGAGCCTCAAAAGGAGGGGAGGGAACGGATACATCCATTCGATATTCGATCCTCATCTATCCTTATTGTTGAACCTATCCTAAAGTTACTCGAAACTATCGACAGCCCATCATGCATTCAACGCGGCTTATTAACCTATTGACGTTGGCACTTTCTGTGTCCTCCGTCACGGGAGTAGCATGGCTCGACGACAAAGCTGGCAAAGGTCAGGTCGCGGTTAGACAAGACAATATCCTCACAATTGGACCTGATGTTTCGTCGGCCGATTCGGCCGCATCCAGTACAGACGAACCAGCGTCATCTTCAACTGATGCACCTGATTCGTCGTCTACCAGCGACAGCAGTTCGGAATCCTCACCAACTCCTACTTCGTCATCTGATTCATCAACCCCAACCCCGACCGATTCGCCTACTACTAGCAATGGACCAACTACGTCTAACCCGACGAGTAGCCCGAAGCCGACCTCGTCAATAACGTCATCAACATCGGCCGGAGGCGATGGCGGTAATAACGATCAGACTTCTACGACGGCGCCGCCTGTTACTTCGACCTTCATGACCGTCATCACTACTACTGACTCCGCTGGACAGACATTTGTCAGCTCATCTTCTAGCGTTATCGTGTCGACTCCCACCCCGGTATCCGACTCTCAGGATGATAACAAATCCGCGGGTATGACCCCACAGGTTAGGAGTACGATCATTGGTGTCTGCGTTGGTGTCGGTGGTGCTATTGTCCTCGCAGCTGCTGGTGTACTATTCTGGAGACTTCGCAGCAAGAAGAGAAGCCAGGAAGAGAACGAGGAATTGGTTAGCTACGGCGACGGATTTGGTGGCCCCGGTACCGCTGAAAAGACTGAGCCTTCCGGTGCCGCCGCGAACCGCAGCCCGTTCCAGAGTACACTCGAAAGCTATCACGCGCCGTCATCAACAAACGCGGCTTCCAATTTCTAAGCACATATACGCACACGAACATCGAAGCTCTCTTAGCATTGATCTTACCATCTCCTACTTATTACGCGGCATCGTTTTTATGTCTCGCCGGCGTCGGAGTTGGGCGGTATATCGCATGGCATCATCATGTTTTCCCTCCAATTTCATAAGCCCGGCATCATTCCCAAGGAATTAGAAAAACTTTTTTTACTCCGTCATATCTCTATCATCTCTCAACTACCTATTTTACCTACCTGCGATACGTTATTAGAAAATGGGAGGGGAACTTTTCTTTACGGTGTGTGTGTGCACGAGACTAACTGCGCGAGCGTCTGATTTCGAGCGAAAGAGGTGTGATTGACGGACTGATTGACTTTAAACTCGGCCGAGCAATGGGAAAGAGAAATTAAAGAAAGGGGAATAAGGAAAGCTCTACGACATCCAGTCTAGCTAACGTACGTATTTTTTGCAACGCGTAGCTAGCTGAGAGGCTAAGGCTCATGGGGAAAGAAAGGAGATCTTTGTATACAGCTTCGTAATACCAAAACCAGCCAGCTTCTCTTCGATTCTGCTAAATATCAAGTATATACAAACACGTACATATCAACATTTTTTTGCGGTTATTTTGGTTTTATTGGTTCGGTGTAAGAAAATCAAAAAATTAAAGAAAAAAGGATAGACGAGATCTAGATACTAGACCCTAGATGCAGAAGTCGGATCGAACCTTATTGTATCTGGCATGCAATAGAGTTCGCTAGTTTTCCGATACATTAGGCCATAGGGCTGCAGTAGCTATGAGGCAGACAAGTGAGTCTAACCATGTCGCTTCGAACTTTGAAGAATGGGTATAGATGTCGTCCTAGCTTTTAGACTTCGACCGGTTCTCCCAAATATGGCGATATCATAGAGTTTGCGGGGTGAACGCGGGGTGGGCGGCGTTTATACATGTAGTATTGTGGGTTAGTGGGCTTGGATTTTTAGCTCTTTCAACTTCGCGATATTATCACCGGAAATCTCTTCGAATGCAATAACATTTTATGTTCTTGTTCAACACGCAATATGAATAATGTGCTATCGATATCGAGAAGCGAAGGTATTTATCCTACTATGTCACTAAGCTAAAATGGATAGATAGTGTATAGTTGTGGTGTGAGATCGCAGCTTAGGCCGTCTCAGGATCGTTTCAGCACCAAATCTACGATTCTCTCCAGCTATCCTCCAGCCAAATGGCCGCTTTATGTGTCTTTGCGCGTTTCATTTACTTTTATCCGACGTATGGAAAACGTCGCGATTACTCTTGGGCTTTGGTGGCTGAAAGGTACCTACGTAGGTTTTTGTATGTATTATAGGTAAATGCGCACCCCGGATGCGACCAAAGAATGTATGTTGGTTTGTTTGCAAAATCAACCTTACATTTCCAGCTTCAAATCCTTCTGTCTTGTCGTTGCTTTTTATATCTAAATTCACGAGGTTAACCAGTCGCATACTTGCTATCATCTGAATTGGACCGGCCTCGTTACACAAGAAACAAGAGGGAAAAACCAACAGCATTAACTACGAAACCATGGTAAAGTGTAGAGGTGCAGTTACTACCATATCGCTACTGGTAGGAATCATAAGTAGTGTCATAGCCGGCGACCTTGTCGAGGATATACGGAGGGACTTTCAATTGGGTTTATTCGGACGACAGCAGACGGTAACCAACCTGCAGAGGTTCACGGCACCGCCTTTAGGAAACCAGGCCGCAGCACAAGTACGTCTCTCTCGCCCCCGAGACCAACATATTATATACAAGGGATCTGGAGAGGAATGGCGCATGCATATCGGGTAGCTAACCGAGATGGAATCAACAGATAGTACAAAACAATGACTTTGACAGCAAAGAAAAGCCATTCAAGATCGTCGGCGGGTTAAGGTCCGACGGGCAAACTTTTGTATGTTCTTCCCTCATTCAGCTCTACATCAAGCATTTGTGTGTAACTAACCACGTCATGAGCAGTCCAGTTTCCAAGACGCAACAAACCGAGTATGCGACGACCAAAAGAACGACTGCGCCGACTTTTCCAATAGTGGCGCGGGCTCCTTCAAAGTATCAGAGTGTGACCAGCAAGATAGTATGTCTACCTGAAATACATCCCTTACATATGACCAGTTATTTTCGATGCTGTTGGGAGTGGTGATATGATTTGGGAAGGGCTAACACATCCATCAGATGATTGCAAAGATGCCAACCAACCTACGGATCAGGATGACAATTTCCTTTATTTTTGCGACAATTAATGTTCGAAGCCGTCCCATCTAAGCGAGAATTTTGAGTGTATTGCCGTTTATTCCCATCGACTTCGACTCATGGGTAGCTCATAGTAGTGGAAGCATGCAGCACTTAAGTCTCGAAGTTCTTATCAGATTATATACGAAGCGATATAATGTCATACTTTTATTAGCGGATGGAAAAATGGGAGCCTGGATGTTAGTAAAAACTGGGTTAGGCATATTCATTATCATAGGAATGGCGAGGCCAATATGATGATGATATAGTTCTGATTATTAAGTTCTAAGTATCGTACAAGCCAGTCCCGAAAATCATGCCCTCATCAAGTCATTCTCAATCAGTCCTCCCCTCGTCCAAAAAGTCATCTCTGCTTCCTAACAGAAGCTAAGCAAAAGCTCAGCGCGGTCTGATGAACGTATGTACATCTCGTATCCAATGATTCACACGAACACCATTGGCTCTGTCGTTAGCACTTCTCATCAAAAATATGCATCGTAAAAAGAATAATAAACACTTCGCGAGCGAGTATACACAGGGTTTGTTTGTATGTGGCAATGCCATGGTCTGCCAGCTTTCAATCAGCCAAGTACGCCGAAACTCTCTAAATACGACTCTTGAGCATCAATAACGCCTTTGTCTTGTAAAACCAGTCATGCCCTTAAACGATTTAACGTATGAAGAATTATGCTTTGCGACTACCAAACGTCATTAGCCTCCAGCCGCCATTCCGAGATAAACCACCCCCTGGGTATGACAAAGGAAAATTTGAAGGTGGCACATAACGTGCCAAATCCAGGCATGGTATATCATGAATCTCGTTTGCGTGCGTCAATAAAGTCCATCCAGAGGAGAAGTGAAGTATGGAGTGTTCATATGCCTATACCCGGCTAATTGGCTGCTTCCTACGCACCAAAAACGGGCTGGGCATTTCGTCCTTCTCCGGATCCCATACGGCAGGCTCGGCGAATGTTCGATCCTTGAGGGTGCGTTTGGGACTAACATTCGCACTCTCAACGGGTCGACCACCAGCTCTAGCCTGCTGCAGCTCAACAAGAGTGCGGCCCTTAATGTTATTCTTCGCCACAACCTTGGTGAGCGATTGGTCCTGGTCTTTCTTGAGAGACGGCTTTCTCTGGAGACCGCTCTCGGGGTTTTGCGTGCCGAGATTGGCGACCGAGGGAATCTTGCTCAGTCTTCGGTTGGGAGAGTTGCCTCTCTCCTTCAACGCGCCGTTGCTGTTCTGAGCACGTACTTGCGGCTCCGGGACTGAGGCGGGCGGTGCTGTAGCAGGTTTGTTGGTGGCCATAGAAGTCTGGCTTCTTAGACGGTTAATCGGTGCCGTCTTGGTAGAGGTGAGTACTGGTCTATGGGGACCAAAAGGGTTCTTGTTGGATCGCGGCGGGCGAGTAGGGGACGGGATGATGGGTGTATCATCATCGGAATCAGAAGGAAGAATCTCATGTTTGAGAGCATCAAACTCGTCGTCATCATTCCGGTCAAAGATAGAAGGTTTGTTCGTCATGGGGGCCTTCGTGCCGTTGCGACGGGGTGACAATGATAGGGATGCAATCGCCATTGGTGACGGCGATACCATATCAACATCCATTGGTGTTCCAAGATTACGCTCGAACATAGTCTGGGCTCGGCCAAAAGCTGCACGCGCACTCTTCTTAAGAGGCTGTTCTTCTGGTGAGTCTACAGAATAGTCGGTGATGTCCGTGATCGATGAGATTTCGCCGTCTGTGCTAGTAGCAATAGATCGTGGAAAGTCCGACTTGGATAGCGACGAAGTAAGTTCTGGAGGCTCAATAGGCTCAAATGACACATGCTTCTTCTGTAGTTCCTCTTGGACTCTTGCTTCCACCTCGGCTTCAAATCGGTGTTGAAGTTGCGTAATTTCCTCGCCGACAAGACGGTCAATTTCCAGCCGGGCTTTGACCTCCCACTCTCGTCGTAATTGCGCGTCGATCTCATGTCGGAAGCAGACTTTGTCGGCTTCGATACTGGCTAGTCTATCTTCAACTTGCTTCAACTTGTAGCTTAGTCTTTCATTTCGCACCTCTAATTCACGCTTGACTTCCACCGCCTCCCTCTCCTTGCGCATTAGACGCACTACCGGGAGGCCCAGCAATGACGCAGTATCCGGTCGTGAATCTGGATTGACTTTTAGGCAACTTCTAATTACAGCCATAAGTTCAGCAGAATAGACATTCGGAAGTGCGGGGACCTTTCCCTCCTTGATCTTCTGGATAAGCTGAAAGTGCGTCTTCGCGTTGAACGGAGGTTCTCGTGCACAGAGCTCGTATATTATACAGCCCAGTGACCAGATGTCGGATTTGAGAGTGTATCTCTCGGCCGCACATATCTCGGGGGACATGTAAAACGGGGTACCGACGTACGTCGACGCGAAATCGTGTGATTGGATCATCTTGGACAAACCGAAGTCACCAAGCTTAACGGAGTTGTTCTCGCCGAGAAAGACTAGAAAGTTAGTGGTTAGTATACGTCTTCAAGAAAAAAACCAGGTAGTCTCGTCTACTTACTATTCTCAGGCTTGAGATCTCTGTGGAGAATTGTTATGGCTCCCTGAGGAGCCTTCACCTTACTAGCAGCGCCAACGATCTCCAAGACATTCTCTCCCACTCCAGGGGGGTCAATGCCGTAATGGCATCGATACAAGGCGGTAACCAATTGCGAAAATATTTCCCATACGAACTGTTCCTCTGCGTATTTCTTCTGTTGGATGAGGCCTCGGATGACTCGACCAAGATCACCATTACCACAATATTCCATGTACAAATGAAGGTCCTGAGTCTGCTTAAGATGCTCACGATGGTAGTAACCGACAATGTTAGGATGTCGTAGGGTGGATAGGATCTGGAACTCGGCGTGCAATTGTTCACGCTCCTTTTGCGACATTTTCAGGTAACTGATTTCCTTGCGACAGAGGACCATACCATCGGCCTTTCTTCTGACCTTGCGGATGATACCGAATGAGCCATGGCCTATGTTTGCGAGGATACAAGTCAGTCGAGGATCATTAGGGAATGAAGGGAATGGATGAGTGTGATGGTGGTTGTCGCAGACTCACCGATCTTTTCCAGTACATCGTACTGGTCGCCGATAGACTCGGGCATGGTGAATTGGAAGACACTGCGATGTTAGAGTTAGAATAGATTTAGCACTAGGCCATAGGCAAAAGAAGGCAATAGCTAGTGAGAAAGAGTAGGTTATTTTCAAAAAGGAACGGCCTAAAGCCAAAGGCAAATGCTATTCGAAATGCAAGATGCAGATGCAATGCAGTGCTTCGGGAAGTTTCTTTTATTGTTGTTCAACAAAAGTCGGATTGAGTTTGTTCTGAAATGAAAATCTGCACAAGAAAATGTTAATCGGCGTGTAGCCTAGCAGGGACGAAAGAAGGACCCCAGTTCGTGGTACAAGCGCTGTGCCTACTCATAGTGGTTCTAGTATTCTGGGTCAACAAACTCGCCGTGACCACAGCAACTGCCTTGCTACGATGTGGGGCGAAGGCATGTAGCTCCAGAACGCTAGTCGATATTTGGGCTAGCGCTGTCGGAGGTCCTTATCGATAGTTCAATTTGCTCCTGATAATTCTGGGGTTAGTATCAATCCGTACTATATAGGCGAAACTTTATAGGCTAAGAACATGTTCGCTACTTCCACGGGACCATCCCGAACACCTGCATCCAACCATTAGGAATTGACGTGGCTTGTCTGGCACAGTACCTACAGTAGCTTGGCCACGTGATAGTATTATCACCGTTTCTCCGTGATAACATATTCCGTATCCAATCCTTCATCCAAATGTGGCAATCCCATTATTTCGGAGATATCGGACTTCACGATTCTGCCAAATTCATTCTCAACAGCGATAGCCAGAGGATTGCCGACATTTCTCTGAACTGCACTCCCTTAGTTATATTTAACCTCTTCTTCTAGCCTACCATGGTTCTTCGAAAACACGAACTAGAAGCGAAATTGAAAGATGATATTGAATTAGTCAGAAGTGGCGTGCTTCGTGATGAAAATCCCCTCGATCTAAGTAGTGAATTCAATGAGCTGTTACAGGCCTGTCGAAGAGGCGACCTGAAGCGGACTCAGGAGTTAGTTTCTGCTGGCGTCAACATAAATGGCAAAGACAGGTTCGATTACACTCCACTCATCATTGTGAGTAGGGCTTGTCCGCCTTTTCATTATGCTCCAAGATCCCAGGCGGCTGACTACCGTCTAGGCAAGTCTCTGCGGGCATTATGAGTTAGTTGAGTTATTGAGTACGTATTCTGGCTCCAGACTCCGGATTCCCCTGCGCTAGCACCCGGACCAAGTAGAATTGTTTTATGCGAAATTGCCTTACCATTATGGATATAAAAAGAGAAAATGTTCCTTTGATATCTTACTGATTACAAATGTCGCAGTTGAATCCGGTGCTCTGGCGGAACGCGATACATTCCAGGGGGAGCGATGTATCTACAACGCTTTAAATGACAAGATCCGGAACTTGCTCCTGAAATATGACTACTCGAAGTCTACTGATCCCCTGCAACCATGGGCTGCTCATATCAGCGCATTGCTCACAAGGGAAGCGCCGAAGACTTCCGACATTACATTGATAGCGGCATCGACGTCGTTCGAACTACACAAATTTCTCTTGTCCGCCAGGTCACCTTACTTTCAAAAGAAACTTGCCGAGGCCCCTGGTTTGGAGACCTGGAAGCTACCCCAGTCGATACCAGTTGAATCGTTTCAAATTGTTATGCGGTATTTATACTTAGGCGACATTCCAAGGGATTTAGTCGACCCCCGAAGTAGCGCCACCGAGGAAGAGGTCCTAACTGGGGTGGATAAAATCAGCAAGCAGTTGGAGATTGACAAACTTTGGGAAGCTATTCTTTCGGGCGGCGATCGGCGATTGGCACGACAGAGGCATCAAGATGAAGTCAACAGAGCCCAGGGGCAAATAGAAGGCTTCTTCCAGGAGAAGGTTCTTGGACACAAGATGGTTGTCGATACTAGGAAAGCCCAAGAAGTGAAATGGCCACACGACAACTCCATATTTGCGGATTGTCTCTTGCGAGCTGACGAGGGAGGCGAGGATGGCGAGGATGTTGACAAGCAAGAAGAATCGAACGGAATTCCCATTGGACCGGGTGCAGAAACACAGAGGCAGAACGGCTCCAGGAAAGCCAGGAAATCCGTATTGTACCCTGCTCATAAAGCGATACTCATCCGTTCGCCATACTTCGAAACTATGTTTTCCAGCGTATTTCGCGAGGCGCAAACAGCGGAACACCTACACGTTATCAAGATAGATTGCCTACCGGAGGTTCTTGAAATCATTCTTACGTTTCTCTATACGGAGAAAGTCGAATGTCCTCTTGAACTCGGATTGGATCTACTCTATGCGTCGGATATGTTGTTCTTGGACAAGCTAAAGAGCAAAGCCGCAGTCGCCATCAGTACATTGGGAAGTGGTAACAACAATGTCCTGATTGACCGGACCCACGCCCACGAAGACGAAAACGAAGACGACGAAGCTGAAGTGGAGGTGGAGCCTATCAATGTATATGACGTTATACACGCAGCTTGGGACTTGAAAGTCCAGCGGCTGGAAGAATTCGCTGCTCGGTACCTCGCGTATCGTTTGGAGGACTATATTGATGAAGAGGAGTTCATGGAGTTAATCCAGGAAAGTGCCTCAAGGCTTCAGACGAGAGAAGAGACGGATACGATCGAACTGCTGGACGATATTCGGTACTACCTGTCTGAGCGTTTCAGGCTACGGTTCGAGGATGCAGGTTTAGACGAGATGATGGACGAAAACGGCGAAATTAGCGCAACAGCAGCAGAATTACTGAACTCAGAAGCGAACGGCATTATGACAGGTGACAGGACTGATGATGGTGTTGTCGAGGCGGAAAAGTCCGATGTCGTTTCTGCGAAAGCAGAAGTGTCAGAGGCTTTGACTATGTCCGGTGGTGTAGTCAGGACTTTAGATGGGGAACTTGTCGAAGATGAATTCGCATCCGACGCCATAAATTACCAGATCTTGCTACAAAAGATTGATACAATGTTAGAAAAACTTAAGCTAGACGCATAGAAATAACAATGCATCTGATAAATAGATCTCTATTATGCGTTAGACATTTGACATCCGTCTTGAATTATGCGAGTTTTGAGCTTTCGGAGTTTGAAGGGCTCACCAGGCACCCAGCCCCTGGATATTAGGGCTTAAGGACAGTATCGCGAGCACTGATTTGATACTCCGGGGGGCAATTTACACTTAATGCAGCTATCCTACAACTACCCTAAGCTTATGGGCTTACCTATGCAGGAGGAGTATGTCTTAGCGCTCAAGTATTAAGGGGAATTGGCTGTAAGAAGGCTTTCCCCAGGGGCATCATACGCTATATTGAGATTCTATCATGTCGCCTATGCCGCTACGCGTTGGGCTTTCTCCTGTCGCTATTACAACATTAAGAAGTCTAGCATTGACCCCCACTGAAAAGAAAGTCCGAAAACAAATTAGAAGGTAAACAGAAAAACACACATTAAGCAACTTAATCAACAGTTCTTAATAAATTTAGGTGTACTGGGGCATAGTGACTTTGTAGGATTGGAGTGCTATATTCGATCCCCAAGCCATGAAAATGATGTCAATGTCCTTATCACCTAGCCATTTATGTCAGTTTGACTGTACCATGATGGGATCTAGGAAAATCTCATTGAAGGCCTGATGATTTACTTGCATTCGTATGTACCTTAGTTTTCACACCTTTGAAGCTTCGCAGCCCTCAAACTGGATTCGTCTTTCTACGCTATCTACAATTACAGCAGAGTGAATGCACGTAATCACTCCGGTATGATTCGGCTTAAGCCCCGACCCGCTACGTCACAATCCACGCGTTTCCAAGGAATCTTGACTAGCTGATGACAAGAGGGGGCTATATAAATATGCCCCCGGAAATAGAAGTGTTCGGCCAGATGGAGATATACAAGACTCTTGCGTGGTTACCCTCTTGTTGCCTGAACATAGATTGGACACCATACCGATGAACACCACCATATCGGGGTCTTGTGAGTTACATACTTCGCTGGACATATCCACGGAGATAGGGCTGTCGGCATATAGGAGACTTGTTGGCGGCGCGGCATAGCTTCCTGCATATTGCCACAGTCTGGGCCAGCGAATACCTATACGAAGTTAGTGCGGTTGGGGAATTATGCGAGTCACGATCGGCGGCTGCTCACACGCATGGGCGAGGCTACATAAAATGTTATTTCTCTAATGGTCGGTTACACAGTGTAGTGGAAACATTTGCCGTGATACGAACTCGAGAAAAAGTCCCTCCTCCCCTACGGAACTCCCCCACTGGCTGGGCTATGCCGGGGGATCGACACGTGAAATGGGCTTGGGAATGGAGGTACCTACGTAGGTGGTAAAACCTATCTGTACATTAACTACCAGTCTATCTACTATATCCAATCTCACAACAGAACGCCAGCCCAGTCATACCCCTGCTGATCGTCTTTCAAAAAGTAACAAGCGCGCCAGCGCGGGATGGGATCGGCGCCCCGGGTGTAAGGGACGGCACATAGGGAGGCTGCATCCGGTGAGCGGGTTTTTCTTGCTTACGGAGCCCAGCCCTCAGGCCTGGGATTTGGAGCTCACCCCGAGCCGCTTCGCTGGCCACCCCTCTTGAGGCGTCAGTCGTGCAATGATGGCGCTTCTAGTGCTCATTTTCGGCCGGGCCATCTAAGATGTGATTGCTTGCAGAAAGGGGTGGCAAGATGCAGCCTGTACCCACCCCCATTTATTGACCTACCGTGTTGGTTCATATCGAAATGCATAACTAATAAATTCTCGGTGTATTATGCGACTCGCGCTTGACGGAGCGGGTTGATTCCTGTTGGCCTTGAGAACCTCCAAGAAGCTCCGAATAGATTGTGTCTAGAAGACCCCGAGGATCCCGAACAAGATGGTATATGTGCGAGACCTAACGCGTACGCTAAGATCTCGGCCGAGTAACGATGGCGTCGGGTTGGGCCATGCAGAAAACTAGTTGTAGATAAACCAAAAGTTGGATAGTCATTATGACTGATCACAAATTCTAGTTCCCTTGATGTTTCAGGCTATTTTATAGCTTCATTTTATTAAAGAGGAATAGAAAAAGCAAAGAGCTTCCAGGGTGTCATGGTGCACCTCGGCAAGCGCGTGTGAAAACATCGTGGAAAGGAATGTCGATCCGAGAATGTTTTCCAAGATTGATAAGCAATCTCGCCAGCCACGTGAGTAACATTAGACGTTGGGCTGCTTAGGCGCTGGAATAGGCCATGCAGGTTCCGATGATGGCTGATAGTAGGGGTGTGCATGTCTTGATTATATGAGCCGACACTGCTCGTAACGCATACCGCTTTTGGACATGAGGCGTAAGTTTTCCCAGGTCACAATAAGGCTACTTGCTTATTCTTCACGCCGACAAGCCACTGCCGTGTGATGACTCCGGGGAACAAGCTGAGTTGCGTATTGAATCAGCCCATCATAAAGACTATCGACTTCTAAAACTTGAGGCAGTGGGACATCTCTCAGCCCGCCCCTTGCGGGAGCTTGCAGCAATACCCCTAAAGCCTATTAATCTCGGAAGTCTTGGAAGCTTACGAGGAAACGTCACCTTTTTGAGCCATGGCTATTATTTCGGGACATCAATTCCGCCAGGATAACCAATACCGAACTTGTCGTAATATAAACCAAGGCTGTCAGGGTCGTCACAGAAGCTGACAGCTTCCCACCGGATGGAACCGAGATGGAAGGGAGGAGTCGATGATCGACATCGATAGCTGCCGTATGGAAGCAACAAGTAGGGTTGCCTACGTGGTAATGAGGCGATGGGGGTAGGTATTGTCGTAATTGTAATCATAAAAGTATCATGCCAGGCTAACACGAGGACTATGTCGCATATTATACGCATGTCTATCATACCTAGGTAGACATGTTTAAAGAGGCTCCAAAATCAAGCTACTCCAGAGATCTTGGTGATCTACTCGGGGATCTACGACACCCGGTACATGTAGGCGCCTGTCGATCCATACCCGGTATGATAGAAGAGACTGGCTTAGTCGAAGCTTATGGATGAGAAGGGGGTTGCTGAAAAGAAAAGTTACATTGTAAAAACATCCCCCAATCCTTGCGTCGAGGAGGTCGCTGATTGATGTCATTATGAGGAGTAAAGGGTCTGTGTAAGCTGTACCTTTCAGTGCTCATAGGGATTTTATTCACCCTGGACCCCTGCCTGCAGCTCCAGCCCAACGGCCTGGGAGGATCTCTAAAGTGTAACCATCTGGATCAACTAATAAATAAGGCTGCTCGCATGAATGGTAATGACAACGAAAATAAAGGCAATTCTCGCTTATTCATAGCGTGGGCAAGAGAGTGTGATATATGACATGTAATTTTTAACTACTGGATCTATGGCTCCTATTGGTAACTTGAAAGGCGCAATTTATCTAAAATTGAATACATGCTTCTCATAGGGCCATCTCACATCCACCCGGTGTCAGTATGTAGTGTTCCACATCTGATATCCCGTCGACAGCCGACAACGGAGTGCTACCTACTCATATACGTGACCTGCCGTGGGTAATAGAGGAGGCGCCAGCGCGTGGAGACTAGGTACCTGGATATTTATCTACTTAGGTATGGTACGTACCTAGGGATATAGCAAGAAACATCATGACCACCCTTTTAAGCATTATGCAGTGAACGTCTGAGCTCACAAAAGAAAAGAGGTAATATGCTATCCATACCATGGCATACGTGTACCGGAGTGAGGCCCAATAGAAGTACCTCCGTCTTATTATCGTCGGAGTCCTATGAGGTATCTATCAGCTCAGAGAAGTAGACACAGGAGGGGGTCGCTCGATGAAAAAGGCAATGAGGTGGGAACTCCTGAAGTATTCAGTTCCCAGCTTGCAACGGGCGCCTTGACTTAGGCCTTAAACTGTGCATGCTATATATTTAGACATACATACAGGTTTATTACTAGAAACGGTCTAGATACCATTAATATACATCACAGCTCGGCTATGACTTCGTAGTGCCTTGGGTCCGACTTGGCAGGAAACCAAACGCCTATAGGAACTGGCAAAAGCAGGTATAACGTGGCTGATATAGGTTGCGGCATGGCTGGGAAATATCTCGCCTAAGGAGCAAATATTCCATCATACAGCTTGTATCTTTAACGAACATCTCCAGCTCCTCTTAACTAGACGCCCCATCTGTGCAGTAGCAGCTTTAGGCAGATCATCGAATACCCCGGCTAGGCCGGTGAGCTCGACGATATATCCAGAAGGATGGTATGGTATGCTGTTGGGTTCGATGATGGAAAATCAAGTCAAATGATCAGTTATTATGCACGGCTACATACCCGAAGTTAACCTTCAACCTATTAAACAGAGCTGCTCGCTATAGTTAGCTTCATATATTGGCGATCTGAGAACAGCATTTTGCATGCATGGTTCTTATTGGGTCTCAGACCCGATGTAAGTAGCATCCATATTGACTTTATTCTCGCACTGGGGAAGCAACACTGAATGCGGCTCTCGGTTCTAGGTTTTTATTAACCTCGTTGTACACCAGGGTCTATCAATTCCCTGACTTAGCATGTAAAATATCCCGTCTTCAGCACATCTAACATTATGCATGGAATATCGGCGCAGCACTAGGGGCGATCTAGGCCACTGGGATATCTTGTAGGAGTAGCCACATCAGGCCATAGCAAGCGACAGTCGGCTGATACCTAGTCGACGCGGAACACCGAGGTTTACAGCCAACACCGGATGTCCTCTCGATTCTTGAGAATATTCGTGTTGGCCCCGGTCTTCCCCTCTATTCGAGAAAGAAGGTTGAGGCCTAGAAGCTTTGGTTGTTAGAGTCATTGCAACTCGAAGGAAAGCAACGGTGATATGTAACGACATATATCATCTGTCATTCTTACTGAAACTCGCGCGTGTAACGACGATAAGTCAAGCCTGCAGAATTGATGGGCTACTTCGCTGCCACTACCGCTGCAAAACATCCTGGATGATCACGGCTTTCGGAGACCTTAGGGAGTGAAGAAGCCAGCCCTGTGGTTGGCTACCACTAGCCAATCCAAGCTTGATGAGTTGTCATTGAAGAATCTGACCAGCCATGTAATCCCATCCAGCTCCTGAATGGCTCATAAAATTGTATGCACGGTATAAACGTAAGAGTGAGAAGGCAGATACGTATTCGAATGT